CAAAAAAGAAAAAGAAAGGCTGAGGACGGAGCGCTTGTGCAAAGACCTTGGGTTTGATGCCTCGTACTGCCAAAATTAAAAACGACAGAAAAAATGATTTGTGGTGCTGAGGATGGAGCCCAGGCAAGGGCTTTCCACCGGGCAGCGCCGCTGAGGGTGGATCATTACCCACGGCCTCAGAAGGGACACTATTGCTGGTCACAAGAAGAGGCAGACTCCAAACAGGAGAGGCGCTGCTGAAAAGCACGTGGTCCTCAGGTCTGCGAGGTACCTGCGGACCTCCCATCTGTCTGCTTGTGGGAAGCACTTTTATTTGCGAAACGGCTGCTCCTGCACGTGGGAAAAGGCCTACCTCACACTTGCAGAAGAAAATAAACAGGGCAGGGTCACTTTGGTGGCTCGGTCCAGGACTGAGCCTCATGACTGTGGTCCAAGCTGGCAGGCGGCCCGATGGAGAAGTTCGATATCTGCTCCAGATAAGCAGAACAAACAGGCCCTTCCCCAGTCACGGTCCAGTCCTCATCCTCCTCCTTTCCAACTCTGATGTGCAGCGTTGTTTTTTTTTTAACTAAAGCAAGGATCACATAGACATAGTGGTTGGTTTTGCATAGGTCAGGTTATTTTAAGAACAAGTTGGAAAGCCCTCATTACCTGCTTTTCTAAGGTTCTTAGAAGAATTAACACGAGTGGGTGCCACATGGCCCTGCCAATTCAGTCCCCTCAGGGGACAGAGAAGTTCTCACAGCTGGTGTGCTCAGCCTGGGACCCATCCCCAGCGCAATGCTGCTCAACACCAGTGAGTCCCAGCACACTCCCAAGGGGACTAGTGCTTCTGCCAGCAGGCAGACCCAGTGAATGGGCCCTTCATCACCTTTGGCCTGGCACTCAGGCTCACTTGGTCCCACAGATCTAGGCACCACAGGGCTTTAGTACTGCCTGAATGAATGCAATCCTTTGTACAATTGTGCTAAAACCTCTGTGCATGCACACGAGGACACACACAGAGATGCATGCACACACTGCTTTATTCCACACTGAACATGGAACAGGTGCCTGTCTCGGCAGGGGTCCACCTGGAGCCATGGTCCATGCATGGGGAGGGTGTCAGCAGCTCCTGTGAGGTCCCAAGACACTGAAGATCACTGGGCTGACTTTCGGCCCCATGGAGGATTCTCCAAGTGACTCCTGTTGCTTTTGGAAAAGTGAGGCAGGCCATAAATCCTCTTGCTACAATAGTTCTTCCGCAACAGCTCCCTTATATTAACAGCTCCCTGGTACTATTTTGGGATGAGTCTCACTATGTAGCCCAGGCTGGCCTTGAACTCCCTTCGATCCTCCTGCCTCAGCCTCCCAATTGCTGGGATCACAGGACTGCTAGGAGGCGGAGGCCGGAAGCGATAGCATCCTGAAGGAAGACCTAGAGACTCACCAGCGTCACTTCAGCTGGAAGGCACCACCAGCTTGGTGCTCCACCTTCTACACCTCAGCCAGTGGTGGCCTCCACATGACAAGGGGCATCCCCAGAGGCATGAAGGTTGATCCCTGGCACCACATGCACATACACACACTCCCTTGCACACACATATGCGCGCGCACACACACAGAGTAAATCTCTAAAGCAAAAAAAGGAACACATGTAGCCAGGTGTGGTAGTGCACACCTGTAATCCCCAGCACTGGGGAGGATGAGGCAGGAGGATCACCATAAATTTGAGGCCAACCTGGACTACATAGCCAGAGTCTGTCTCAAAAAAAAACACACACACACACATATACACACATACAAACAGGTGAGCTGTAGATACAAAAAACAGAACACAGAAATGCAAAATTCTCCCAATTTAATAATGATAAAACAGCACATAAACTATTATCTTTTAGTTTTATTAGAATATGTACATATATATGTACATACACACGTGATGCAACGGGAAAAAATAAGGAAAGAAAGAAAACTATAGTTCTGATAGGAAGGACAGACAAATCTGGCTTCCTTTTCACAATGTGTTTTTATTTATTTTTTCTTTTGAGACAGGGTCTTGCTATGTAGTTCAGGCTGGTCTTGAGCTCACTGCATAGCCCAGGCTAGACTCAGACTCCTGGTGATCCTCCTGCCTCAGCCTCTCCAGTGCTGGGATGACAGGAGTGCACCACCACCTCTCGCTGCAGCTGGTTTCCAGGCAGAGCACACACTGCCCCTGCACCATCTGTCCTGGCTCAGGGAGCCTCACAGTCCCCAGCCCGGACTGTGGCCGCCGTCAACTGGGTAAGCTGCACTGGACCCTTAATCTCCAAAGTCGGGGTGGCGAGCCCTGGCGGACCGCTGATGCCGGGTGTGGCTCTAATCTGAGCACTGTGGTCTCCCTGCTGCCCCAGTTCTGCGTCACTGTTCTTGGTGACTGTAACAACAAGCAGTGACATTTATTAAGCAGCTACTACTCAGGGTCCATGCTGGGGACTCACAGGCAGACCGAGATGAAACCCAGGTCTCTGTCAGCCCCCTTTCACTGTGGCTAGAGACGCAGCTCACTTTAGCTAAGAGAACGCAGCAGAAGCCCAGTGTGGTGCTGCACTCTTGTCATCCAGCTGCTCAGGAGGCTAAGGCAGGGGATCATGAGTTCAAGGCCAGCCAGGGCAACTTGGCAAGACCCTGTCACAAGATACTAACAATGACGGTAACAGTGACTGGGGGTGTAGCTCAGTGGCAGAGTACTTCCCTAGCATGCACAAGGCCCTGGGTTCAATACTCAGCACTGCAAAAAAACAGCCACGCTCTGCCTGGTGCCCTAGCGCCAGACAGTTGCCACGTAACCAAAACGCCACTTCCGGACTCTCCCCAAGGAAACAAAGCACACGTGGGACGCTGGTGACTGGACAACATGGACACGCAGCCCATGGGTGCTCTCCATGGCAGAGGAGCGAGGCCACCCAGCTTTGATGTGGCCCTAAAGCAGAGGTGGCTGCTGAGCCAGGGCAGCAGGAGGGTGGCAGGGCCAGGTGATGTACGGTACTGCAGTGACGGCTGCGCACCTGTAGATGCAACCACCGAGACACAGGCACTGGGACAGGTGACCTGGAGGCAAGTCCTACCTCAGGAAGTTGGTAAAACACAAAAAACTTGGGCCAGGGCTTTAGCTCAGTGGTTCTGCCGCCTGCCTCCCAAGCACAAGGACCCAACTTTGATCCCCAGTACCAAAAAAACAAAAAACAAAAATAAAAAACACAAAAAACTTTAAGAAAACAAGACAGGGAGCAGCCTGCCAACCTCCACTTCTGCAGTCTCCATGGCTGGCCTGCTACACCTCTCAATAATGGAAACCCCAATCATCACATCTGCTATTGTTCTGAGACAGGACCTCACTAAGTCATCTAGGCTGGCCTTCAACTCTTGGGCTCAAGAGCTCCTCCTGCCTCGGCCTCCCAAGCTGCTGAAACCACAGGCATGACAGTGACCACTGTAACCCTCGTGTCAAATGTGGAGGAACCTGAGGTGGAGAAGGGACTTGCAGTCACTTGGCTCTCACAGCCCACAGTAGATGTGTCGCCAAGCTTCCACTCAGGTGCAACTGCGACCTTCGTGCTAGCAGACTCCTACTGACTGTCTTGGGCCATGTCCTGCGGGGTCCCTGCCTCCCGGTATCCGGCCTGCTGCCTGATGCCTGCTGCCTTCTGCCTCCTGCGCCACATGGCACTTGCGCTGCCGGGGCCATGGCAGAGAGCACTGACGTCCCAGAAACCTCAGCCAGTTGGGACAGAGCAGCATCCCACTGTCGTTCCAAGCTCTGAAAGCCCATGGTCCTCCTTGGGCCCCTAGCAAACCTCATCGCTGCAAAGCCTGTCCTCAGGGCACTCAATCCACACCTGCCCGGCTGTGCATGAATGTTCCAACAGTTTGCTATAGAAAAAGACTTTTTTTTTCTTTCTGGAAGAGCTGGGGATGGAATGCAGGTCCTCATGCTCGCTAGGCACGCACTCACCACTGAGCTACAACTCCAGCTCTTTTTTATTTTTATTTTTTATTTCAAGAAAGAGGTCTCACGAAGTTGCCCAGGCTGGCCTTGAACCTGCAATCCTCTGGCCCTAGCCTCCCAAGTGGCTAGGATGACGGGTGTGGCCACCAAGCCCAGCAAAAATGACTAATGACAGCACCAAGCTAGGCTCTTCGTGGTGACACAACAGACAGGTTTGATCCTTCATCTGAAAGGCTCTGAACAGAAGCCCGGGACCCTGGGACATCTGCATATACACAGCACACTGCCTGAAGGGGAGGAGTTCTACAACAGGACAGCACTGCTGGGCCAGTGCAGGGTCCTGAGTGGGAGGCGGGGCATGGCCAGGGGACCCTGCCTTGGACCACTGTGGCTGGCCTCAGGCAACTCACCCGCTGGGCCCCGTACATTCTCACCTTCACACTAGGAACAGCGCACCCGACACCTCACATGCGGAGGGAAGAGGCAACATCAAAGGCGCTGGCTGAGGATGGCAATTTCTCACCTTGTCCTCAGAGATGACATCTAAGGCAGCCATGGTGGTGCACATCTGTCCTCCCAGCACTCTGGGAGGCTGAGGCAGGAGAAGGCAACTTGGCAAGTCAGCAAGACCCAGTCTGCAAATAAAAATTAAAAGGGCTGGGGATGTAGCTCAATGTGAAGGTCCTGACTTCAATCCCCAGTACTGAAAAAAGGAAAAAGAGAGACAACATTTGTCTGTTTGGTGTTTTTGGTTATTTGAGACAGGGTCTCGCAATGTACCCCAGGCTGGCCTTCAACTCGTGATGATCCTCCTGCCTCTGCCTCCGCCTCCCAAGTGCTGGGACTGCAGGTGTGTGCACCATGCCCGGCCCTCCAGCTCTTTTTATTTAAGACAGGGTCTCCCTAAGTTGCCCACGTTGCGCTCATACTTGTGACCCTCCTGCCTTGGCTTCCTGAGTAGCTGGGGTGACAGGCAAGCTGCAGGGACCCCGGCTTAGGTCTTCTCTTTAAATCTCAAAACACCCTGGGGGTTTCTTTGTTTTCTGGATGCTGTGTGTGTGTGTCTTCTCAATGGCAAGCATAATACAAGCTTCGTATGGATGATTACTATAGTACAGCAAAAGGCTTAAAACTCACACCCCAGATCATTTTCTTTTCTTTTTTTTGAGTCAGGGTCTTGCTATGTAGCCTGGGCTGGCCTTGAACTCACAGCCACCCTCCTACCTCAGCCTCCTGGGTGTGGAATGATAGGTGTGCACCACCTCACCCAGCCCTCACCATTTCTTACCGGGAACACTGCGGAGTCTGAGTTTCCAATCTGCAGTGGTTCTTTTGCTCATCCAGGAGCACGCACTCTCACCACACTCCACTTCCGGGCTCTCAGGGCGGGGAGGGGTGCCTGGCCCTGCACAGTGAGGAAAAACAAGGGCGAAGCAGGGAGGCAGGCTCCACCCTGCTCACTGGCTTCCACCAGGGAAGACACCGTGGGGCTTGGCGAGTATCTCAGAAACTCAAACCTAGTTCCGAGGATGAAATGCTGGGAGGAAAGGAGACAGGCTTGCTAAGGTCAGCTCTGCAGGCGTTCACGCCCCGCTGCCTCGGAGCCCCGGGGCACAGGCGGCCGGCCTCTCCCTCCGCTGGAGAAAGAAATTCGAGTCTCTGGCTCAGCGGCATAGCGCTCGGATTTCAGCACTGTGAAAGATGTTTGTAAGGCTGGAGCAGCATCACCTGCGTCTCACCCCAGCTACTGGGAGGCGGAGGCAGGATGATCGGAGGCAAGATGATCGCAAGTTCAACCCTTGTCTGGGCAACTTAGCAAAACAAAACAAAAAGGAAAGGACTGGGATGGAGCTTGCCTAGCAGGTGCGAAGGCCCCAGGTTCCATCCATAGTACTGAAAAAAACAATGAAAGAAAATTTATGTACCATACTCAACTGATCCTGCATAAAGAAAATAGCCTAGAGGGCTGGGGATTTAGCTCAGTGGTTTCGCTGCCCAAGCAGAGGGACCTGAGTCTGATCCCCCATACCAAAAAAAAAAGAAAAAACCAGCCTGGTGGTGCCTAGTCCTGCCTGGGAAATTCAGTGACTTGGTGAGACTGCCTCAAAATGAAAAATAAAAAGGGGTGGGGATGCAGCTGTGTGAAGGCCCTGGGTTCCATCCTCAGTACCACATTAACAAAAAAGAGTCAGAAGAAAAAAGGGAAAAGGCCGAAGACTTCGTATCAGGCTGGTTTTCTGGCTCAGCCCAACTATGGGTAAGTTTTTTGCCTTCTAGTTAATCAGCATTTTATAATTTTTGACAATGAACATGCACTGGTAATAAGGAACTTTTCAACAAGGGAATGAGAGCCACTTAAAGCTGGATGTGGCGATGCACATCTGCAATCCCAGCACTCAGGGAAGCTGAGGCAGGACACTCATAGGTCCAAGATGAACCTGGGCAATTTAGGAACTTAGTGAGACCTTGTCTCAAACTGTTAAGAAGTCTGCAATGCCCAGGGACAGAGCTTGTGTGCAGGCCCTAGGCTCAACCCCAGGACCATAAACAAACAGGCCGGGCAGGGCCATTGTGACATCAGCTGGGGACACACCTGTCCTGTCTCTGCCCAAGGGAGCAGGCCCAGGAGGGCAGCAGTGAGTGTCAGAACACCAGTCCCAGCAGTGGCAGGGACGCAGGGGCCAAAGTACAACATGGAGCCCAGCCCGGGACAGCAACTCACCTGGGAACCAGCCAGCTTCCACTGCCCCACCGGGAAGGATGGGCTGAGGAGACAGCGGCACTGAGCCACTGGGTGCTGGGTGGGATGGGAACAAGCAGGGGTCCCCAGCAGCGGAGCTGGGGTGGATACCGGGCCTCATGAGGGACAGGCACAGGCTCCCCATGGCCTGGAAGCTGCTCCAGTTCTCAAAGGCACCCTGATCAGCCATCACCAGGAGACCACATGACCCGGCCAGGATACCAGGCTCTGTGCCACGCCGACAGCCACATGGGGCACCCAGCAAGTCAGATGTGCAGGGCTTACAGCTCCTGGCAGGCAACATCTGCAGGCCAATTCCAGACACAGGAAAACTGAGGCTTGGAGAACGGAGCCAAAAGGTTCAGTCCCACCAGGAAGGCGCAGAGACGGGGTCTGAGCCACATCGGGTACCAGGGACGGGTGCTGCAAGGCACTGGGCTCCGACAACCTCACTTTTTTTGTTGTTTTCTGAGACAGGGTCTGGCTGTGTAGCCCAGGCTGGCCTTGGACTCATGGTGATCTTCCTGCCTCAGCCCCCCTCCCTCAGCTGGGATGACAGGCGCACACCACCACACCAACCTAGAAGCCAACCCTAGTAACGCTGGGCCCAGGCTTGTGTCTAAGGGCTGGCCCTGCGGCTCTGCAGCGAGCGCTCACCTGGCGGGCAGAGGCCTGGGCTCCAGCCCCCTCTACGGAGACAGGACGGCATGTGCCCCTGAGACTGGTCTTTGAAAGCACCTGAGGTCGCCACCCTGCTGCTAGGGCATCCCACGAGGTCGAGGCCCAGCCACACTGACCTCCCAACATGCCCATCCTCTGAACCCAGCTCCCGCCCCTGCCCAGCAAGCAGGAGCTGCCACAGTCACAGTGCAGTGGGACAGGAGCAAACACCTGGCCAGGGAAGGACGAGCATCGGCCGGGCCCTGACCCTGGGCGGAACTCGCCCAGCTCCTGCCCAGAGTCAGAGGGAAAACCTCCCAGACTGCCTTGATTTCTGACAGCCGAAAGACGACTCCTGGGCGCTCCCACAGGTCACCTGCAATGTTTCACGTTGGAAGCTGGTTTCTTGGTTTAAAAAACGTACACAAAGCAGGCACAATGGCATGGTCCAGGGAATCCCAGCTACGCAGGAGGCTGAGCCAAGAGGATCATCTGAGTGCAGGAGTTTGCGGACAGTTTAGGCTACACAGGAAGATGCCTCCCATCTAAAAACTATGCAAACCTAAGTTCCTTCTTTATGGATTCAGGCTTTTTTTTTTCTTTTTTTTGGGACCGGGGATTGAACTTGGGACCTTGTGCTTGTGAAGCAGGCGGCAGAACCACTAAGCTAAATCCCAGGCCCTCTAAGTTCCTTCTTTAAAAGGAGCTTTATTTTCAATGTGATTGAGTTGTAAAAGCCCATTTTCTCCCTCTAGGTTTACCTATGAGTCAAGATTCCAAAACTCAAAACAAATCAAAAAGCTATAGGATTCAGCCGCTGACTAACAGTATTTCATTTTAGCAGAGAAACCAGGGCCCCCCTTCAAAGACACTTCTGAGCCGGCACAGTGGCACACGCCTGTGATCCTAGCACTCGGGAAGCTGAGGCAGGAGGAGCACTCCTGAACTACACAGAGACCTTGTCTCAAACAAACAAACAAACAAACAAACAAACCATTCAAGCAATGGTATGTTGAGTGCTCCCACAGTGCTTTTATTTAACAAAGCCATTCAAAGCAAAGCAAATTTTCAAACCCCACGAACTATCACCAAGCATCCTGTGCTCCCCTTCCTCAGAAACCAGCCACGAGTCACCCGGGCTGTCTTAATAGGTCAGTGACAGGTGACCTCTGCCTTTTAAGTCCTGGGCTGACCTCGCTCCAGGAAGTGGCCGGGCACAGTACATCGCCGGATGAGAGGAATGCAGAGGCCACCCGGGCCAAATCCAGCATCCATCACACCTGGCGCTGGACACTCAACTCACCACAGCTAGACGCTGCCCGAGAGAGGCTTCTTCCAGCTCGCAGGCGACGCTTCTGCTTAGGTCCTCCCATGAGTTGTAAAATTTGTAAAAGTCAGAAGGATTTGGACAAAAGGAAAGTTATTAAAAACAAACCGAGGACCATCCTGAAGCAGGGCTCTAGGGAGGCCAGCAGGGGCCCTGCCGAGAGGAGCCACTGCACCTCTGGGTCCGGGAAGTCGCTGTGTTGCAGGCCTTCATGGAACCTTCCTCCAGGCAGGAGCTGCAGGCGAGACGGCTCCACCCACTGCAAGCTGGGGCTCCCGGGACGGCCCTGGTTTACTTTAAAAACACCCTTGAAGTCATCGGGAATGGGGAAAGGCAGATTCCACATCCGGGCAGTGAGTTCTGGTTCCACCTTTGAGCTCAAGAGCCAAAGAGCCTGCAAAAGTCAGAGAGCAGCGGTGACCGCACGGCACAGAGGTGACGGCGCTCAGGACGCCAGAGATGAATGCCTGGCTGGGACTTCCACCATTTTCTGATTTTAAAAATAAGTGTGGCTGCTCCACACGGGAAACCATTCTACAACACCAAGATGCTTACTTTAACTACACAAGTGACTATTAAAAAGTATGCATAAAGGGCCGGGGATTTAGCTCAGTGGTTCTGGCGCCTGCCTCGAAAGCACCAGTTCCCGAGTTCGATAGCCAGTAACAAGACGACAAAAAATGTACGCATAAAGTTGGGCATGGTGGTGCACACCTGTGATCCCAGCCCCCTGGAGGCTGAGGCAGGAGGATCACCATGAGTTGGAGGCCAGCCTGGACAACAGAATGAGTTCAGGGCCAGCCTGAACTCCACAGCAAGACCCTGTCTCAAACAAAACACAACAATCATTTCCATCGCATTTACACTGCAGTCAGTGTTGTAAGTAACTGCCCAGGGATTTACAGAATGCGGGAGGACTTGTGCAGGGACTAAGCGAATCCTATGCCCTCTTACAGAAGGGACTCAAATGTCCACGGGGTCTGGGATCCCAAGGAGCCCTGGAGACACAGGGACCAAAGCACTTTTATGAATCTGTGACGCTTTAGCCCATTTGTGGCACTACAGTGGAGGGTGACCTCTGTGACTAAAATCAGATCACTAAACAGCCTGCTACAGTTCATTCTGTTCAGTCAAAAACACGTGGAAGAGCACAGCCCTAGAGACGATGCCACTGCCCATCAGGCCTGGGTCTGCTCTACGTGCTATGACACAGCCCTGCAGGGGAGCTCGGAGCTGCCAAACCCACGGGCATGGGGCTTTCCGCGCCACCCCTGTAATAGCTCAGAAACCTCAACCTGGTCCAAAGGGAAAACGGCTACTTTGAAAGAGTAACAGGTGCGGGGACAACAGGCCTCCACACACAAGGGAGAGGAGCTGGGCCTCTACCTCACAACATCTATAAAATTAACAGGAGGCTGAGCAGGAGGACTGCTGTGAGTTCAAGGGCAGCCTGGGCTACACAGTGAGACCCTGTCTCAAAAAACTAAAACAATAGAACAATAAAATAAAATTTAAAGATAACCTGGTCACCTTTAAAAAAGACTCACTATCAAAGCTGGAAAGCAGAGGAACTGGGACCCTGTAAACTGCAGGTAGGAATGTAACATGCCCCACTACTTTGGAAAACCATCTTTGGTTCTTCCGAAGAATAACTGCAGAGTTCTGATGTGACCTAGCCATTTCACACCCAGGTTTATACTCAAGAACATGAAACCTGCCTGTGTGTAAAAGAGCCTGTGCAGGGGCAACCCACTTTCCGGTCCCCCTTCTGGCTCTCCTAGATAGAAGCCTTTTTTTTTTTTTTTTTTTTTTTTTTGTGGAACCGGCAATCAAACTCAGGACCTTGTGCTTGCCGGGCAGGTGCAGAGCCACTGAGCTAAATCCCTGGCCCAGAAGCTATCTTCTCTCAATAAATTTTTCCTACTCTAGGGCCGGGGATTTAGCTCAGTGGTTCCGGCGCCTGCCTCACAAGCGCCAAGGTCCCGAGTTCGATCCCCGGTACCAAAAATAAATAAATAAATTTTTCCTACTCTTTAAAAAAAAGAGTCTGTGCTCAAGCATTCTCATCAGTACTGTCACTACAGCCAAAGAGAAAGGACATGCCACTCTCTGGCAGCTGACAGGGACACCAGATCGGGCCACCACCTCCTCCCAACGCCACTGCAGATGTGTCACAGCAGGCTCCAGACCCCGGGACAGCAGGGAGACCACTCCCCATCTGCCAACTTCTTTGTGATTTCTTTTTTTGGTACCAGGGATCGAACTCAGGAACTTGTGCTTGCAAGGCAGGCGGCGGAACCACTGAGCTAAATCCCCGGCCCTTTGTGATTTCTTAACCACTACCAAGGACGCAGGGAACATTAATTTCTTTTTCTTTCTTTAGTGTTTATGGTACTGGGGATGGAACCCAGAGCTTTCTTGCTGAACTATATTCCCATCCCTCTTTAAAATGTTTTATTTTTGATGAGACAGAAAAATACAATGGCTAACAGGTGGGACACCAGTCCAGGATGTCAGCCATGAGCAGTTTTATTTCTTTCAGCCCAGGCAAATTCCTCCTTGGCAGACCCTGCCTTGAACTCATGCATATTCCAAATATGTCTCCCTTATCTAGCTGACCGTACCCTGACTGATGTTTTCTAACCCGAGTTTGAACTTGCTATAGACCAATCAGTAACAATGATATCACATGTAACCAATCAACTGCTCGTTCTGCCTCTGTACTTAGTTCCTGCTTGCAAACCCTACATATACTGTAGAAGGACAAAAGACAGCTGCCTGGTTCTTTGAGGAACTATCCCAACCAGGTCCGTCAACGTAATAAAGTTTGCTTTCTGCCTGCATGTCCTGGGTGCTTTTCGGTGTTTCCTGCTTGCCATTACAGACAGGGGCTCCCTAAGGCAGTAGGGCTTGAACTTGCAATCTTCCTGCCTCAGCCTCCCACAGTTCTGGGATTGCAGGCGTATATCACCACACCAGGCTGCTCATTCAACATTTACTTTATGTTTCTGGTTTTTCTTTTTCCAGCACTGGGGATTGAACTCAGGGCCTTTGCATTGACCTACATTCCCAGCCTTTCTTTATTTTGAGACAGTCTGGGTAAGTTGCCCAGGCTGGACTTGAATCTGGGATCCTCCTGCCTCAGCCTCCCACCGTGCTGGGATGATAGGTGCGCACCACCAGGTCCTGCTCCATTATCCCATGTTCTCTGTGAGAAACTCACACCACTGAAGTCAGACTGCACATGGCAGTGGCCAAGCTACTTGGACAGCATTTCCACGTGCAGACAGAGCCCTCTGACGCCACCGCCATGGCAGCCCATCACACAGCGACCTTCAGCTTGGGGAACTCTGCTCGTGGAAACTTAGGTGATTACCAGTGTCTCAGTGCCCTGGGAAACCCCTCCTCTCCTATGGAGACTCCTTTCTTCCTGGGCACAGAACCCAGGGCCATCACCTGAGCATCCCCAGCACTTCTCATTTTTCCTTTTAGGTCAGGGTCTCACTGAGTTGTCCAGGCTGGGCTTGAACCATCCTCCTGCCTCAGCCTTGAGTGCAGGGCTAACGGCCCTCTCTTGAGACCTCCCTTACCCACGTCCCCCACAGGAAGAGCCGGCCACCACCAGGGCTCTGCACACCTTCTTTGCAAATGGCCAGAGCAGAGTTGAGGCTGCACAGCCCAGGGTCTTGCAGACAGAAGCACTGTGGAACAAATGCAGCCAGAGCTGCCGGGCAGGCAGGTCTGGCCCACAGACGCCAGAGGTTGCACTGCAGCCCAGAACCCCAAACCCCAGTGGACCTGGAGACATCAAAGTAGCCCAGTGGGACTCTGGACCGACCGGAGGGTAGGATGCTGGACCAGGGACTAAGCTGGCCTCCAGGAACCGAGCAGGGACAACAGAGCTGGTGCTGCTGCCCTGATCACAGCCCAGCAGATGAGGAAGTGAAGGAAGCCAGACAGACAAGACAGGGTCATGAAGGAGACGTGCTGAACAGGACAGAGCAAACACTGGGCTCTTCCTACCCCAGGACCTTGGCACATGCTGTGTCCTGTGCTTTTTCCAGCTTGTGAATGGCAGTCCCCTCCCATCCTTTCCATCCTGGTTTAAACGGCAGCTGCCCAGAGAACCTTTCTTTCCCTGGCTGCCCCTGCAACTGGGACCCCCAATCCTCTCCTGCTTGCTGCTTTTTTTGGGAAACAGGGTCTTATTGTATAGTCCAATCCAGCCTTGAACTCACTATGTAGCCCAGGCTGGCCTTGAACTCATGGTAATCCTCCTGCCTCAGCCTCCTGAGTGCTGGGATTCCAGGTGTGCGACACCACGGCCACCCAGAAATCAGCCACTTCTAGCAGGGCTGCTGGGGGGGACCAGGTCGCACACCAGACATTCACACCATTTCACACCTGCCCAGATGCCACGACAGGCTGAGCCCAGCAGAGGTGGCAAGGGTCAGACTCAGGCTCAGGGTGAGTGCCAGGCACAGGGGGACCTGGAGGACACTGTTCCAATCAGCTGTAACACCGCCCACGGGGACCTCGGTGAGAGTTGAACCCGGCTGGACCCTCACGCAGGCAGTTTGTTTTGGAAGCAGAAGCACAGTATACACTGCAAGCTGAACGCACAGAGAATGATCTTCCCACAGGTCACCCTGGAGACGACACTTACACAATCATGCAGAACATCATGAAGATGTTCCACAGGGCGATGAAGATCCGGAAGTATCGGAGGCTCAGTAAGAACTCTCGGATGTTGTCACCTGCAAAGTCAGAAAGCGCTTTTAGTGCCCATGTCTCTGGGGTGGTGGGCTCCTGTGACTCTACTCCCATGGGGTCCAGCAGCCCTCACCTTCCTGGGACCACCTGGCTTCTTCTGCCAGCTCCTCAGCTCCCCCACCCCGAACACGGGGGGCTGTAGCAGCCACTGACCAATCCTCTGACAGCACCAAGCCTGGAAACCGCTGACTGGCTGAGGGCGGGGCATGTGACTTGAGTCTGTCCAATCAGAATCTGCTCTGAGACTTCCACCCCTAACACACTACTGAGAAAAAGACCCTACCCTCATTTTTTGAGGGGTTTGCTAAGCTGGAAGATGTAAACTCAATGCTCTAAGAAAGGATCAGAAAACTGGCCTACAGGTCAAATCCAGCCCTTTCCACCTGTTTTTTTTCTGTATGGCCTGTGAGCTGAAATTGTTTTACATTTTCAAATTTTAAAAAATCAAAAGAATATTTTTTGAGACAAAAATGATATGAAATTCAAGTGTCTGTCTATGAATAAGGCTTCATCAGCACACCCCCACACCTAGTTAGCACCTTCTCTGACTGCCTCTGCGTGGTCCCAGGAGAGTTGAGCTCTCCCATCACAGAGATGCAACTGCAAGTATTTACCTAGTGGCTATTTGCAGAAGAATGCGTCCTGCCTGGGGCCATCCCTGAACACAGATCATTGTGACAAAGAAAAAAGGGGAACTGAGAGCTGACCAGTCAGATGTTAAAGGGCTGCAAGGGCCCCTGACCCCAGGGGTACAGAACGTAACATTCCATTAACCACTTTGAGCTGAGTTGGAAATGCTAGAAAATAAAATCACCCCTAGGGGTGAGGTTACAGCTCAGTTGTGAACACAAGGCCCTGGGTTCTATCACCAGCCCCCAAATAAAACAAACAAAACCCAAAATAGACAAATAAAGCATCCCAGGCATGGTGGCGCACACCTGTCATCCCAGCACTCTGACAGGCTAAGGCAGGAGGATCCAAAGTTCAAACCCAGCCAGGGCAACTTAATGACTTAGCGAGGCCCTCTTGCAAAGTAAAAAGTTTTTAGAAAGGGCTGGGGATGTACATCAATGCAGAGGCCTGGGTTCAATCCCCAGTATTGCAAAGAGAGGGGAAAAAAACATCCCTAGTTTGCTCTTATCAAACTGGTATATGCTTTGGGGATTCATGCTGCTCTCCACTCCCTGTAAAGGGAGGCAACCTGGTACATGAGGACTCCAGAAAGCCAGGGGGCTCTGGAACCTTCCTCGGGGCTCCAGGGCTACAGAATGAGAAGAATGCTGTGAGCCACCAGATGCTACCTGAAGCATCACACACAGACTGGGCTCCAAAATGCTTCCAGCAACCCAACATCTCGGCCCACAGGTTAGATAAGCTGAGACTTAACCAACAGACAGGCCGAGCTGCGGGCAGGCAGTGATGCAACCTTGATGTGGAATCACTAAGACACAGATCTGTCCCCAGGATGCTCAAAAAGTGCCACGCGCCCTAGGATAGTGACAAGGGCTGGCCGGCCATCAGGAGCTGGCGACGGAGGTCCCTCGTCTCAGGCAATAGCCAAGCACAGGGTGCAGGGAGGAGCAGGACCCAGCACCCAGTGAGCACCCGCTGAGCAAAGTTCCGACCCAGACATGGGGTGGGGATCGATGCAGACACACTGCGGAAGGTCAGGCGCTGCCTCGAGTGGGGACAGGAGAAGACTTCTGCACCAGAGCCGGTCTGGGGCCTGGCCTGTCTGTGCCCAGGTACAGTGTAATGGGGTTGGCAGCACACTTCGGGGCCAAGGGGCCAGCCAGGCTTGGAGGGGCAGCAGCAGGTACAGAGTCCCATCTGAGGGAGCCTGGGGAGAACACAGCCCACCAGGCAATGGCAGGAGAGCCCTGCTCAGCCACTGAGAGTCCTGCCATTCCTGAGCCTGGTTCCCAGCCTCCCAGACACCTCAGCTCCGATCCAGACCTGTAAAGCACTAGTGCCTTCCCCAGCTTGCCAGGTGGCTGAATGAACGCATGGGCAAATCCAGTGGATGTATCAATGGATAGAGGGAGGCATGGATGAGTGAGCTCATGGATGGATGAATCAACAGATGGTGAATCAATGAATGGATGGGTGAACTGATAGATGAATCAAAGGATGAAGGGTCAATTGAGTGTACTAACTCTAGGGCTGGGCATGGTGGTGCACATCTGTAATGTCAGCACTTGGGAGGCTGAGGCAGGAGGATCACCGAGTTCGAGGCCAGCCTGGGCTACATAGTGAGTTTAAGGCAGTCTGAATTGCAGAGAGAGACCTTGTCTCAAAAAAAAAAAAAAAAAGCTGGGGATTTAGCTCAGTGGTTTCGCCGTCTGCTTCACAAGTGTAAGGACCCAAGTTCGATCCCCGGTACCAAAAAACAAAAAAAGAGAGAGCGAGAGAGAGAAAGAGTACAAACTCTGGGGTCAAAAAACCCAGTTTCCCCACATCTGCCTCGCAAGCATAAGGTCCTGAGTATGATATCTGGTATCAAGAAAAAAAGTTTCCAGTTTCCAATCCTATCACTGATTTGCTGTGTGGTCACAGGCAAGTTAAGCCCCATCTCTGAGCCTCCGTTTCCTCACATGTAAAATGGGAAAATGAGCCTCACCTTTTATGGACAGAGGTGAAAGCAAGCACCAGTAGGAAACACCTCCGGACAGCAACCCACAGGCTGGCTCCCAACCGAGGGGAGATGCTCAGCCATCCCTAAGCCTCTGGTCCTCAGCGCTCCTGTCCTCCTCAGGGAGTGCTCCATCCCTGAACTGATGGCTTCCTCGAAGGGCCTTCCTGCCACACACTCAACGTCCAGGGCTCCCAGGACAGCACCATCCCTAGCTGAGGACGCCTCTTTTCAATGCCTGTTCTTTATTTAGGAACCATTCCTCCCACCCTAGGTAACATCCATCCTGTGCCCCACTCTATCCCAGCACCCAGCACAGTAGCTGGCAATGGAGCAAGTGCTCAGTCAGTGTCTGATGACTTTGGTTTTTGCTGCTCTGGGACTGAATCTACGGCCTACACATGCTAGGGAAACGTTCCCCACTCAACCATGCCCCAGCTGACAGAACAATGAATAACTATAAGAGCTATATACTGGTCCCTTTAGACTCAGTCATGTGATTAATCAGTATGAAGTGCAAATCCAGAGGCCTCTCAGGGCTGGGGGATGAGATGCATAATGTGAAGGGGTTGAGCTGGGGTGTGCAGGAGTCCGCAGGCCCTGCCTTAGTGGGGTCCTGCTTCTCAATGCCCCTCAGTGGGTGACAAGGGATCCCCCAATCCCAAGCTGCAGAGGCGCTCTACCACTCAGCTATAGCTATAGCCCTTTTATCATTTGAGACAGGGTCTCACTAAGTTGCCCTGGCTGGCCTTGAACCTGTCATCCTTCTGCCTCAACTTCCAAGTAGCTGAAATTATAACCATGCACCACGATACACAATTCAATCTTTTTTTGGTGGTGGTACTAGAGATCAAATCCAGGGCCCTCACATTAAGCTACATCCCCAGGCCAAGGTCTTGCTAAGTCCCTGAGTTGACCAGGCTGGGCTCAAACTTGTGATTCTCCTGCCTCATCCTCCCAGAGTGCTGAGATTACAGGCGTCCACCATCACACCAGTCTCCACAATTTTTTAAAGAGCTAAATTTAAAATTTTGATTTTTTTCTCAGTGGCACCGCTCCTGCCTCACAAGTGCAAGGTCCTGAGTTCAATCCCTGGTACCAAAATTTTTTTTGACTTTTTAAGAAAAATCAGACATCAATGTACCAATAAATATTTCACTATTAAAGAAAGAAAAATTAAAAAAAAACTTAAAAAATAGAAAAATCAGGGGCCGGGGATTTAGCCCAGTGGTTCTGCTGCCTGCCTCACAAGCGCAAGGTCCCAAGTTCAATCCCCGGTACCAAAAACAAAACAAAAAAACCTCTGATCTATTCAAAATTCGAATGTTGGCATGTAATTTACAAAACGACAAAGGTCTGCACGCTCTGAAAGCAACAGCTACCAGAGGAACAGCTACGGGTGAAGTTTTCTTGCTCATTCATTTATTCACCGCACTTCTGGCTGGGTGTGAGGGTCAGACAGGAACCAAGCGATAGTGCAGAGCTGCAGGAAATGCTTATCTCACTGAGAGGACAGGTGGAGAAGTGGGCAGGATCAGCCCACCTCTCTGCAGTCCCCATTCGCACAATCAGTTAAAAAGAAAACCTGCCAAGAAAGAACGGTCCTCCCTGAGGTCCATCGCAATTCCAGGGTCCAGAAAGGAGCTCTTACCTGTGCTGGGTTCCCTCGACTCTTCCCCAAAGCCCTGCGTGTCCTTCTTCTTCCTACGGAGAGAAGCAGACAACGTCCACTTGCACTGGGACACACAGACGCCCCAGGGCCCCGACCCTGACACCAGCTCAGAAAGCAAGGTCACCAAGCTCCAGCCTCAGCCCGCGGCTGTCAGGCTTGTGACCTGGGGTGGGCCAATGTTCCGCTCTGGGCATCACCTGCCCTGCCCAACCGACTAAACAGGGAGCGCAGGGCGAGGGTCTGGGTCGGGATTGTCTCCTGGGGGTGCGTCTGAGGCTCTAGGGATGAAGCAGGTCAGCCGAGGGCGAGCATTTAAAAAGCCCAGGTCGGCGCTGAGGGGCAAAAGGAAACCAAGGCAGCGTAGGGGCGTGGCCAGAAGACGGACTCCGACGTGGGGCGGGGACTACGGCGTGGGCGGGTTTACACCCTCGGGAGCGGGCCTGTGAGTTCCCCGAGTGGAGCCGCAACCCAACGCGGGCTACTCACAATTTAAAGTTGACCACGGCCCCAGCATTCATCAGCAGCGTCCTGCGGAGGGAGAATTACGTTTACTAAGTGCGTCCCCGCCCCGTCTGGCTCTCTTTTCCCACCTCGGGTCCCCCTAATTACCCGAACAGCAGGATGTCCCCGATCATCGTTACAGGAGAAGCAACCGTCAGAACCGGAAACGGAAGTCCAGGGGAAGGGGGGGGGAAGGAGCATCAACCGACCAATCCTGAAACAACGGTGACGAGGGTCGGGGCCAATCGAAGGCCAAGGCATGAAGGGGTCCCGCCCTCGAGAGCCCGGGGGATGGGAGCGCCACTCCTTGCCCGGGAGGTCCCGAGACGAGGAAGAAAGGGCGGAACGAAGCCTGTGCCTTCGGGACAAACTTTCTCGCGTCCGACGCGCGCGCGCATGCGTCAGGATGCGCAAGCAGAAGTTCCGCCCTGAAGCGCCTCCCGCTCGCGGGGATCCGAGGTTCGGGTTTCTAGAAAAACGGAGCCCAGACCCCTGAACTGTCCAGGGACGGGATGTGGTGCCGTAGGCTCCAGACTGTGCGGCGCTGCAACTCTATGGGCTCCAGAAGAGAGGTCCTCCTAGGCCCCGCTGGAGGCTGAGTCCCCACTGGGCGCCCCCCAGGTTGTACTGATGATGGGGTCCCCTCAGGGGAGCGTCCTGCCTGAGCTCCACAGAGGATAGGGGCCCAGCTGGTCCAGCCGGAGGGGCGGCAGGCGACAGGCGCCCAGATGGACACGGGTCCCGCTGTCCGCGTCGCTGGGCTGAGGGGAGCCAGGCGTGCAGCTGCCCACGTCTTCATCCTGGGGCCTCTCTGCTCCCGGGGGCGGGGCCGACCGGCCTGGGGGCGGGGACTCCGCGGGTAGAGGCAGGGAAGGGGTGGGGCCTTGGGGGCCGCGCCTTGTGCTCGGTGAACTGGGCGGGGACTGGTGCGTGTGGGCGGGGCCGGGCGGGGCCGGGCGGGGCCGGGCGGGGCCGGGCGGGGCCGGGCGGGCCCTCGGGGGCGCTCGGCGGCTCCGCCGCGGGACTGGCTTTGGGAGCCGGGCCGGGTGGCACCGGCGGGGCGGCGGTGGGCGGGCGATCGCCATGGAGCTGCTGTCGGCACTGAGCCTGGGCGAGCTGGCGCTCAGCTTCTCCCGGGTGCCGCTCTTCCCGGTCTTCGACCTCAGCTACTTCATCGTCTCCCTTCTCTACCTCAAGTATGAGCCCGGTGAGTGCCCCGGGACCGTCGGGGGCGGCACCTCCCGGGAGCGCTGCATCGTGGTTTCGTCCCCCAGGCGCGGGTGGAGAAGGGATGCGTGGGGTGGGGCGCACGCGTGTAGAGCGCACGGGGTCGCCCGGTGCAGATTCACGTCCCGCCGCCCCCTGCGTGACCTTTCTCTGCCCCCTTGGCGCGCGCCGCGGCTGCCGGCTGCTGATGTCTAAATAAGGCCTGCGAGCCGGGGGCAGCGATGGGGTTCGGGAAAGTGATACCGGTGTCCCCTCCTGTCCCCTCCGCGCCGGCGCTGTGGGAATTCTTCCAGCCCGGCCTGGGATCCTTTCCACTCCCGAATCCTTTCCACCTGGCCGGGTGACGCGGGTCAGCCTCCGCCCCAGGCCCCCTTGGGGAGACGCAGGAGGAAAGACAGACTCTGCTTCCATCCCCTTTAATATTTTCCTAAATGAGAACAACCGGCCTCTTTGGAGCGCCTTCTATTTTTATACCAGGTTCACCAGCACAAGTGCTTCTCGTTCATGTCCAGTATTCTAATTAGTCTAGCTCACCACCACACGCAATGGACAGGAGGAAAATCTAGCTTGAGATAAAAGATCAGCTACCAAAAACTTTGTGACCATTTCTCCCACTTGGGTGTAAACTATGCTTGTATCTCAGAACAGGAATAGCTTTAGTTTTTTTTCTCTTGTAGTAGAAATAATTTTATTCTTTCTCAGATGACAAAAAATAGGCACTCATGTTTACCAAAAATCATACTGAAAAAAAGCAATATTACAGTTCAACTGCCCCCCCCCCCCAGTTTTCTTCTGTGCATTTATACCCTACACTTAGAGACAGCCGGGCAGGGTCTTATGCAAACAAGACCACAGCCTGCTGTCAGGAGAGGAGGTACTATTTTTGCCTATCCACCTGCCAGAGCCTATTTCTTTAATCTTCAGAAAAGCAGCTGCATTGCAAAGCAGAATAAGGTTTGTATTGCCTTAGCTTAAACTTGGAGCTGTATTTCCTGTCTAGGGGAGAAATCCTGGTGGCCTTTGCCAGTGCCCTGAGCAATTGCAGAACCCAGCACATCTTGGGAAATCTAAAACGAAGGAGGATGGGCTTAAAGTGCTGCAGCCTGAAGAGTCCCCAAGGTCTGGGAGTGGTTCTCAGCCCTGGCTACCCAACAGATGCACCTTCGGGTTTTCAAAGCTCCCACCAGCTGGGGTGCAGCACATATGAGGCCCTGGGTTCCTCTCCACCACCTCAAAATGAAGTGTCACATTGCTATGTTTGCCCCACCCCATTTGGTGTGGGTGCTCAGCTTCTGAAAATACTGTGTGTGTGTTACTAGGGACTGAACATAGTGCCTTCCAACTGAGTCTCATCCCCAGCACTTTTGGGGGGGGGGTACAGGGATCGAACTAGGGACCTTGAGCTTGTGAGGCAGGTGGTGGAACCACTGAGCTAAATCCTGGCCCCCCAGCACTTTTTAAAAAATGTTTTGAGACAGGACCTCACTAAGTTGCCCAGGCTGGGCTCAAATTTGTGATCCTCTGTCTCAGCCTCCCAGAGTGCTAGGATTGCAGGTTCAAGCCATCACATCTGGCTGTCTATAAATAATTCCTAGAGTTCATGTGAGGTTGTAGTACCAGCATTTTCAAGGCCTGGCCACACAAAGTGGCCCAAGCCTGTAATCCAGGTTACTCCAGCGGCTGAAGCAGGAGGATCACAAAATCACAAGTTTGAGGCCAGCCCAGACAATTTAGCAATGCCTTGTCTCAAAATAATAGAAAAAGGGCTGGGGTGTTGGGAATTTAGCTCAGTGGTTCCACCGCCTGCCCCGCAAGCACAAGGATCCGAGTTCGATCCCCGGTACCAAAAAAAAAAAAAAGGGCTGGGAGTGTAGTTCAGTGCTGGAGCACTTGCCTAACATGTGCAAGGCCCTGGGTTCACTCCCGCTGCCCCCCAAAAGCAGAAAAACAAGCAGAATTTGCAGGGCCAGGTACAAAGTGACACAGTGGGACCCCTTGTTCAGAAATAAAGAATTTCTGAATTTGGAGCCTTTTTGAGCCTGGGGTCCCCTGAAGCTGACCCTGGCTAAGCTGGCTTTCAGGAAGACACTCTCCAAACTGGGAGTCAGTTCTGCCCCAGCACTGGGTAAACACAGAACTTGTCCCTTCACCTCCACGAGTTTCTGTTTCTCTCTGTAAAACTGGTTCACTGGTCAAAGAATCCCACACCCCCTTTCCTGGCTATTTGGGATTTTTTTGGTTTTTGAGACAGGGTCTCACTATGCAGTTCAGGCTCTCCTTGAACTCACTATGTAGCCTAGGCTGGCCTCGAATTTGCAGGAATCCTGCCGCCTCAGCCTCCCAAATGCTGGGATCATTGGTGTGGGCCACTGAGCCCAGCACCTTTCCTGGCTGTTTGTGAAGACCTTCTGGGAACTGTGCCAGGAGCGGGGACTGGAGCGTTTTGGGGAGGGGTTACATTTATTTGGAAAGCTCTGGGGAAAATGGTTCCGATCCGGCTCTCTGGGGAATACTCATCCGTGGCACCTGGGAGCTGGATAGAGGTGCAGGGTCTTGGGCATCACCCAGACTGCGGAACCCACATCTGCATTTGAGCCTTGAAGACTCCGGGTGATTCATGAATGGGCCAAAGCTCAAGACTGGCTTAACTGAACACCTGGAGCACTGGACAAGCAGAGGGCGGGGCCTGGCACCTCTCTGGGCCCCACTCCAGGCCAGGAGAAAGGAGGAGGCAGAGTGCTTCGTGCCACGTGCCTGATCGCAGCAACGGTCCTGGGCACCTTAACCCCCTGTCCATCCCAAGAACCTTTCTGGCCACAGTCCCCAAACCTGGCTTCCCGTCAGACTGACCTGGCAACCGTTACTCCTTCCTGGTCATTTAGATCCGAGTCCCCAGAGTTGGGTCCAGGTGTCCCCCTGCATGATGGGGCGTTGCTTCCAGGACTGCCCATGGGCACCAAACTCGAAGATGCCCAAGCCCCTGCCATAGAGCTGGGCAGAGTTTGCATTGACCCCTCGCACCGCCCCCCCCCCCGACTTGCAGCCCCTGACAGCCAGCGTACATGGTGTCTATGTCATATAGCTCATAGTCACTGTGCTGCGTCCTTAGGGGATCGCTCCAAGAAACACTCCCTACATGTTCAATACAGGCTCAATTATTTCTGGAATCTTTTCTGCCTGAGGTGGTTGAATCTTCAGGTGCAGATCCCACAGGTACAGAGGGGTGGGTGTATTTTTTGAAATTCCCCAGATAAGAACTGATTGTCCACACCAGGGTTTCCCAGCTGTCCTCTGTACTTCAGGAGGTGTCGCTGCCTCACTGTAGTCGCTAGCAGCATCCCCAGCCCTCTCACCCTAGGGCCCAGGCCAGCTGTACAGGGAAGCAAGCCTGGGGAAGACATTCCCGGGTGACAACCAGCCAGACACAATCCCCTGGCTGGGGCTGCTGCTGCCGCTGCTATTTTTACAAAGAAACTGAGAATATAGATTTGCACCTCCTTTGGTGTCTAGAAGGCTCCAGACATTTCGTTCAAACACTTTTTCTTTTTAAAGTTAATAGACTTTTTTTGTTGTTATTTGTTTTTTTGAGACAGGGTCTTGCTACATAGTCAGGATGGTCTTGAATTTGCTACACAACCCCAGGCTGACCTCAAACTTGCAGCGATCCTCCTGCCTCAGCCTCCCACATGCTAGGATCACAGCCGTGCACCACCACACCCAGCTGACTGTTTTTCAGAGCAGTTTTAGGTCTACAACATACTCAAAGATGGAAGTGCAGATTTCCCATAGGCTCCTCCCTCCTCCCCTGCCACCACCCTCACCAGAGGAAGGTTTGTCCGCTGTTGTCTTCATCATTTGGGGCACTGGAGCAGAACCCAGGGCCTTGAAGCAAGCGCTTGTGCCAGGCAACCGCCCACCACTGAGCCGCACCCCAGCCTGCTGCAGTCTATGGATTTTGACCAACATAGAACAATGCGCATCCACCCTTACAGAATCGTACAGAAACAGTCTAGTTTCACTGCCTGGAAATCCCCTGTGTAGCCTTTTCTTTGTTTTGGTTTTGTTTTTCCAGTACTGAGGATTGAGCCCAGGGCCTTGGCACTGAGCTGCATCTCTGGTGCTTTTTATTTTTGTCTTGAGACAGGGTCTCACTGAGTCACTAAGTTGCCCAGACTGCACTGGAACTTTCGATTGTCCTGCCTCAGCCTCCTGAGTGCTAGGAGTACAGGCATGGGCCACCACACCGGCTTCAGAGCTGAGTTTTAAAAGTCTGTCCAGGGAGGACTAGACTTGCCTGGCAGGAGCGAGCCCCTAGGTTTTTATCTCCAACACTGCAAAAAAAAAAAAATCCACCCCCTGAGATTTCCACCCCAGACATTTCCCATTTCGGCTGGGATTCTGAACGCCGCTCGAATCTTTGCTAAGAACCAGACCGTTCCTTCTCAGTCCCACAGGCACCCTCTGGAGTAACACATAGAACCGGGGTGGAGCAGCCGGATACTCCTGCTTTAGGAAGACAAGGTCTACATCTGGGAAAGCTAGGCCGTCCCATCGCTGAAGCGCACACCAAGTCGGGGTGGGGGTTGCTGAGATCACCCCGGGCCAGGTAGGTCCGGCCAGGCACGTCCCAGGCGCTTGGCGTTGAAATCCCCGATTCCCAGGCTTGCTGCTACCAGCCCAAAGTGCAGCAGGAGAAGCCCAGGGCTGTGTCCGACAGGAAGGACCTGCCTGGGCTTTGGAGCCTGGAACAGCTCAGCGTCACTTTCGAGGGCTCCCTGGGGCAGGCCTGTCCCCTCAGTCACCTCTGAGCATGGGGACCCTGGTCCCACCCCAGTGGTTGCAGTGGTGTTGGTAATGCTGGCCTTCTTTCGCCCTCACCGTGCAAGGGGACAGAGCACAGTGTCTGACCACGGCCACACCACAGTGAGTGGCAGAGCCAGAACCTGGGCACCAGACTTTTTTGCTTGCAGTACTGAGGGGTTGAACCCAGGACCTTAGCAATGAGCTCTGTCTCCAGCCCATTATTTTTTGAGACAGGGCCTTGCAAGTTGCCCAGGCCAGACTTAAGCATGCTATCTTCCTGCCTCAGCCTCCCCAAATGGTGGGTGCACAGGTGGCTCTGGGTATGATGCCAGGGAGTGCTCACAGGAACACACAGGAGCCTTCTGGAAGCCCTGCCCTCAACTCCCAACTTGTCTCAGATTGATCCCCAAGGGCAAAAGAAAGACTCTGAGGATCACAGCCCCTGGGAGTTATTTTTAGATGCAGAAGTATCCATTTCTGCACAACAGGGTGCCTGGCCAGACCGGCTCTCAGGACCAGCAGCTGCTAGGGGATTAACTCTCAGCGGAACCCTGGGTTGTAAATAGAAGCCCCAGGACAGGGGAGGAGGGACAGTGTTTTGCTTCTGAGCCAAGGACCTTGAGACTTAGGGGGAGGGGAGGGAACGTGTCATCCCAGGCTCCAGCAGCAGTGAGACAAAGAAGGGTGACACGGTCCCCACCCAACACAGGAAAATGGTGAGTTCAAGATCATGTGGCTAGTTGGTGTGAGGAGGAGAGAGAGGATTGCTTACTTTTTACTGTGTCAGGGATGTGTGCTGATTGTAAAATGTAGTCTGGGGGATCATAAATTGTGATCTCTTCCTGTGGTGGAATACTATATAGCAGTGAAGATGAGCATTACCCTTGAAAACCTTGTGGTCAGTAAAAGAAGCCCCACACAAAAGGCACATGTGTCATATGATTCCACCCCCATGAGATGCAGTCAGCTCTTTGCTTCTACGGGTTCTCCACCTGAGAATTTGACCAATCATTGATGGAAAGTACTCAGCACAGCGGGTGTGGTGGTGCATGCCTGTATTTCCAGCATTTGGGAGGCTGAGGCAGGCAGGAGTACTGGTGCAAGTTTGAAGCCAGCCTGGGCTACATGCAAGACCCTACCTAAAGAGAAAAAACAACAGATAAACCACATCTGAACTGAGTATGTCCAGACTTTATTTCTTGTCATCAATACAGCCACTATTGACATGGCATTGGTTGTACTATGTATTCTCAGTCATATAGAAGTGGTTTAAAGCATACGGCAGGGCTGGCGGGGCAGGTCGGCGGTGAGCACCTGCCTAACATGTACAAGTCCTGGGCTCCATCCTTACCGCTGAAACCAAAGTACATGGGAGGGCTGTGCGACAGTACAGCCTTGTGGATCCAGGACCTGTGTCCTACCTGCAGCAGGGTGAAGGGTCACCCCAAAGAGCTGCAGGATGGCTGTATCTAAACCCCAGAATGCTTTCATCACCCTGCCCCACAAGCCTTCCCCCACCTTCACCCCAGCAGCACCAAATCACTTCCTGTCCCAGTGGAGTCAGCTGTCCCGGACACAGTCTGGGCTAGAACTTGTGATCCTCCTGCCTCAGCCTCCCAGAGTGCTGGCGTGACAGCTGTGCACCACCTGTTAGACTGTACTTTTCTCCTGCTGTAACCATGTGTCGGTGCACATCCCATCCTCCAGTCTCCCGCTGGCATCTACAAGGAGCAGAAGTGCTGGGTGTGTTGCTGTGACAACATCCTGGCTAATCAGGTAGGAGGAGGAAAGGTTTATTAGGGCTCCTGGCCTCAGAGCCTTATGGGCCAAGTCTCATGACCCTGTGGCCTCCATGTGGCAGAGGAAGCCTCTTCTGTGGCCAGGAGGCAAAGAGGAAGAGAAAAGGCCCCAGGGGCCTATGTCCCCTGTAAGCCACGCCCCCAATGACCTACTTACTCCCACTAGGCCCCACCTCTTCAAAGCTCCACACTTCCCAACCCGACACAGGCTGGACCCCAATCCCTTATAACACATGAACATTTGAGGACTCTGCGCACCATACCCCAGGCCTGGAGCACAGAGCAGGTGCCGTCTCAGATCTCCCTGGCGTTGGGGTCCCAGGCCCCCCAGAGGGGTGCAGGTCAGGCTCACTCACCAGAAGCAGCCACGGTACCCGGCAGGGCTTCTGTCTGTCCCGGTGCTGTATCAGAACCTGCAGGGTGGCTGATTGGCCCCAGGGTTTGTTCCTCCCCCGTGGAGGCTGGAAGGCTGAGACTGGGTGCTCGGGGCCGTTGGTTTCAGGGGCCTCTGCCCACTTACAGTGCCTGCCCCAGGTGAGGAGCAGCAGAGGATCCTCTAAAGCGGTGGTGAACACATGGCACACGTGCTATTTGTCTTTCTTTAAGAGCGTCAGGTATGAGTTCATTTTTCTGAACTAAAACTTCGGTATTCAGGCTTAATTGCAGTGTTGGCGCTTTGTGACAAATGAGTGCATTTGGGGTTGCAGTCTAGGCGCTGGTCTTTAAAAGGTTAAAAGGTCCGCCGTCCCGTTCTAAGGGCACTAATCCCGCTTGGGAGGATCCACCCCACAGCCGGACCACCTCAGGATATGGACGTGTGGGAAGCCCAGTGGTGTGGTGCACGCCTGTAGTCCAACACTCTGGGAGGGTGAGGCAGGAGGATCACCGTGAGTTCAAGGCCAGCTCAGGGGCTGGGAACGCGGGTCAGCACCAAGGCCTGGGTTCAGTCCCGATCCGCACACATACGAGGGACGCACCCCACCGCCGGGTTGGAGCTGAGGGGAATTTGGGGTCTCTCCTATGAAAGCCTCTCCCGGTGTCCGAGCCTGGGAAGCCTGGGCAGTGTGAGGGTGTCACTGTCGCCACCGCTGCGTGGCACAAAGCCGCCCCCCCCCCCGCCCGTGCAGCCTTGGTGTCGCGTGCGCCCTGCTCCTTCTCTGAGCCGCTGACTCCCTGGCGCCGGCGACGCCCGAGGAGGGCCTGGGCTGGCCGCGGTGCCCTGATGGGGCTGACGGGCGTCCTGCTGCAGGCGCCGTGGAGCTGTCGCGACACCACCCCGCAGCCTCCTGGCTGTGCGCCATGCTGCACTGCTTCGGCAGCTACATCCTGGCCGACCTGCTGCTGGGCGAGCCGGCGATCGACCACTTCAGCAACAGCGCCAGCGTGCTGCTCGCCTCCGCCGTGTGGTAAGCGCCGCTCGGGGCACAGGGCCGGGCAGGGGCCGCGCCCGCCGCCTCGCCTGCGACGCCTCCTCCCTCCGCAGGTACCTGACCTTCTTCTGCCCGCTCGACCTCTTCTACAAGTGCGTGAGCTTCCTGCCCATCAAGCTGGTCTTTGTGGCCATGAAGGAGGTGGTGCGCGTGCGCAAGATCGCCGTGGGCATCCACCACGCCCACCACCACTACCACCACGGCTGGCTCATCATGATTGCCACCGGCTGGGTGAAAGGTAAGCGGACCGGACCAGGACGGTGAGACCCCGCCAGGCGCACACCAGCCGCTGTTCTGGCCCAGCTAGCAAGCCAGTGGCCTGACCCGGACGGCGGACACCGCGAGAGCCAGCGTGCCCGGCGCGCAGCAGCATCCGGGCCCTACCCGCAATCCCGAGCACCCAGCTGCACGGCAGCGACAGCCAGAAACGACCCCCCAGCAACATCCCGGTCCCCCCAGCACTCCAGAGGTTGAGGCAGGAAGATCATCGCGAGTTCCAGGCCAGCCTGGGATACATGGGGAGACCCAGCCTCAAAAAAATACAAAAGAAAAAGAAAGCAACACTCCCCCAGGAGAGCCTCATTTCTCCGTAGTACCATATACGGGTCTTTACCTTTGTAGGCCCCGCCCATCTTCAGCCCTGTGAAGCCTGCAGACCCTTGTAGATATTCATTGATGATTCACTGTTGTTGTTGTTTTGAGGAACAGTCTCGCTAAGTAGTCCAGGCTGGCCTCAAACTTGCGGTGATCCTCCTGCCTCAGCCTCCCCAGTGCTAGGTCTCCCCTCTCCCCCATCATCCGCGCTAACAGGCAAACCAAGAGAGACTTCAAAACTAAGTGTTACAGAAATAAAGAGGGACCGTTCAGAATGAGAGAAGAGTCCACTGACCAGGAAGGCAGTTTGCAGTTATGTAGATGTTGCATATATGTTTGCAGTTACAAACATATATGTACCTAAAAACAGGGCACCAAATACATAATGCAGAAGCTAGCTGCAGCAGCCAAGTGTGGTGGTGCACACCTGTAGTCCCAGCTCTTGGGAGGGTGAGACAGGAGGATCTCTGTAAGTTTCATGGTAAATTTAAGACGAGCCTGGGCTACATAGCATGACCTTGTCTCAAAAAAAAAAGCTCAAGGAAGCCAAGTGTGAAGAACAGTTCCACTTAATCACCGGAGAAGCGTCCCTAAGAGTAACAGGAGGTCCAGGCAAGTGCTAAAAACTGCTTCCTGTCGTCAGAGTCCCCAAGCTGGAACGCCCTCCAGAGAGCCACAGTGCCCGTAGAGCCGGAGCCAGCCCTCTCTTGCTGGGTGGCTCCAGGCAAGAGGGAGCGGCCCACAGTGGGGGGAGTTGGGGTGGGGAGGGCTGGGTGGATTTGGGGGTGCTGGGTGGGGTATCAGGCAGCAGCCTAGTTTGAGACCCAGCGGGCAGGGGCCAGGCCTGGCCCTTCACACTGGCCTGGCTCCAAACGTGCCGGCTCTGTCACCTGAGCCTCAGTCCCCCCCCCCCAGGGACAGTTGCACCCCAGGCTGGGCATTCAGCGGCCACTCACCAGCGCCCCATCCCGCAGGGTCTGGCGTCGCCCTCATGGCCAACTTCGAGCAGCTGCTGCGGGGCATCTGGAAGCCGGAGACCAACGAGATTCTGCACATGTCCTTGTGAGTGCCACCGCCCCTCCGCCCTTCAGCCCCTCAGACCTGCCTCCCAGGAGCTTCCAGGGGCTGTGGGCCGGGAGCCCGGGGCCGGGCCACGCGTCTTCCCAGAAGGCAGGGATGGGAAGGGTGACGTTTGGTTTAGGGTTTGAAGATCAAGTAATTTTCTGGCTAGAAGGAAGCTTTGGACAGAGGCCAGGAGAAAAGAACGGTAACAGTGCCAGGTCTGAGGGGTCGGGGTGCAGGCTGTGGGGGGAGCGCGGGACGTGGAGCTGGTGGGGAGGGTGGGGTCCGGAGCTGGAGCGGAGAGGGGTGGGGAATTCAAGTTCAAGCCCAGCCTGGGCAGCTTAGTGAGGCCCATGAAGTGAGACCCAGCGTGCAGCCCACTGGTGAGCGCTTGCCACGCATGCGCGAGGCCGGGTTCCGGCCCCAGCCCCAGCCCGGGACAAAGGCAGAAAGAAGAGGAGATGGGAGGTAGCCGCAGCAGTCTGGGGCGGAGCGGGGCGCCCGTGGCCCGGATGATGACAGCATCTCCTCCGGCAGTCCCAGCAAGGCCAGTCTGTACGGAGCCGTGCTGTTCACCCTGCAGCAGACGCGCTGGCTGCCCGTGTCCAAGGCCACCCTCATTTTCCTCTTCACCATGTTCATGGTATCTTGTAAGGTGAGCCTTCCTGCCTCGCCCTCCCTGCCACCGCCCCAGCGAAATGAGGACGCCTGCCAGGAGGCCGTGGGAGGAGGCCATGAGCCCCTGTGGGCACAGGGACAGGAGGAAGTGAGGCCACGGAGGGCGGGCGATGCAGGGCCCCCGCCCCTGTTTGGCCCGGCCGGGATCATCCCTCCCGGCAGCTGAACAGCGACAGACACTCGCGGCTCTGGAGGAGGGCAGTGTGAATGGGGCCAGGAAAACCCCAGCACTCCAGGAGGCCGAGGCAGACCTAGGACCTGAGGAACTTACGGAAGCCCTGTCTCAAAATCAAAGATAAAAGTACCCGGGTGTGGGCCTGGGTGTGGTGACACACGCCTGTCATCCCAGCACCCGGGAGGGGAGGCTGAGGCAGGAGGATCACTGGGAGTTCCAGGCCAGCCCGTGAGTTCAGATCATAGTGAGTTCAGGCCAGATGGAACTACACCGAGAGACCCTGTCCCAAAACACCAAAAAAAAGCGGGAATGTAGCGAAGTTCGAAGGCCCTGGGTTCCATGCTCAGTACCACCGAAAAGAAAATAAAAACCAGGCCGGCCGGGCCAGGGTCCCCACAGAGGGGGCTGCACCCCGAGAAGGCCCCGCCCGTGTGAATTCCGGGCGGGCTCCTGGGCCTGGCTGACCCGTCCGCCCCTCTGCCCCTGCCTCCGCCTCGGTCTCCCTGCCGCCCGCCCAGGTGTTCCTGACGGCCACCCACTCCCACGGCTCCCCATTCGACGTCCTGGAGGCCTACGCGTGCCCCGTGCTGTTCGGGGGAGCCTGGGGCGGCGACCACCACCACGAAGGTCAGGGCGCCCACGGGCCCGGCCCGCAGCACGGCCCGCCCGCCAAGCCCAAGGAGGAGCCGGGCGAGGGCGCCCGAAAGAAGAGGACCAAGAAGACGGACTAGGCCTCCTCCCGCCTTCCCGCCCGCCCCGCCCCGCCCCGCCCCGCCCTTGGGGCTCTGGAGCCGGCAGAGGTGTTCCTGGTCTGTGTTCTTTTCCTCCGAAACTGCTGCGACCCGAGGCTCCCGTGACGGTGACGCCTCCTCGGTGCCCGCGTTGACCCGGGCTCCGTGGCCAGGCCTGCTGGGTGTCCCAGCAAGTTGTCTCCGAGCCTCCCGCTCCCCCTCTGTACGCGGTGGAGACTTCAGTGCTCCCCTGCACAGCAGGGCTGCCGGGAAGCCTGACGCGGAAGGGTTTTATAGGCCCTGGGTGCTCTGGCCTCGGACGTAGAGGCCTCTAGGCCCGGATGGAGAGGTCCGAGGTAGTCGCTGGCCTCACACTGCCCCCAAACCAAAGAAATGTGCCCAGTGGGGAGGGGCTTCCAAGCTCCGGCTCTGTATTTGAGTCCCAAACATCAGGCCTTCCACATGCTTTGCTGACACTCATTTAGTCACTCAACAAACACCCTGAACCTACTCGGAGCAGAGGGATGGTGGTGAGCAAGGGGGACAGTGGCTCCTCATCTCGACATCTGTCACCAGGACTCTGGAAGAGGTGAGCGGGTCCAAGTGTCACCCATCTGTTGGGAAAGTGCCTTGCTTCAATGATTCCCCAGGGTGCCCATGTACCCTGATTTCCTCTAGCATGCCCGCCCCAGCCCAGATGAACCAATAAACCCGCTGTGAATGGACCGCTGTGGTGCTCCAGTTTTGGCGACCTCAGACCGGGGAAGGGCCGCTCCAGCAGATTTCAGATGGGGGTGGGCAGACTCACCTCAGTTAAAGGACGGCCCAGTGTGACCCGTGTTCTGGGGCTGCAGCACAGTCCTGGAGCCTGGGTGATTGGTGAGGGCTGGAGGTTATTTCTTCAGAGGTTTTTTTTTTTTTTTTTTTTAGTACCAGGGATTGAACTCAGGGCCTTGCGTTTGGGAGGCAAGTGGTAGCACCACTGAGTTAAATCCCCGGCCCTTCAGAGGTCTTTTTTGAGACTGGGGCTTGCTAAGCTGCCTGGGCTATTCTTCAACATGAGATCCTCCTGCCTCAGCCTCCCAGTGTGCTGGAATCCCAGGCATGTGCCACTGCACCTGGCAGAAGTCACTTTGATGACGAGGCCACTGCCGGGGTCACTCAGTTAACCTGAGTGTGGACTTATCCACTGTGACAGCAGAGCACTGGGGACAATCCCTGAGGACCTTTAGGATGAAGTCCTAATGCACGGAGTCTGGGGCACACACAGAGCAGAGCGCCTCTGTTCAGAGAAAAAGGTGGACCAGGCGTGGTGGCACACACTTGTGATCCCAGCACGCCAGAGGGTGAGGCAGGAGGCTCACCATCTAGCAATACCCTGTCTCAAAAAAAAGGTCCAGGGCCAGGGATTTAGCTCAGTGGTTCTGCCGTCTGCCTTGAAAGCACAAGGTCCCGAGTTCGATCTCCGGTACACAAAAAAAGGGCCAGGGATGTAGCTTAGTGGCGCTGAACATGCCAAAAAAACCCCCCAAAACAAATAAAACTCCTGCAGGTGGCACATCTGACAGTGAGTGAGTATCCAGAACATATTTTTTTAAAAACCCTCAATGCCTGTAATCCCAGCACTCGGGAGGCTGAGGCAGGAGAATCACTGTGAGTTTGAGGACAGCCTGGGCTACACAGTGAGTTCAGAGCCAGCCTGAACTACATAGCAAGACTCTGCCTCAAGGGAAAAAAAAAAAAACCAACCCCTCAAGACTCAATAATCTGGTTCCTTAAGAAATTAAACAGAATTACCACAGGATCCAGCAATCCCATTTTTGTGTATTACCTTGCCCCCCCCCAAAAAAAACCCTTCAGGAACATCTTTTTTTCTTTATCCTTTGTGGTGCTGGGGACAGAGCCCAGGGCCTCACACATGTTAGGCCAGAGCTCACCAGGACTGAGTTGAACCTCAGTCCTTCTAAGTTTTACTTTGAGACAGGGTCTAAGTGGCCCAGGCTGGACTCAAACTTCCATCCTCCTGCCTCAGCCTCCTGAGAGCTGGGTCACAGGCCTGTGTCCTACACCCACCAAAAGCAGTGACATCAGCGTAGCTGAGGGGGCGCCCAGAGGGCTGAGCCCCAGGGGTGCACTATCTGGGAGCTTGGACCGCACAGGGCAGCTGGCAGCCCACTCGTGAAGCGCCAGGATGAGTGGCAAGACCAGGCGAGCCCGGCGTCCCCGTGGGTGACAGTGCCAGGGCCCAGCTCAGTCCCAGCTAATTTTAGCCCTGGAGCTCCCCTGGGTGCAGCCTTGGTCACGCATTGAGAGAAAGGTTCTGTAAAGAAGGACTGTGGGGGCCGAGGGTTTAGCTCAGTGGTTCCGCCGCCTGCCTCGCAAGCGCAAGGCCCCGAGTTTGATCCCCGGTACCAAAAAAAAAAAAAAGAAGGGCTGGGGTGCAGTCGGCTGAACGGCAGCCTGGCGTGGGGGAAGCCCTCAGTTTCATCCTCAGCACTGAAAAGACAAAAAAGATGGGTCGGACTTGAAGGTGCCTGGCTGTGATCCCAGCACTCCTGGAGGCTGAGACAGGAGGGTTGCAAATTTGAGTTCTGCTCAAATTTGACTCTGTCTCAAAAATAAAAACTAAAACAATTTTGGGGGTTTTTTTTGTTTTGGTTTGTTTTTTGGTTTTCTTTTTTGAGACAGTCTCTCACTATGTAGCCCAGCCTGGCCTCAAACTTGCAGTGGTCCTCCTGCCTCAGCCTCCCAAGTGCTGGGATGACAGGCATGTGCCACAACACCTGGCCCAAACATTTTTTATTTTGAGATGTGCTCTCGCTAAGTTGCCCAGGCAGACCTTGAGCTCCCTCGAGATCCTTCTGCCTCAGCCTCCTGGGTAGCTGGGATTGATACAGGCCACCAACTAATCCAAATAATGTAGATAATCCAAACAAGGAAAATATAACTCCCAATCTGCCAGACATCTGATATGCCAAGTTCCTGTTCCCACCAAGGTGAAGAGTAGAGAACATTTCTTGAGGGAAGGACAGCTCCTGCCTGAGAGGGACAGGAGGTGACACCCAGAAAGTGGGTTTTCCAGGACCCCGGTTCTCAGAAGCCTTTTTTTTTTTTTGATACCGGGGATCGAACTCAGGACCTTGCCCTTGCAAGGCAGGCTCCGGAACCACTGAGCTAAATCCCCAGCCCCTCAGAAGGCTTTTATGGAGCAAAGCCATGAGGTGAGGTGGGTACAAAGCGGGAGAAAACCAGTCCAACCAATAAGGTCCAGTGGAAAATCACAAGGTGGGCATGAGGCGGGACAAAACCATGGTCAACCAATAAGATTACAAGTCCAGTCGCCAGGTAATACTGATTAAAAGGGGATCCAATGGGGAAACAAGTCACGTATCCAGGCACAAGGAATGAACAAGGGATTTCTGGAAAGGACACAGGCTAGGGAGGTCATGTCTATTTGGAATGTCAGTCACTGCTGCTCCCCGGGGAACTGTGGGTGCAGCACTGTTTCTTCTGAGCCTTGGCCTTGAGTAGAGGACGCTCAGGCCGGGCCTGTCTCACTGCCCAGAGCACGTCTAACTCCGCCGTCCACAGCAGGAGGACGGTGCCCCGGGCGGGTGGGGGCTAGGCTTCTGGAAGACGCAGTGTAATATCCGTGGGCACCGGCATCCCAGGAACAGGCCGGGAATGAGTGACAGCACCACCACGGCCCGGGCCACAGGAACTGGGCTCCAAAATAATCTCACGGGTCCACCCCCAGGCGGAGCACTGCCGCAAAGGCAGGAATCGCGTTCTCCAGAAGTGACGCCCAGCTCCGCCCTCTGAGCAGGGAGTGGCTCGGGGCTGTGACAGCGGGAGTCCAGATCGACCCAGGCACCTTGGAGGCCGCTGGACACATCTCCTAAACAAACCCAGGCCGTGCTGAGCCTGAGCCGAGAAGCAGGTATTTCACACGAAGGAGTTTCCTACCTTCGTTTTGTGGAAGAGAAGCAAGGTTTATTTACATCAGGGGCAGTGGCGCACACCTAGCACTCAGGAGGCTGAGGCAGGAGGATGAAAGTTGAAGCTGATCTGGTCTGATTCTCCTCAAGAATCCCAAATTTCCCTTGGTTGTCCTGAAAATGTCCCACCAGACACCCTGCCCAGCACTAGCAGCTCCAGCCGGCTTGGCAGTTAGGGTTAGGTTGTGTTTAGCCTGCGCTTTCTCCTTGGTGCCTGGCTGCTGGCATCTGGGAGCTGTCCAGTCCATGGAGGAAATGAACATTGAGCCCATGGAAGCCAGCGGAGGGGTCAGAGTGCAGGCACACAAACTGGATGTTGGCAGGCCCAAGAGAGCTCTAATCCTGCTACTAACTGGCGGGGAGGCTGGCCGAGCCCCTCCTGAGCAAGGGAATCTACAAGGGTAGCTAAAGATGGACTACATCTGGCGCCCCGGGCTGGTGCTACAGCTCACTGGCAGGCTTGGGTTTCATCTCCAGCAGTGCAAAAAGAAAAGAAAAAGAAAAAGTCAGGCCCCCTCCACTTATGTTTGTAAATAAAGTTTTATTGGCACACAGCCCTGGAACTGATCCCCCCAATGGTTCTCCTTCTACATATCAATGTCCATCTTATTTTTCCTGTTTTTGTTTTGTTTTCTGGAAAACTCTAACAGGCTGCTGTACCAATTACAGGAGCCCATGTGGCTCACAAACACTTATGCTCAGTCCTGGAAGTCTGAGATCAAGGTCAGGATCAGGTCAGGTAAAGAAGGTATCTGAAGAGGGCAGAGAATGGGAAAGATCCTAGGCCCTTTCTCTTTTTATCATATAATCCTAGCTCAGCCTGGTGGCACACACCTCTAATCTCAAAACTCAGGAGGCTGAGGTAGGAAGATCATCACAGGTTCAAGACCAGCCAGAACTACATAGCAAGAGCCTGTCTCAAAAAAATAAAAAAGTGTTTAAGAAACTGCAGTATAATCCTGCCACAGGAAGGACACCATCAAGATCAGTTGATCCCTCCCAATACCTCCGAATACCATCCCGCAGGCGGAGTAGGATTGCAGCAGAGAAATGGGGGGGGGGCATTATAACATGGGGTCAGCATGAACTTAATCAACACTTGCTGGAGCCTAGTGGGTCCCACACTTACCTGGAGCCACAGACACAGAGGTCCTCATCAGCCCTGTTGCTATGACAATGTCCTTAGGACTTAAAGGAGCAAAGCTTTGTTTGGATCACGGGTTCTGACACTTCAGTCCATGGCACAGGACCGCTCTGTTCTGGGGCCATGGTGACAAGGTAGGCGGAAAAGCCAAGGGGAGGAGCCAGGGACCCAGTACCCCTTGAGACCACGCCCCAGTGACCTCACACCCACCACCAGGCCCACCTCTTAACGGCCCCACTACCTTCCAATAGCACTGCCTGTGTTTCTTTTCTGCTTTGTTTATAGTTTTTGCTCTTTGTTTTGTTGCATATGTAGTTCAGCCTGGCCTCGAACTCAGGGAAATCCTCCTGCCTCAGCCTCACGAGTGCTGGGATGATGCTGGCTTCTGATTTTTGTATGCTTGCTTTAGCCATTGGAAGGAGGCACTGATGGTGGTTATGATAGCAACAAAAATAACATTGTACTAGTAATGTTTGTAAGAATCAAAATTAATGCAACAAAATCCATTAAAATATCAAAATTTTAATAAAGCCAGGATCCACCCTCTGTGCCTTCGTGCGCCGTATTTAAATGCGGATGGTTCTGAGCTTTCTTTTCTTGCCTTGGGGATTCGGGTTTGGAACCGCGGGCCTGGCACGCTCGCTGATCTACAGCCCCAGCCCTTGCGTTCATTTTCACTTTCAGAAAAATGCAGCATTAAAGTATTATTTATCCCGCGGCCACAGTTTAGAAATAGAAGACCTAACTTATTTCCACGGCCGGGTAGCTTCTGTGCTCTGCGTGTTTTCCAGCGCCTGCCCACGGCCACCCGGGAGCGGCCGCTCCGCTGCAGTTCCCACGCCGGCCTGAGGAGGGCGCCGCTCCCGCGCTTCTGAGCAGCCTGCCCCTGCGGGAGGAGGGAGCCGGGGCTCCGAGCCACTCGCGCCTGTGACCACAGGGCTCCTCCAGAAGGGAGAAACTGGGTACTTTATTCTCGGAGTGTGGAGACTCCCAGGTACAGGGGTAGAGCGCGTGCCAGGAGACGCGCACCGCCCGTCCTACCCTGCCTCCCTCACCTTCTGCACAGTTACTGCAGAGCAAATGTCCTGCGGTGCCTGGGGAAAGGGATCCGGGACCCCGAGGACCCCCACGCCCTGGGCTGCCGTTAACTTCTCTTCTGTAACACGGCACAAACCTTCGAGAGCCTCCCGGGGACTTAGGCACTCAGCGTGACATGAATGCCGTGTGCAAGGGTGACAGCCACATGGTGAATGTTTAAATGTGAAAGAGCATCTGCTACAGTCAGAGCCACACGGCCCAGAATCCCCTCACGAGCCTCCCTCGCTGGGAGCACTCTCGTCCCTCTCCCGGCCTCTTTCCCCCCAGCTCTGGGGTCCTCCTTCCTGAGCCTCCACACGAGGTGTGACCCAAAGTACAGTGGCTGCTGCTGCCCGCGCCATCCAACCGGAAGGCAGCTCCGGGCCTCAGCCGCCTCATTCACGGGGGCAGCTAGGCCGGGCAGCTAAAGACCTCAGGCAAGAGCACTGCAGGCGGCTGTGGGAGCGGCCAGGACAGGGATGAGTGTGTTCAAAGAGAGGGGCGGGTTAGGGGGATTCCTGTGGCTTTCACTGTGGTACAATGTTTAAAATGTACGCATTCACTGTATTTTCCGTCACACAGCACACACAGTTGCTGTGCTGCAGCATTTGGGGACAAGGACAAGACAAAAGCCTGTGCATTTTCAGTGCAGAAGAAATTTTCTTCCCAATATTCCTGATCCATGGTTGGTGAATCCATCTGCCAGACCTGCGGGTATGGACGCCGAAAGCCAGCTGTGTGCCGTTCTGCATCTCAGAGATGCGACTCAGGACCTAACCTTAGGCCGGGCATCGGCTGCAAAGGCTTCCCAGGCGGGGCCGGGGCTTTAGCTCAGTGGTTCCACTGCCACCTGCCCCGCAAGCTGAAGGACCTGAGTTCAATTCCCAGTACAGCCACACAGCCCAGTGAGCCCACAGCGGCCAGCGCCTGGTGTGACGCGGCCCCTTCCTCTCGGGGACCTGGTGTGAACTGCCTTGCTTCACAGGCACCAAACGTCGCTCTGGACAAACAGGGCAGCCAGCTTGCTGAGAAGCAGGTGTGCCCGCCCACATGGGAACTCAAGCCTTGGAAATCCGGTAATGCTGGCCTCAGCGTGGCAGCATGGGTGCTGCTGTGCTTACTGGTGACCTCGAGGTCACTTGGTAATGTCAGGATACATTTTCATTTTGGTTTTTTGAGATAAAGTCTGCCTATGTAGCCCAGGCTGGCCTTGAACTCACAGTGATCCTCCTGCGTCACCCTCCCAAGTGCTGGGATCACAGGCGTGTGCCACCTCACCCAGAGATGTCGGATACATTTTTGGGGAGGGCTCTGCTCCTTGTGTCCGGTGGATGGAGGCCAGGGATGCTGGTCAACACCACACAGGGATCAGTGCCTGCCAAAAAGTCAGGCAGCCTGGATCCGAAGCCCAGATTTCCTCACCACGGGCTGGGTCGCCATTGGCCCTGGGCCCTCCCTCCTTGCCATCTGCTGTGAGCCAGGCACACAGCAGTTAACTACCAGCCTGGCAGAGTGCCCGGCTAAGCTGGTGCCCTGGGCCATGGTTTCCTTCATGATGCCGTTGCTGGGAGCTCGGGGCGGGACAGAGCCAGAAAGCACTGAGAACAGAAGTCCCTGGCTTGTCTTCCGGGTGGCAAACCTGTCCCGGAAGGTTCTGGATCAGCCAGCAGCCCCCGCTGCAGGGGCCCAGAGTCCCCGGGAAGCCAGAGGCGGATGCCCCGCTGGCCTCTATCCTCCGGGACTCCCAGGATTGCTCAGTACCCAACAGGCATCTCTGGAGTAGCCCACAACGGGCACAGTCACTTCCTGGGCACCCACAGGGTGCCAGGCACGCTGACCACAGCATCCACGCAACTCCCGCTCCGGTGTACGGGACAAAAAGCCAACAAGTAGAAACCACATCGGTGGTGAGTACCAGGCCGACTGGTATCCGATGATGGCCCTGGGGGAGACACTGAGCCATGGGACAGACAGAGAGAGCCACTCAGAGGTGACACGGAATCTGGAATGTGAATGACACAAGAGGATGCAGGGCAGAGAGTCTGGGTAGAGCACGTGCAAAGGTCCTGGGGCTGAGATGAGCTTGATGAGGATTGACTGAGGATTGTTAAGCAGGGGTGAGTCTGGAGATATCTGTGATTGTCCTAGAGGGGACGTTATGACACCCAGTGACATCTGGTGAGCAGAGCCAGGGATACACAAGGTAGACCAGCTCCCAGTGTCCTTGTGGGCCAGAAATGAAAGGAAGCAGGGTGCAGCCCCCCAATCTCCCACGAACACCAGAAGTGGTGACTGCGGGGCGTGGCAGGCATGGACTGGGGTCAGGCTCAGGAGCTGCTGAGAGGCAGGGAGACGGGGAGTTGCGAAGTCTGGCTATGTGCCCCAGGCTGGCCGCAAACTCAGCGAACCTTCTGCCTCAGCCTCCCAAGTGTTGGCTTGACAGGTGAGCACCACCTCGCCTGGCCCAAGGCATGATTTCGGCGATGTTAAGGGCCAGGCCTGGAAGCCCGGCAGCCCTCCTGCCTGGGCGGCACCGGGTCACGGGCCTGGGTCCTGCAGGGCGGGATCCCAGTGCTGTGGGGCTGCCTCCAGCGCTGTGGCCTTTGACACCCGGGCACGGGTCGTGCTCCGAGGTGGCGTGCTGTGCACCGTGCTGTTCTGCACCCTCCCTGCCCTCTGCCCCGGTGCCCGTGGTGTCCCCGCTTGTGAGGCTCCAAGAGTCTCGCACACCGCGAGAGCCCCGGGGACAGATGGCCACAGGGGACCTTGGGCAGCCAGCTGCTGGGGCGGGGGGTGGCAGGCAGCCCACTCACCCAGCCCTTTCCCGCTGGGGTGCCCAGCCCTGCGTCCCCACTGCCTGTGCGGCCCGCCTAGCTCGGTGACACAGACCCTGGGGACTGGGGGGAAGGCTGGCAGGTCCCCGGCCCCAGGGAAGCTGTAGTTGCCGTGGCGATCCTGAGTGCTCTCGGCAGGAGCTGAGGCGGAGCTCACACTCCGGGAAGCAGCTGGGGCGCCGGAGGGCACAGGGTCTGCAGGCCCCGATGGCCGCCCTGCCAGGGGCCTGAGTGCCAGGCTCAGCCGTGGACAGGAGGGCAGCAGCATGAGCAGTGGGGGTCCCCTCAGCCCAGGCACCCGCCGGCGGCTGCTCCACGGCCTGGCAGGGCCACTGCCCCCAGCTGTCCCCGCCGGGGTGGCCGTCTACATCAGCTCCGCCACCTCCGGTGAGTGTGCGGCTGGGCTGAGGCAGGATGGTGCTGGGGACCAGACAGTGAGGCTCAGGGGCCCTGGCTTCAAGGGCCTGCCGGGGACGGTGTGGGGACTGCTGGACCACTGTGTCCTCCTCGGGGGCCACGCAGCGCCAGGCTCCATAGAGCCACAGGGACCGGGCCAGACGTCAGCTGTGCTAGACTTGCGCTCCCCTGTCTCTCTCCTTTTCTCTCCTTTCCTTTGGCAGTTCTGGGCCAGAACCCAGGGCCTGGAGCCTGCTCAGCCAGTACTCACCACTGAGGCACACCTGTTTCTGTTAAAATCTTGAGACATGATCTCACTAAACTGCCCAGGCTCCTTCGAACTTGCCATCCTCCTGCCTCAGCCTCCTGAGTAGCTGGGATCACAGGCGTGCGCCACCTTGACCAGCCTAGCTGTGGGCCGGGCTTTCTTCCTTCCTTCCATCGTTCCTATGCAGTGCTGGGGACAAAACCCAGGGCCTCCCCACACATCCTTCTGGGGACGTGGGATTTGCAGGGGTCACAGGCTGGCTGGCCTCCCTGTGTGTGTGTCTGTGTGTGTGTGTCTCTCCTGGCCTGAGCCTTGGTGGGCATTGCCCGCTGCAGAGCAGGCCGGGATGGCTCCGGGTTGGCTCTGGTTCTGCCACTCACCCCGCCTGCCTGCCCGGGCCTTGCAGATATGGATGCGGAGAGGGAGGCCCTGCTGGGGACCGCCTGCCCCGAGCTGCTGACCTTCTGCCGGAACCAAGGCCTGCCCTTCGAGGTAAGCTGCAGGCTCGGTGCGCTGGCCCGGGCCAGAGCCAGAGCCTGAGCTGGACTGAAGCTCAGAGCCGTCCCTTTCAGATCTGGAGACTTGTCTGCAGCCCTGGGGGTGAAACTCAGGGAGCCCGCGCTACACGGCTCCTTTGTTCTTGTGTACTTGGGGACAGAGTTTCATCAAGTTGCCAGGCTGGCCGGAGCATGCACTCCTTCTGCCTCAGCCTCCTGAATAGCCGGGATGACAGCGTGGGGCCCACGCACGGCTCCACGCCCAGCTCTGCACTGAGAAGCAGATGTCTCAGGCACCCTGCCGAGCCGGCCGGGCCCTGTCCTCTCCGGGCGGGCACCGGCGGTCACCCTGCCCGAGCTGCAGCTGCAGGAGTCTGGCTTTCTCTCTCCTCTAAGGAATGTGTGGAGGCAGGAACTGGCCCTCCTTGTCTGCTCCCCGTGCCAGCCTCCCGCTGGCAGCTCGGTGACCCGAATGGAGCCTTTCTGCCCGGTTCCCGAGCAGGTGCACAGGGCCGCAGCGTGGGGTTCCTAAGAACACAGCAGCCGCCTCCTTGCAGAGAGACCTGGGGGCCAGCGGGGACCTGTCCCCCTCACGAAGGAGGGCTGTGACAATGCCCACATTGTTTCTCAAAAAGTTTTTCAGATGTGGCTTCTTTTTTTTGAGCCAGGGTCTCACTACGTATAGGCCAGGCTGGTCTCGAACTCGAGGTGACCTCCTGCCTCAGCCTCCGGAGTGCTGAGAGGGCAGGCGAGCGCCACCACGCCCGGCCTGTTTAAATTCTTTTAATTCACATAAAAGAGAGGCTTCCAAAAAATACTGAAAGAAACTATGCTCTGGTCAAAGGGAACTGAGAAAAGCAGCCAGCAGTCAGGCCCTGACTCCCCTTCGTCCCCAGGCCGTGGACCTGCGGTGGGGTGTCCAGGACTCCGAGGCTGCTGACCAGCTGACCCCCGACCTGTGCCTGGAGGAGCTGCAGCGCTGCCAGAGGACGTCCCTGGGGCCAGCCTTCGTCGTGAGTCCCCTGGGAGGGCCGGGGTGGCCTCGACTCCTCTCTGTCACGAGGATGTGGCCCATCCGCAGCCCCGCCCTGCAGCAGAGGCAGAGGGGTCTCTGCTCCGGTCCCTGTCCCCTCAGCCTGCCCAGGGCAGACATGGCCTGTCCTCCCAGCACTCTGGGAGGCTGAGGCAGGAGGATCGAAAGTGTCACCCTAGCCTGGACCCCTTGGTGAGACTGTCTCAAAAGGGAAAATAAGAAGGGCTGGGAGCAGAGCTCAGTGCAAAGCCCCTGGGTTCTATTCTCAGTGCAGGGGGGGAAAGGAGGGAGAGGAAGAACCAGGTGGAGCGGGGTGTGGTAAGGGGGTCCAGGCAGGAAAAGCCAGTGCAGCTTCCTGTTCCTGGTTCCTGCGGGGCGGAGCAGATCCCCCTCCCAGGCCCTGCAGCCTCTCCTCTGCCCTGACCCGGGCCTTTCCATGGAAATGGGAGCCTCGGGGACCACACGCTGGTAAATAAGTCATTAGCACCAGGGCTGCTCCCTCTCCCCAGGGAAGGATGCAGTTTAGAGGCTCTGCCCCCTGGGCCACCGGCAGCCCTGGGGCTCTAGAACTTTCCCTAGTTCCCAGGCTCTGACCCTCTAACTGCAGCACTGTTTGCAAGTGCTCTCTCTCTCTCTCTCTCTCTCTCTGTTATTGTGGTTGTTTTGTTTCTTATTTTATTTATTTTTTTGGTACCGGGGATCAAACTCGGGACCTTGTGCTTTTGAGGCAGGCGCCGGAACCACTGAGCTACATCCCCAGCTGTTTCTTGAGACAAGGTCTCTCAGTAGTCCAGGCTGGCTTCGAACTCTCTGTGATCCTCCTGCCTCAGCCTCTCAGATTCTGGGACTACAGCCATCCACCATCTGGACCTTTCTCTCTCTCTCCCTCTCTCATTTATTCATTCTTTCTTTTTCTTGTTTTTTTCTTTTCAGTACCAGAGATTGAACCCAGGGTCTTCACACTGAGCTACACCCACAGCCTTTTTAAATTTTTATTTTGAGATAGGGTCTCCCTAAGTCACTCAGCTCAAACTAGCAACCCTCCTGCCTCAGCCTCCCAGAGAGCTGGGATGACAAGTGTGCACCACCTTGCCCAACTGTAGATGTATTCTGTTTGTTTGTTTCTTTTGGTACCAGGGATCGAACTTGGGACCTTGCACTTTCGAGCTTTCCAGGCAGGCATCGGGACCATTGAGCTAAATCCCCAGCCCTGCAGATGTATTTTTATGTAAGGTTTCGGTGGCCTCTGTGAAGTCTGGGGCCTCGTTGTCCTGGGTGACACCACCCCACCGCAGGCATGCAGAAGAGCCTGTCTTGCCTGGCCCCCCGCGCCCCCCAACCCTAACCCTAACCCTAAGAGAATAAAGGAATCCAGTGCTCCTGAGCCCCAGATGGGATCAGAACTCACGTGTCTGGCACAGGCGCAGCGGTGCACACCTGTACTCGCAGCTGCTTGGGAGGATGAGGCCAGAGGATTGCTTGAGCCCAGGAGTTTGAGCCTTACCTGGGGAACATGGCAAGACCCCGCTTCAAAAACAACACAACACAACACAAATCCCACTTACCTGCCCGCTATCTGACATCTCAGATTCCAACAGGCGGCCCTGTCTCTGCTTGCTCATTTTTGTTTTTTATTTTTTGGTACTGGGGATTGAACCCCGGGCCTTCACACTGAGCTGCATCCCCAGCCTTTTTTTTAAATTTTGAGACAGGGTCTTGCTAAGTCACTAAGTTGTCTAGGCTGGGCTAGAATTTGAGACCCTCCTGCCTCAGGCTCCCACAGTGCCCGATGACAGGCGTGCGCCTTCTCCCTGTACCTAGCACCATTAGCCCAGGCCCCTTCTTAGGGCCCCAGCACAGCTCCCCAGCCGAGCCTGACTGCACACGCCCTCTCTGCCCTGTCCCGCAGGCCCTCGTGGGTGACCAGTACGGCCCCTGTCCGGTCCCCCGGCGCATCGAGGAGAAGGAGTGGGAGGCGCTGCGGGCCCAGCTGAGCACCAGGCCGGGGGACCTGGAGCTGGTGGCCCAGCGCTTCCGGAGGGACGAGAACTCGGTTCCCCCCAGCTACGTGCTGCAGGCGGCGGGCGGCGGGGAAGCCCCCGGGCCGGAGGAGCCCACGCTGGCCTCGGTTCTGCGCGCCGCAGCCCAGGAGGCCCGGGGCCGGGGCCTCATCAGCCAGGAGCAGTGGCAGCGCTACCACCGCTCAGGTGAGCTGGCCCTGGGGCGACACCGCCGCGCTCAGAGGCTCAGAGCGTCAGAGCGCGGCGGGGGGTGGCCCAGCGCGGTGCACGCTGGGAATCCCCGCACTCCGGGAGGCGGAGGCCGGAGGATCCCGAGTTTGAGTCCAGCCCGGGCAACTCACAGACTTAGGGAGACCCAGCCTCACAGTAAAACCCAGAAAAGGCTGAAGGTGTAGCTCAGAGGGAGAGAGCCCCTGAGTCGGATCCCCAGTACCGGTAGAACTGACGATCAGAATAATATGCCGAGATGAAGTGGGTGCCAGGGTGACCAGCACAACACGGTGGCCCAGGGCTGCTCTGACCACCAGGAGGCTGTGCGGTGACCACAGGCTGGCAGCCTGGTGAAGCCCGGGTCCTGGCCGGCCTCGGAAGTGTGCAGGTTAAAACTTGGTCCTTTCTGGAATTCTATCTTTTCAGACCATCGTTGGCCTCAGGTAGCTAATCCGTGGGTAAGGGGAGACCATACCAAAACATCGATACAGAAATGTCTGTCGCCGACACAGGCAGTATATGAATTGATATTACCAACGTTAAATATGTTGGCTTATTTTTAAAACTTTATATATACTTTTTTGCAGTACTGTAGATTGAACCCAAGGTCTTCACACGGAGCTGCATCCCCAGCCCTTTTTATTTTTATTTTGAGACAGAGTCTCACTAAGTAACTGAGTGGCCCGGGCTGGGCTCAAACTCAGGACCCTCCTGCCCAGCCTCCCAGAGTGCTGGGATATGTGGATTTACTTAACAATATGGATGAAGGCATGTGTGGGAGTCAAATCTGACCATGCCTTTGGCAAGGATGAGAAACTGACACGCCGGCCTCTGCTCACCCATCAGCCTGAACTGGAATTTTGGTTTCCGTCTGCAGGGGTGGGGACAGAGCCCAGGGACCCACAGTACTCAGCTCCTGCTCGCCTTGTTCCTGGATCCTTCGTGTCCTTGGGCATCTCCCTTCCTGTTTTTGATTTTGGGTTGTTTTGAGACAGGGTCTCGCTATGCAGCCCAGGCAGGCTAGCCTGGGACTCAGGGTGATCCTCCTGCCTCAGCCTCCAAGTCTTGGAATGCCAGGCGTGTGCCACCACTCCCATCTACAGTTTAGCGATTTCGTGAGACCCTGTCTCAAAATAAAAAATCAAATTTAAAAAAGCCTCAGTGGTAGAGCACTTGCCTAGGATGCATGAGGCCTTGGGTTCCATGTAAACAGAAAACAAATTAAAAAGTTTACCGGGAATGTAGCTCAGCGCCACTGCTCCTGCTCAGTGGCAAGCTCAAGGTCCCGAGTTCCATCCCTGGTACTGGAAAAAAAAAAGTTAAAAAGTTTAGATAATGGCTGTCTCAGTGTGGTCCCTCGCCCAGCAGCATTTAAGAGGGGGCCTAAAATACAAAGTCACGGTTCCTCCCCTTAGTTCCAGATCAAAAGCTACAGGGGTTATAGCCAAGCATGGAGGTGCACACCTGACCTCCCAACATTCTGGGAAGCTGAGACAGGAGGATCTCAAGTTAGAGCCCAGCCCGCTAATCGAGACCATGGCTTAAAGTAAAAGACAAAAGTGCTGCTGGAGCTGGAGCTTCTTACAAAGGCCCTGGGTTCAATCCCCAGGATTGCAGAAAGAAACAGCCCTGCCGTCCTTCGAACTCTGCCCCTGCCCTAGCCCGGGGAGCCTCCGGGTGCCGGGCCGGGCCCTGACCTCGGGTCCCTTCTCCGCAGTGCTGGAGTGGGAGCTGGAGCGCGGCCTGCTGAGCGGCTCTCCGGGGGCCACTGTGTTCCTGCGTGAGATCCCGGAGCTGGCGCGGCACCTGCTGCAGGACTGTGCGCTCCCCGTGGTGGACCGGCTGCCCGACGGCCTCGTGGACACCACCGCACAGGGCCACCTGAGCAGCCTCAAGCAGCGAATGGCCCAGGAGTGGCCCGGGGTGCTCAAGGTGCACCGGCTGCCCTGGGCCCGCGACCTGGTGAATCCCAGGAACAAGGCGCATGCGCGCTACCTGCTCGAGCTGGGCGAGCAGTTCGTGGCCAGCGCTGCGCATCAGGTCCTGCAGCGCCTCCGGGAGCTACCGCCCGCCCTGCCCTCCCCCGCCTGGCTCTTCCAGGACATCCGCCACCACCTGTGGCAGGGCACCGAGGCCACCCGGGCCTTCTGCGGCCGCCAGGGGCTCCTGGGCCGGCTCGGCCAGCGGCTGCGGCAGGATGACGGCTGTCCTCACAGCCCCCTGGTGCTCTTCGGCCCCCCGGGCATCGGGAAGACCGCCGTGCTGTGCAAGCTGGCCGAGCAGGCAGCCGGGCTGCTGGGCCGTAAGACGGTGACAGTGCTGAGACTGCTGGGGACGTCGCAGGGCAGCGCAGACGCCCGCGGGCTCCTGGCCGGCCTGTGTCTGCAGCTGTGCCTGGCCTTCGGGCTGCCCGCGCCACCGCCCCAGGTCCTGCAGGCCCGCACCAGGTTGGCCCATTTCTTCCACGTGCTGCTCCACACCGTGGCCCGCAGGGACTTTGAGTCCCTGGTCATCCTGCTGGACGCTGTGGATGACCTGGACCCCGGCCGGCGCTCCGGGGCCATCCCCTGGCTGCCCCTTGCCTGCCCCCCGCGGGTCCACCTCATTCTGTCTGCCTGCTCCGGGCCATGCGGCGCCTTGCACGCTGTGCGGGCGACACTCAGGGACTCGGACGCCTATTGGGAGGTGGAGCCGCTCTCTGAAGACCAGGCCCAGGAGATGGTGCAGCTCCTGCTGGCTGCGGCGGGGCGCACACTGAGCCCAGCCCAGCGCAACCTGCTGTGGGCCAGCCTGCCCGAGGCCGGAAACCCTGGGCGCCTGCAGCTGGCATTCCACGAGGCCCACACCTGGGCCTCTTTCTCTGTGCCCGTGCCCCTGGCCACCACCGCGGAGGAGGCGACACACCAGCTCTGCGCCCGCCTGGAGCTGACACACAGCTGGCTTCTGGTGGCCCACGTGCTGGGCTACATCGAAGCTTCCCGGTGAGCCTCTGCTTCCTAGCATTTGTTTCTTTTTGATGCTGGGGATGGAAGCCAGGGCCTTGGCGTGCTGGACGAGCACTCAGCACTGAGCTACCAACCCACACCTCTTTAAATATTTTGAGACAGGGTCTCCCCGGGTCTCCAAATTGCCCAAGCTGGGCTGGAACTTGCGATTCTGCTCCTCAGCCTCCCAGAGTGCTGGGATGGCAGCCACATGGCACCTCATCTGGCTTGGCAGAAAAATCTTTTGAAAGCAAAGTTCTCTGAACTGATCACAAGGACCAATTGCAACTAGGTTTAATTTCAGGCTTGTTATATGGGAATCAGCCCAAAGCAAACAGGCAGGGAAACCCAGTGCCCATGTATCTGTAGTCAAAGGAAGGGAAAAAACCAAACTTATCAACAGATCAGGGAGGCTGTGGATTTGAGGCCAGCCTGGGGGACACAGCAAGACCTGGTCTCAAAAACAAAAGCAAAAAACTCCTACAAGCAGGAGAAGACGGTGCTTGCAGGGGCTGGGGTAGTGTGGAACAGGAGATGTGGGCAGTGGGCACTGATTTTCTGCAGCCAGACTGGAGACTCGGGAAGAGCAGCACATGCCCGTCATCCCAGGACTCTGGGAGGCTGAGGCAGGAGGATGGCAAGTTCCAGCCAAGCTGGGGTAGCTTAACAACTTAGTAAGGCCCTGCCTCAAAATGCAAAGTAAAAAGGGCTGGGGTGTAGCTCAGTGGTAGAGCTCGTCTGGTTTAATCTGCAGTCCTGCAAAAAAATAAAAAATACAAAGGAAGGCAGGGAGGAAGAGGGGATTCTGAGGGAGCTGTGGGCGCTGAGAGCTGGCTCCACATTGCAGCGCAGGTCTGAGACTGGCCTGCAGCCCCCAGAACGGAGAGGTGGGGAGGGGGATCAGGCCGCTGTGGTGGGTCCAGAGGAGGAAGCAGCTGCCGTGGGAGCCAGAGGGTCTTGGGAATCGCCCTGTCCCTCTCCCTGGGGTCTCCGTGAACACCGGCTGGTCCTCCCGGCACCTGGTAAACGTGTATTTGGGGGAGGGGGCACCGTGCCCTGGCTTGCTCTCTGAGTCTCAGTCTCCGAATCCCTGCAGTCAGAAATCTATTTGCCCACCGGACACAGCATGGGGTGAGGCCGCCCCAGGGCCTGGTGGGAAGGGAAGGCGGGCGGCACCAGAGGGCGACTTGGGCACCAGAGCTCCCTGGAGGCTCGGGGCAGGTGGGGCTCAAAGACCCCAGCGGCTGGGCAGAGGCTCCGCCTGGGGGCTTCTGGGCGTCAGGATGGCTGCAGGCTCTTCGGGTGTTTGTGGTTATCTCACCCACTGACCGGGGACCAAGGGCAGCAGCTTTGGTGCCTGGGAAATACCCAACCCCGGGGAGGCCTGGAGAATGTGACTGTGGGGCCCTCTAAGCTTACCTGTCCATCTGTCCGTCTGTCCCTCCATCCCCATCCACCCGTAACGCTCCTGGCCTGTGATGGTGGAGGCCAGGACACTGCTCACACCCTCCAGGAAACAGGCCGCTTGCTGTTCCCCACCCCAGGAGAATCAGCAGGGCGCGGGAAGGGGGTTGAGCCGCCTCCCTCCCTGCACTTCTGTCTGAACTCCCAACACAGCCATGGCCACGAGGGACGTTTCGCTTGGCTCACAGCCCTGGGGACCAGATCTCAGGGTCTGTGGTGAGGGAGCCACCGGCCAGGGCACATGGAGGGCGACACTGCTCACCATGTGGCAGGGAGCAGAGGAGAGTGACAGGGCCTGGCCCAGTCAGGCGCAGCTTGGGCACAAAGACTCCTCACAGCAGCCCTCAGAGAGCCAGGCCCTGGGACTCTGGCAGCAGAGCTGACTCAGGAGTCCATGTTGTATTTAGCAGGGATAAGGGTTTTTTTTGTTGTTGTTGTTTTTTGGTACTGGGGATCAAACTCAGGACCTTGCACTTTCGAGGCAGGCGGTGGAACCACTGAGCTAAATCCCTGGCCCAGGATAAGGTTTTTTAAATTGAAGGCAAGGGCTCTGTCCTGGAGCTACAGCTCCGACCCTTTTTCAATTTTATTTTGAGATAGGGCTCTGAGCATTGCCCGGGCTGGCCTTGAACCTGCAGTCACCCTGCCTCAGCCTCTTGAGTAGCTGGGATTATAGATGTGTGCCACCACACTTGGCTGAAGTGAACCATTTTTCTCACCCCACCCCCGGGGCCAGGGATTGAACTCAGGACCCTGCGCTTTCGAGGCAGGTACAGCGCCACTGAGCTAAATCTCCGGCCCTTAAAGTGAACCATTTTAAAATTCCCAATTCAATGGCATTCAGCACATTCACACTGCTGTGCGCCTGTCTAGTCCCAGAGCATCTCCTTCACCCCAAAAAGAAAATCTGTCCTTATAGAGCAATCACCCCCACCTCCTTCTCCCCGAGTCCATGGCAGCTGTCGACCTGCTTCCTGTCCCTGTGGACCTGCTCTGGACGTTTCTCCAGAGCAGAGTGACACACCACGGGGCCTTGTGTGGCTGCTTCTGTCTCTCAGCATCATGTTTTCGAGGCTCAGCCACATGGTAGCTGGGGTCGGGACTTTGTTCCTGTTCGTGGCTGATGATACACCACGCAGGGATGCTGGCTCCTCCGTCCACCTGTGGATGGACCCTGGGTTGTCCCCACCTGCTGGCCATCGGGACAGATGCTGCTGTGAACAGCAAGTGGATACGCGGGTTTCAACAGGTGTTTGGAGTACATTGAAATTGTCAATTGGATTGAGTTTCTGGCCTGGTTAAGTCCTTCTGGAGACTTCTTGTTGCTTTTATTTTTTATTTTTGAGACAAGGTCTCACTATGTAGCCCAGGCTGGGCTCAAACTCATGGCAATCCTCCTGCCCCAGCCTCCTGTGTGCTGGGATCACTAGCATGTCCCACCACGCCTGGCTTCCCATTGCTTTCGGGAAAAGTATTCGAACTCCTCACCAAGGCCTTGCCGAGGCGGCCACCTCCCCTCGCACCGTCCCAGCCCAGACAGCGCCTTCTCGGGTGCCCGCTGGCTCCAGAAGCCGGATCTCTGTGCCCCACCTGTCTCTCCTCCATGGTGCCTGGCTCTTCCACCAGCACTTGGTCCCACCGCTTCTTTGTGGCCTTTTTCCTACCTGGCTCCACCCCAGCCCCATGGGTGCTGTCGTAGTCTGCCTGTGCACATCCTCTTTTTTTTTTTTTTTTTTTGGTACCGGGGATCGAACTCGGGTCCTTGCACTTGCAAGGCAGGCAGTGAAACCACTGAGCTAAATCCCTGGCCCTGCACATCCTGTTGAAATTCTAACCCTGGGGTGGTCTTGGGAGGAGGGGCCTCTGGAGGTGGCCCGGTCTTCAGGCCGAGCCCTGTGCCAGTCGGCTTTCGCATCGCTGTACAGAACTCCCAGCACCACGACTGAAGGATGGGAGGCGTAGTGGCTCACAGTTCCAGGGGGTTCAGTCCATGGTCAGTTGCTCCAAGGAGGAAAGGGCATAGCAGAGGGGCCTGGCGGGGGACTGCTGCTCACAGCATGGCGGCCAGGAAGCAGAGCAGGAAGGGAGGAGCTGGGGACAAGAATTTGGTGACCTCCTCTGGCCAGGCCCGGCCTCCTCATGGAAACTTCAGCCGTGGGCTCCCCATGGCGGAGCCCACAGAGGAGCACAGACCCCGCGATTCCATTGCCCTCCACACAGGAGGCTTCGGGACAGCTCAGATCTGACCCCGCCACCCCAGGACTGGGGTCTGTGCCTAACAGACAAGCCCCGGAGCCCCTGTTTCCCCCACCGTATGTGGATGCAGCAGAAGCCCTGTACAGCCCGGAGACTGGGGCCTCAGATGCGGGCACTGCTGGCATCTCGGTCTTGGACTCACAGCTCCCAGGGCTGCAAGGCACAAGCATGTGGTGCCCCGGTCGCTGAGGGACACTGCCTCATGACTGCAGCCTGAGCACACAAGACCGGTGTGGCTTGAGCATCCCCAAGGGGCCCTGTGTTGAGATTTACCTCCACTGAGAGGGATCCAGAGGGCAAAACTTAACCCAGGCATGCTGTCCAGGCCGGGCGTTGGGAGGGACTGGGGTGACCCTGGGGTCCCTGTGACCTGGCCCTGGTGGCTTTCTAAGAAGCAGGACAGACACCAGGACACAGGAGCCACTCCGGTCTCTCCCCATCCCCTGAGCACCTCAGGACTCTGCCAGCAAGAAGGCCACCCGCAGATGTGGCCCTGGGCCTTGGACCAGAGCTGTGAGCAGACAAGCTGCTACCCTACACCTTCCCCAGCCTGAGCATCGAGTCTCAGTGGCAGAAAACACGCATGTGTACGACCGTGTGGCCTGCTGGCCCCAGAGCCTAGCGCCGGCCACAGGCAGATGCCGGGAACTCCTCCCTCCTTCTCCTGCTCTGACACGCCCGCCTGTCATCTGGGAGGCTGAGGCAGGAGGGTCGAAAGTTCCAGCCCAGCCTGGACGACCTAGGGACTGAGCAAGACACTGTCTCAGAACAAAAAATTGAGAAGAGCTGAGGATGCAGCAGAGTTTGAGGCCCTGGGAGGGGCGGGAGGCCCTTGTTCTGTGCCTGCACGCACAGGAACCCGAGGGAAAGCGTCCTGGGGGGGCGGTACCATGGGAAGCTCGGGGCGCGCTGGGCACCCTGCACTGCAGAGTGGCCGCTGCACCCAGCCCTCTCCCCACAGGCATGGGCTGGCAGAGGCGGAGCTGAAGGACGTGCTGTCGCTGGATGACGAGGTGCTGCAGGCCGCCTACCGGGCCTGGACGCCGCCCAGCCGGGAGCTGCTGCGCTTCCCTCCCCTGCTGTGGGTGCGGCTGCGCAGGGACCTGGACCACTGCTTGTCCCGGCGGCCCATGCACGGCACCACACTGCTGGCCATCGCCCACAGGTGCGCAAGGGCAGCAGGACGCTGGCCAGCCACCCACAACCTGGGCTCAGAGACCGACCCATCCGCGTCCCCACACCTGGGAGTGGGGTCAAGTTTGCACGGAGATCCGGGCCCCCACACCAGGGATGAGAAACTAACTCACTTGTTGGAATTTAAAAAAAAAAATGTACAGCTGGGCGTGGTGGCGCACACCTGTCATCCCAGCACTCGGGGAGGCTGAGGCGGGAAGAGTGCCACAAGGCCACAGCCAGCCTGAACTCAGAGCAAGGCCTGGTCCTAGGACTGAAATGCTGAGGATGGAACCTAGGGCCTGAAGCCTGCTAGACAAGCGCTCACCACTGAGCCACATTGCAGCCCTTTTTATTTTATTTATTTACTTATGATAATGGGGATTAAAGTAGTTACACCCCAGCCCCTTTTAAAAAAGTTTTGAGGCAGGATTTTGCTAAGTCACTCAGGTCTTGAACTTGGGATCCTCCTGCCTCAGCCCCGAGTCACCTGGTCATAGGCATACACACCACGCCTGCTGCGGTTTTGCTTTCCATGCTTTCCCTGGTCGTGGGGCTGGAGCCCAGGGCTCCACACGTCCCAGGCAAGTGCTCAGCTTCTGAGCCACAGCTTCAGTACCCGTTTAAGACTGCGGTGAAGGCGCATGACAAACAGTTTGCAGCCCTCAAGTGCACAGCTGAGCCCCGCCCCCAGCCCCTGAAGGCCGCCAGTCCACTCCCCGTGGCCTCTCTTGCTCCAGACACTTCACATCCATGGGGTCACATGCCGTGTGGCCTTGTGGGTCTGGCTGCTGCCACTCAGTGTCATGGTTCCCATCTCCTCCATGTTGTAGCTGTGCCAGGGCTGTTCTCCTTTTCTTGGCTTTGTAGTACTCCACTGTGTGAAGGACTCCCCTTGTGTTGATCCGCTCACCTGCCCACAGAGGTCTTTCCACTTTTCAGCTATTGTGCGTAGTGTTGCCATGAACATATGTGGTTAAGTTTTCTTTTCTTTTTTGGTTCTTTTTTACTTATTTGTTTTCTTGAAGTCAGGGTCTTGCTAAATTCTCCAGGCTGGGCTTACCTCGGTCTCCTAAGCCCTGGGGTGACAGGCATGCACCCCCACAACCCGCTTCCAAAAGCTCCTTTCTAAATTCCACGTATTTAAGCGAGAGGGAACGGGCCAATTTAGGGACCTGCAGTAAGTGACAGGGATGGCAGTCCCCAGGCAGCAGGCCCCAGAAGGTGTGCAGCATGGCCAGGCGTCCAGCCAGGGACCCGGGTGGCTGCCTCTGGGCTCACCGCGTCCCGAGACACCAGCCTGTGTCCGCGCCCCGCAGGCAGCTGGCCCAGGTGGTCCGAGAGCGCTACCTGTCCCCACCTGAGGCGGCCGCGAGGCACAGCGTCCTGGCCGACTTCTTCGCGGGCACCTGGAGCCAAGGGACCAAGAAACTCATCACTCTGCCGCGTGTGGGGGGGCCGCTGAGCCTGGACCGGAAGGTGAGCACCACCGCCCGCCCCAGTCCCCTGCGAGCACAACTTGGGGTGGGCGGCCGCAGAGGACAGGCCCAGACCTCCAACTCTCCAGGGGAGAAAAAAATCCCAACACCTGGAAACATTAAAACCGCCCCTAGCCGGGCATGTGGCACACACCTGCCATCCCAGCACTCTGGGAGGCTGAAGCAGGAGGACTGCAAGTTCAAGGCCAACCTGGGCAATTTAGCAAGACTCCGCCTCAAAATGAAAATGAAAAGGCCGAGGGCCGGGGATCTAGCTCAGTGGTTCCACCGCCTGCCTCGCGAGCCCAAGAACCCGAGTTCGATCCCTGGTACCAAAAAAAAAAGAAAGAAAGAAAAGGGCTCAGGTATAGCAGAGAGGAAGAGAGTAAGCCTCGCATGGGTGAGGCCCTGGTTCTGTCTCCAGCACTGCAAAAAGAAACAAAGACTGAGGACACCTCTACCTAGCATCTGCATCCCTCTGTCATTCCCCGTCTACCCGCCCTTCCCTTTGTTAGGCCTCGAACATCCTCCCCTGTGAGTTCTTCAGTCCGATGTGATTTCCAATCATGCTGTCCTCTAATGTATCAGGCACTTAAAAAAAAAACAACTAACACTTTGCCAGGCTTGGCGGCGCACGCCTGTCATCTCAGCTACTCAGGAGGCTGAGGCAGGAGGGTCTCAAGTTTGAGCCCTACTGGGAAAACTTAGGGAGACCCTGTCTCAAAATGAAACGAGCTGGGGCGTTGGTCAGTGGCAGAGTGCCCGGAGCTTCTGTCCCTGTGCGGAAAGAAACATTCTGTTCACGAGCGCGTGGTCATCACAGACCACAGAGTCCGCCAGGGAAGTCGAGCCTGCCCTCCCCACCGTCCTCCGGCCCCCCACGGGTCCCCGGAAGGTGATGTCTCTGGACCATGGTTTTCATTCTTTCACTGCAGCTGGACTTTTCTTTTTTGCTGGTCTCCCCCGGGGCCCTGAGGCCAGGTCAGGGAGGGTTCTCTGCTCCACCTTTCTCCTCTGGAGCTACTCAGACTCTTCCTGGCTCCTCCTGTGTGCCCAGAGTCCCCGCGGCACCCCTTGTCCTCACGTCTGGGGTGCAGTCTGACCTCTCTAGTCTCCAGCACCAGCACATCCTCCCAAGGAGCCCCCTGATGCTCCACCCGGCTCTGCCTCTCCTCTGACACCTCCCATAGCTCCCCAGTGCCTCCTGTCATGTCCCAAAACTCTTCCTGTTCTCTCACAGCTCCAGGTCTTTGCCTCTGCCATTTTTGCTTGCTTTTTCTTGGAGAGTGGGTCTTGCTATGCTGCCCAGGCTGGACATGGACTCTGAGGCTCATGCGATGCTCCTGCCTTAGCCTCCTCAGCAGTTAGGACTACAAGTGTGTGCTGTGGCACCTGGCAATTCCATTGCTTTCTGACGCATTTGCCGGACAGACTCCTGCTCATCCTCCGAGGCCCAGCTCAGTGCCCCTCTTTGAAACCTCCCTGTCCCAGGCAGTGCCTCGCCCTGCTTCAGGACACCCAAGCCTGGGGCTCCTCACTCTGCCCAACCCGACTTGGGAGGACAAGAACATGGGCCACTGCATCCCCTGCTGCAGTTTGTGGAGTGGGTGAGCGACCTCGTGCCCCAGCCCTTGTTCCCCAACCCTGCAGGTGGCCCCACAGCCCCTGTGGTTCTCAGACTCCGTTGCCAATGAGCGGAAGCTGGCGGAGCTGCCCCTCCACCTGCTGCATGCCGGGCGCACCAGGGAGCTGCTGCAGGATGTGCTGGGTGAGCACCATGCTCCACACCCAGGGCTGCCAGGGTCCAGATGGGCTCAGTGGTCATACTGCAGGGCAGGGGGCTCCAGGCTAGGAGTCAAAGCCAGGCTGCTCAGCACTCTGCAGCCCACAGCGCACAGGGCATCCATGCCAGACAGCTGGTTACCTGGCCTCTGATGATGGCACACAGGGAGAAAAAGCCTGCCTCAGAGCAAGAGTCTGTTTGTCCATTCTCCATCCACCCATCTATCCATGTATTCTGTATCCAGCCATATATCATCCATGTATCCATTCTTCTCTTGATCCATCCAGCATCCACTCATCCACCCATCCACCCAGCCATCCATTCACTCATCCATCCATGTACCATTCTATCCATCCATCCATGCATCCATCCGTCCATCCATCCACCCACCCACTCCTCCTGCCCTGTGATTCTGAACCTCAGGACCTTCTGCCCCATCTCTGGAGACCCTTGTTGGTTCTGGGACCTTTCAGATGGGGTTTCCGCCTGCTGTGGTGGCAGCAGGGCCCTGCCCACCCCCACAGTGTGCAGTGCAGCCCCCACCAGAGTGGGCCAGGCCAGAGTGTGTCCCACTGGGGGGGAGCTGGGAGGAGACAGGGGTGACACTGAGCCCTGCCTGCCCTGTGCCTGCAGGTGACATGAGCTGGCTGTCCTGCCGGCTGCTGTCTGGTGGCCTCGATGCCCTGCTGGACGATGTGGACCTGTGTGTGCCCCACGTGGACAGCCCGGAGCTGGGCCTGCTGCGTGAGGCCCTCGAGCTCTGCCGCCCAGCCCTCGAGCTCCGGGGCACAGGTGAGTGGCTGACCTGGCCGGGGCCTCTGCCCTGCCAGGGGCTGTTTTGCCTTAGCCTCTGGGCCCCTCGCTCCTGGAGCCACTCCCAGTTCTGAACTGACCTGGGCCACCCCTGCCACCTGCCCACACTGTTCCCTGGAAGTTCCAGGCAGCATGGACAGCTCAGGAAATGGCACCTGCACCTACTGCAGGAGGAAGAAGCTCCCGCAGGCAGCTTACCCAGGGCCGTCTGCTGCTGTCCAGTGACCAGAAGGGCTGCTTTGTGGAAGATTAGCGCTCTGCTTCCCGGGGCTCCAGGTCCTTGGTTCTTGTGATCTGTCCTGCTGCAAACACAGGGATCTACACAGACTGTCTTTTCTAGCATTGAGGGTTGAACCTCGGGCTTCACACTGAGCCGTGTACCCAGAACTTCTTATTTAATTATATTTTGAGACAGGGTGTTGCTAAGTGGCTAATTAGCCCAGGGTGGGCTGGAACTTGCAACCCTCCTGCCTCAGCCTCCCACAGTGCTGGGATGCCAGGACTGCGGCAGCCACTGTTCCCCGGTGTGGTGCATGCTAAGCAAGCACTCGCTAGTGAGCTACACGCCCACCGTCCAATTTCCCCAACATTAACATTTTATTTTCCCTATTTTGCTTGATCTTTTTTTTCTTTTTCTTCAGTGTTAGGGATGGAAACCAGGGCCTCTGCACTGAGCTGCATCCCCAGCCCTTTTTATTTTTATTTTTTATTTTGAGACAAGGTCTCCCTAAGTTACTAAGTTTCCCGGGCTGAGCTCAAACTTGCCATCCTCCTGTGTCAGCCTCCCTGAGTCCCCGGATGACAGGCGCCCGCCGCTGTACCCAGCTTAAACTGACCACCAAAACCGTTTGTAAGCGTCCCTTGGGTGGCTTTAAGAATAGTCGTAGGCAAAGCACTGAGTCCTCGCAGCCGCGACCTCCCGCTGTCCTCGGTTCCCCTCGGCTGCCAGCAGGGGCGGCATCGGGCCTGGAGCAGCCCTTTTTGCAGCGGCCCACGCGGGCGGCGATCAGAAGCTCTGCGGGGACCGCACCTTGAGACTTCTGTGCAGAACCTGTGCTAACCCCGCGACCTCCCAGGACCCAGGGCCGCCCGGGTTAAACGCGGGGCTTGTAGGCCCGGACCGGCGGGACCTTTGCGAGTCCCTTGATTGACAGCCGCGGCTCCTCAGTGGGGACCAATCCCGCCACCAGGGGGCGCCGCGGGACCGGGCCTCGCCCCGCACCTGGAGGACGTGCGAGGCCCGGATAACAGGTCCGAGCTCCCTACGGTTCCGCGAAGGCCGCGGTGTCGCTGGGAGCGGAGCTTCCTTCCTGGGCTGTGTTAGGCTACTGGGGACGGAAGCCGGGGCTCCCCCACGCGCGACAGGAGCCCCACCCCCAGCCCTTTTGGTTCATTTGGAGACAAGAATCTATGGGCTCAAACTTTCAACCCTCCTGCCTCAACCTCGGAGAGTCTGTGTCTGCAAAGGCTGGGAGCCTGGAGGCAGCCTGGGCACAGCGAGGCGGCAGGGACACTCAGGCGGTCACCCTCCCTGTGCCCTCTGCAGAGAGAAGTGTGCTGTATGTGGAGCTGCTGGCCCGGCTGCAGGCCTTTGCCGCCTCGTGCCCTGTGCTGCTGGGGCCGCTGAGTCAGCAGGCCCAGGCCTGGCTCCGCGCATGCCCGCACCCTGTGCTGGTGCCGCTGGCCCCGTGTCTGCAGCCCCCGGGGGGGCCCCTGTGCACCTCCCTCACCGGCTGTCACAGAGGTGGGTGTCCCGGGCAGCAGAGGCGGGCGGGTCCCCTGACGGATGCCAGCCGCCAGTGCCGACTGGTGCTGCCCTGAGACTGCAGGGCCCTGGGGTAAATGTGCTAATGAGCCCGGGCTGGGACACTGCCGCTCCCCTGAGCCTCTGCCGCACGGCAAGGGACTGAGCCCACCTGTGCCTCTGTTTGCCCATCTGCGGGGGGGGTGCGATTCAGGGTCCCGAAGCAGAGACGTGGGCGCTGAGGCTCGGCCGCCGCCCTTGTGGCCACAGGTGTCACCGCCCTGGCGTGGAGCCCGCAGGAGCGGCTGCTGGTGGTGGGCGCCCAGGACGGCATGGTGACCGTGTGGGACGTGGAGGAGGCACGCGTGACCCACATCCTCACAGGACACGCAGGTGGGCACGGGGCAGACAGACCCAGAGTCCTAGAGAGGAGCAGACTCGGCTCTGTCCCCACAGCACTTAGAGCTCCCGAACCAGCGGCAGCCCGGCGGGGCAGGGCGGTGCACAGCTACGACCCTAGCTGCGCAGGAGGCTGTAGCAAGAGGATCCCAAGTGCAAGGCCAGTGTGGGCCACTTAGAGAGATCCTGACGCCAAATAAAGAGTAAACAATGGATTAGGGATGTGGCTCAGTGCGAAGGCCCTGGATTCAGTCTCCAGTACCACAGAGAGACAAAAAGGAAGAAGGAAAGAGAGAAAGTTAGTTTGGTCAAAAGATTCTGGGTTCAACCATGAGTAGCACAAAAAAGAAAACCAGTTGCGCCTTCTGATTGCATTGGGATTAAATTCCCCGGGATAATTTGGGGAGACACTGATTCAAGCCATAGCACATTATAAGGCTTTCATTTCTCTTCTGTTTTCGCCCCTTACTAGGGATGCACCCCAGAGTGCTGGGATGACCAGTCCACCGCGCCATGTGGCAAACTCTTACTATTTGTTGTCAGACAAACACTAAACAGTTTATTGAAGGGCCAGGGACTTAGCTCAGGGGTGCTGTGCTGGCCTTGAAAGTGAAAGGTCCTGAGTTGAATCCCCGGTACCAGGAAAAAACGTTTTATTGAGAACCTGGAAGCCACCATGGATGTGAATGGTTTGGAGAGGGAAGGTCTGCTACTGGCTTCATGGTGGCTTCCCGGAGCTGGACATGAGGTTGCAGGGATTGTGGGAGGAGGTTGTCACTGGGAGCCGTGACTAAGCATCAAATTATAAAAATGTACAGTGCGTAAATTGTGTTCCAACAATGCAGCATAGACTGATGAGTTTCCAACACTTGGCTCTTCCCTGAGATCTTAGAAATTGATGTCATCCTGGTCAGGCATGGGTGCACGTCTGTAATCTCAGCACTCGGGAGGCTGAGGCAGGAGGATCCCTGTGAGTTTGAGGCCAGCCTGGGTTGCATAGTAAATTCACAGCCAATCTGAACTACATAGCGAGACTGTCTCAAAACAGCAACAACAACAATTAGATACCTTCCGGACACTATGCCTTTGTAAAATTCAGGCCTCTGTTTATCGTAAATTCGGTGTCTGGGAGGACTGATTGAACCCCAGCCCTCTGTTACATTTTTATTTTTCTTCCCTCTCCATGGTTTCCTGCTTGAACCTACCCATCTTGTCTTTGGAAGCCGGGTGTCCCCGCCCATGGCACCGTGGCGATGAGGGCGGAGTGCCCAGCTCATGTCCCGCGTCCTGCCGCAGGAGAGGTGACCTGCCTGGCTGTGCTTGCCCGGGAAGCGCTGGCCGTCTCCGCCTCCAGGGACCGCACGCTGTGCCTGTGGCACCTGCTGTCCGGCCGGGAGAGGTTCACCCTGCGGGACACAGGCACCCCGGACCCCCAGACCTGCCGCCTCCACCTGGACGAGGCTCAGGGCGTGGTGTACGCAGCCTGGAGCTCACAGGTAAGGCGCAGCTGCCCTGCTGGGTCAGACGAGCCAGGACCATGGTGCCCAGAGGAGGCAGGGGCCACTGCTGGGGGGCACGGTGGCAGGAAGTGCGGAAAGGGTTTCAGACGTTACCCTTGGCCTCTATGATCTCAGCCAGCTTTCCAAGACCTCAAAACTTGAGACTTTTGAGCGTCTCTCATTTGGTTACTGCAGGGCTACACAGTCCTCTGAAAGTACCATTTTACTGCTGCTGGTGCTGAGATGAGTCTCACTGTGCTGCCCAGGCTGACCTCAAAGTCTAGATCCTTCTGCCTCAGCCTCCTGAGTATAGCTGGGGTTACAGGTGTGCACCACCATGCCTGGCTCCACAATATATATATATTTTTTGGTACCAGGGATCGAACTCAGGTCCTTGCGCTTGTGAGGCAGGTGGTGGCACCGCTGAGGTAAATCCCTGGCCCACTCATTGAGTTTTTTGAGACAGAGTCTCAGTATGTAGCCCAGGCTGGCCTTGAACCTGCAACGATTCTCTCACCTCAGCCTCCGAGTGCTGGGATCACAGGCAGGCACCACCACGCCTGGCCACACAGTTTCTATTTTTAAAGCTTTTTCTAAGCCCAGCTTTCAGGAGGCTGAGGCAGGAGGATCACTGAGAGTTCTAGGCCAGCCTGAACTACATAGTGAGACCTTGTCTTGGAAAGATAAAAACCCAGATTTTTCTTTTGGAATGATTTTGGATTTCTGGAAAAGCTCTGGCAGAGTTCCCGGCACCCTTCACGCAGCCTCCCTCATGCGCTGCCAAGGTCTGACGTCACACAGGTGTGCGGGTCCCGCTGAGATGTGAACGTCAGTTACGCTGCTGCTGGAACTCCAGGCTGCACTCAGTTCCATCAGGTCTTCCACGGGAGTCTTCTCATTATTCCAGAATCCAAAACAAGACCCAAAGCTCCTTTCTGTCCCTGAATCTGATCTGCAGCACTGGGAATGAAAGTCACAAACTATTGAAAAGAAAGGCATTTAGCTGGGTACAGTGGTGCATGCCTGTCCTGCTACTCGGGAGGCTGAGGCACGAGGATTGCTTGAACCCATGTATTCAAGGGCAGCCTGGGCCATACAGCGAGACCCCACGACTTGCACACATCTTGTCCTTGGTGTTCCCTGAGCTATGTCTCCCTCTCGCTCCGCTAGATCAGTGCTTGGAACCTGCAGACCGCGGAGCTGCTTTTCCGCATCCTTGGCGACGTCTCTGACCCCTGGGTGTACACAGCTGTGCTGGTGTCCCAGGCCCAGTTGTTGACCTTGTCCAAGGGCGGTGCCATCAGTGTGAGGAGCTCAGCCACTGGACAGCTGCAGGGGACACGGCCCCTGTCCAGCACACCAGAGGAGACCCCGTCCTGTGCAGTCCTGGTCCAGAAACAAGGAAGGCTGATCGCAGGGTTCAGCAGCGGCTCCATTGCTGTGGTAAGTGACTGACTACATGATCAACACTGCTTCCTCTCCAAAGTGCATGGAGGGCTCCCCCCACCCCATTTTCTTTCTTTTCTTTTTTCGACTTTTGGGGGTTTTTGTTTTGTTTTTTGAGACAGGGTCTTGCTATGCAGGCTGTTCTTGAACTTGTGGCGATCCTCCTGCCTCAGCCTCCTGAGTGCTGGGATGACAGGGGTGCCTAGGACTCTAACTATGTGAGATCCCCAGGGGTCCTTCCAAGGCACCGAGAAGTTCAAGGCCAATCCGGGCTCCATAGAGTTCAAGGCCAGCCTGAACTACAAAGCAAAACCAAAGCCCTGGGTCCCGAGCGCGGCCACAGCGGTGCTGAGCCCGCCTGATTCTGGCCAGGTTTCCCCGGATGGAGACCATGGGGACCAGCAGCTGGAGAGGCTCCCGGAAGCAGTGTGTTTCCTGGTGCTGGCGGAAGACGAGTCCCTTCTGGCAGCAGGTAGTGCCTACCTCTCACCCTGGGGCTACAGGAGGAAATGGGTGGTGTTTGGGGGACATGAGGGGTTAGGTCAGAGGTCAGCAACGTCCTCTGCCAATGTTGCATCAACCAAGGGTTTCCAGCTCTGCCCAGAGGGGCAGCGCCTGCTGCAAGGACACCGCTGTGCTCTGCGTGCAGGAAGCCACCACAGGCATGGTGCACAGCCTGGGGCCAAGTGCTGATAAAACGTTATTGACACCAACATTTGAATTCTATATCATTTTCACGTGTCATGAAATGTCAATCTGTTTTTTCCTTGTAGTGCTGGGGCTAGAACCCAGGACCTCAAATGTGCCAGACAAGCTCTGTGCCACCGAGCTGCATCCTCAGCACTTACTATTTGTATTTTGGCGAGAGGTCTCCTTAAGTGACTTGAACTTGCAACCTGCTTGCTTCAGCCTCCCAAGCAGCTAGGATTGCAGGTGTACACCACCACACTGGCTTGATTTCTTTCAACTTTTAAAGATGTAGCCAGGCGTAGTGGTGCAGGCCTGTAATCTCAGCATTAGGGAAGCTGAGGCAGGAGGATCACCACAAGTTCAAGGCCAGTGTGGGCTACATAGTGAGTTCCAGGCCAGCTTGGACTACATAGTAAGACCTTGACTCAAAAAAACAAAATAAATAAATAAAAACTGGGGCTGGGTGTAGCTCAGTAGTGAGGACTTACTTAGCATACAGCGATCCATCCCAGCACTGCAAACCAGTCAACCAATCAATCAATCAGGTAATCACTCAGCCAACCGACCCAGCAAGGCCCATACAAAAGCAGGCAGCAGCGGGCATCTTGGTGGCACCGAAGGGTCCTCCACTCCCTGGCGTCGGGCTCTGTAGCCTGGAAGCGGCAGCCACCATCCTTGCCCAACAGCCGAGGGGGCTGAGTGAGCGGGAGGGCAGGGGTGACCCTGTCCGAGCCGTCCCGGGCCTGCAGTCCAGCAGGAAGACCGTGCCTGGGTCCTGTCCATCCCCTGGGGGCTCTGTGACTAACAGATGCTCCCAGCTGGCCCTGAAGATGATATCTGACTGACCCGTGATGGGGACAGGGACTTGTGGGCCCGAGGCTCTCTCCAGGTCGGCCCTGTGTCCCACGAACCAGGGCCACCGGTGCCCCCTCCCCTCATGCTCAAGGTGGGGACCGGAACCCTTACTTCTCCCTCCTTCCTGTCTCCCTCCTCCCTCCTTCCAAACCAGCCCTGCCTTCCACACGCATGTCTGTGGCGGTCAGTAAGGAACAGCTCTCCGCGCCTGCTGACGCCTGGAAGCCCCTCAGCATGGCGGGTGAGGGCCAGGCCCTGTCACCTTGGCCCTCCTGGACCCCTCTTTGGTGCGTCCTGGGTTCCCGGAAAGTCCGCATGGGCCGCCGGCTGAGAGCTGTCGCTGTCCTGCTGCATTTCAGGCTTTGGGAGATGCGTGCGGACATTTCTGGCCGACTCACAGGCCTTCCGCCAATTTCTGGCCACCGACTTGGAGCATGAGGACACGGTGGAGACGTCAGTGTTCGGGCCCCAGAACAATCTGATTGTCACCGGGTCCAGAGATGCGCTCGTTCAGGTGAGGGCAGCTGACCCTGCCCCGGCTCCGATGGGGACAGGGGACAGGCACTTGGGGCCTCCACACCCCATGCAAACCCTACTCCACATTTAGGGTCTCACGGGGTGGGGGGATGCGGGGCGCCCCCTGGGCCCCATGCAGACCGGGCAGGAATCACCGGTGGGCCAACAGAGAAGAAGCACCCCACCTGTGACCAAAACTTGGCGTGGAGCACAGGTGAGGAGGAAAAGTCCCAGTTCAGAGTTCCCAGGACTGACAAGGAAAGCACGCAGCAGCGGTGCAGTGGCACACACCTGTGACCCCAGCCACCTGGGAGGCTGAGGCAGGAGGATGTCCAGTTTGAGCCCAGCCTGGGCAACTTCGCGAGACCTTGTCTCAGACTAAAACAGAAAGGGCTAAGGCTGCAGCTCAGTGGTACAGCACTTGCTTAAAGCATCTGGGTCAAAATAAAGCAAAATTCAGGGAACAGAGCTGGGGGAGCAGCTCACTGGCAGAGTGCTGGCCTGGCACACGCAAGGCCCTGGATTCTATCCCCAGCACAAGAGAGAGAGACAGAGACAGACAGAGAAATGAGTTCTCCAACGTCTTGCTCTCGGGACTCCTCTGCAGTCTTTTGGGGGTTTTTTTGAGCCAGGGCCTCACCATGTAGTCCAGGCTGGCCTTGAACTCACTATGTAGCCCGGGCTGGCCTGGAACTTGCAGTGATCCTCCTGCCTCAGCCTCCTGAGTGCTGGGGTGATGGGCGTGAGCCTCCATGCCCGGCTGTCTGCAGTTTTAGACATGACTGAGGAGCCCAGAGAGCCTCGGCTGGGTAAGACTCTGTACGCACGCGCTGGCGGCACCTTTCTGGGGTGGCCTGTGACAAGGAGAGATCAGGGTGGAGACAAAAAGCCAGAGCGGGAGGCCCCGCCTCCTTGCCAGGGCCCCGCCCACTTCCAGCCAGGCCCCGCCCCTTAAAGGTGCACCCCCTCTGATAGCCTCACTTGGGACCAAGGTCCCAACGCATGCGCATTAGAGGATGCGCCACTGCAGCACGCGTGTGGGCACGCGTGTGGACACGCGAGGTGACTTGGGGGGGGACTTCAGGGTTACAGCAGCATCAGAGTCCCGCCTGTCTCTCCTCCAACCTGACGTCCCGGGGCACCTCAAGACCATGACGCTAGCACCAGGAACCCCGGGACCGCATCTGCAGGGGGCCCGGTCTCTCCGGTTCCTCACCCTTGTCCTTGTCCACTCCAGGACCCGGCCCCGGCCCCGCATCATCAGGTGACCAGGAGGCAGCCCCCAACCCCGTGGGCTCTCATTGGCACCGCGCGTGCGTGGGCTGCGACCTCGGGGAAGAACTCAGCTTCCTGAGACAGAAAAAGCGTGCGTGTGTGTCCGTGTGTACACACGTCTTCACACGCACACACGCACCAACATGTACACACGCAGACGTGTGTGTTCACAGGCTTTGCACGCATGCACAGGCGCATGCGCGTTCCTACATGCCTGTCCATTCATGTGTACACAGGTCTGACACGCCGAGGCATGCCCGTGCACGTGTGTTCATGGAAACACTGGCCTGGTTTCACATTTCCCAGCCTCTTTAGCGTCTGTCTTACTAGAAGGCAGCAGGGCTCACTCTTGACTGGACCCTCATGTTTATCTCGATGCCTGTCACAAAGCTTCTGGAAAACTCTACCACTTAGAGCAGAACAGGCCACTCAACTCTTGGAGCTAACTCTTAGGAAAGCAGTTTTTTGGGTTTTTTTTGTCTTTTGGATGGTCTCACTGTGTTATTCAGGCTAGTCTTGAACTCCTAGGCTCAAGGGATCCTCCTGTCTCAGCCTCCTAAGTAGCTGGGATGATAGACAGGTGCCCTTGTGCCAGCTTGAACACAGGTTTGATCTTGCAAACACCTTGAAGGGGCCCGGGGAGTGCCCACCAGGGGTTCTCACGCTTTGAGAACCACCGCGGCATTTGCTTGGGGAGCTAAGGGTAAGTTTAAGAGGCCGAGGCAGGAGGATCACCATGGCTTCATAGAGAGATCCTGTCTGAAAAAACAAAAGACAAAAAAAGAGGCTGGGGAGATGTGGAGGGCCTTGCGTGGCAGCCTGGGACTTAAGCGCAGGCAACAGACCAGCGCAGGCATCCGGCCTCCCGTGGCGGAGGACACACCCACCTGCCTTCCTGTCCCCTCCAGGTGTGGAGCCTGTCTGAGCAGGGGACCCTGCTGCACGTCCTCGAGGGCGTGGGCGGCCCCGGGAGCCTGCTGGCCCGGGCCGGGGCCCTGGTGGCGTGCGCATCCCAGCAGTCCTCCTCCCTCAGGGTCTGGGACCTCAGCTCCCCGCAGCGGCCGCAGCCCCCCGCGCCCTTCCCAGACCGCGCGGGCCTCGTCGCCCTGTCCCACCACGGGAGCTTCGTCTACTTCCCCAAGGTCGGAGACAAACACAAAGTCACCGTCTGGGACGTGGCCGAAGGTCTGTGGGACAGCAGCCCAATCCTTTCTGTGGGGAAGGACGGAAGTGCAGTTTAGGCTCAGGAGGCTAAAACCTGGGGGTGGGGGACGCTTAGGCAGCAGGCGGTCAAGGCCGGTTCAGGAGCCTGGGGGTCCGACCCGTGCTGGTGGGCTGGGTGTCGGGAGGCCAGGCAGCTTCTGGACTCCCGGCTGCCCGGCCTCTTAGGGACCATCCCATGGCAGAGACGGTGGGGGGGATTTATTTAGAGGCAGGGCCTCACTGAGTGGCCCAGGCTGCACTTGAATTTGTGATCGCCCTGCCCCAGCCTCCCAGAGTGCCAGGGCGATGGCTTGCACCACCTGCCAGCCGGGACCAGGCTTTTGGGCCCTTTCTCCGCCAGTCGTGGGCTGTGGGTGCCCATGGGGAGGGTGCAGTGCCCAGGACTTTCCAGGTGAGGGGCTCCCTCCGGCAGAGGGCACCACTTGGTAGAAGACGAAGCAGGGGGCACCCTGGGCTCTGGATGAGCCAGCAGTTGAGGGGCCTGGACATGGCACCAACGGTACCTGCAACACGGCCCGTGGAGAGATGGAGAAATGCAAGGCTGAGGCAGGAGGGTTGCAAGTTCCAACCCAGCTTGAGCAACAGCAGCTTAGCAAGACTCTGTCTCAAAATAAAAAACACAAAAGGGCTGGGAATGCAGCTCAGTTCAATGCTCCTGGGTTCCGTCCCCAGTGCCTCGAGAAAGGAAAGCCACCCAGGGTGCTGGATGGCACCCTGATGAACCCTGGCTCCTCCCTGGCAGGTGAGGTACAGGACACCCTGGACGCGTCCAGTGAGGTCCGGTGCCTGGAAGTGGCCGAGGGGCCCAAACTCCTGTTTGCGGGGCTGTCGTCGGGGGCTGTGCTGGTGTTCCCGCTGGACTCGAGGCAGGATGTGCTGTGTGTGCCCCCGCCCGAGGCCCGCAAGCCAGTCGTGTGCATGGCCCTGAGCAAGCTCGAGGACCGGCTGGCCATCGCCTACGACAACACCGTGCTGGTGCTGGACGTGGAGCCCGGGGACCCGTGCCCAGCCATCGAGGGGCCTGCATACACCTTCTACACGCAGCTGCCCGAGACCATCGCCAGCGTGGCCGTGCTGGGTGACCACCGTGTGCTCTATGGCATGACCAGCGGTGACCTCTTCCTGTACGCATGTTCCGACTCCCAAGTGTTCCCGCTCGAGGCCCACAGCAGCCGAGTGACCTGCGTGGATGTCAGCCACAGCGAGCAGCTGGCAGTCAGCGGGTCCCAGGAGGGCCGCCTATGTCTCTGGGACGTGGGCACGTGTGCGTGCAGGCTGGAGCTGGGCTACACGGTGCGTGCCCACCACCCTGCCCCTGCCGGGTGGGCCTGAGCAGCCGGGGGTGCAAATTCCACTCCCAGCTGGGCAAACCTTGTCTCAAACTAAAAAAAGGGCTGGAATGCCATTCAGTGGTACAGCACCCCTGGGTTTGAGGCTCAGTAACAAGACAAAACAAAAACCCCAGCAATCAAGAGAAATACAGGCTGAGGGCCAGGGATTTAGCTCAGTGGCACCGTGCCTGCCTTGCAAGCACAAGGTCCTGAGTTCGATCCTTGGTACCAAAAAAAAAAGAAAAAGAAATACAGGTTGAGTGTCCCTTATCCAAGATGCTTGGGACCAGAGTGTCCTGGATTGGGAATCTTTTCAATTTTGTAATATTCACATATCTCTAAGGAGATACCTTGGGGATGGGACCCCATCCAAACAGGAACCTCATTTGTGTTTTATAAACACACAAATCTCATTTTATATAATATTTTTAACAATTCTGTCCATGACAGGAAGTTTCACAGTGTGGAATTTTCTACTCCTGGGTTTCCTGTTAGTCTTAAAAACATTTGCATTTCAGAGTATTTCAGATTTGGGATTCTTATTCTGTGATTCCCTTTTCCTCTTCTAGGGCCTAATTGGGGATCCCCCAACATTTTCATTTTTCTTTTTTTTTGGTACTGGGGATCAAACTCAGGACCTTGTGCTTTCGAGGCAGGTGGTGGAGCCACTGAGCTAAATCCTCAGGCCCCTCACCCCATTGTTTTCTTTTCTTTTCCTTCTTTCCTTCCTTCCTTTTCTTGTGGTGCTCGGGATTGAACTCAGGGGCTCATGTGTGCTAGGCAAGTGCTTTACCACTGAGCTACACCCCAGCTCTTTATGTTTTATATTTTATTTTGAGTCAGGATCTCACTAAGTTACCTAAGCTGGTCTCAAACTTGTGATCCTCCTGCCCCAGGCTCCTATGTAGCTGAGATTACAGGCATGTACCACTGTACCCAGCCTGTAATGTTTCTAGCACACAACTTTTAATGCAGTGAATTCATAGTGAACATTTGTATGACAAGGTAATTTACGCTCTCTGATGGAGAGACCTAGCACCACTCAGACCCCTCTCTGAAGTTGTTCTTGGTCCTAGGAACCCCATCCCCCATCTTTCTGGGTTTTCCTTTGATCCAGCCCATGGGGGGCTCAAAACCTGGCTCTGAGGGCTGGTCCTCGGCGACTTCCCTCATGGCATCTGGATCCCGCGGTCTGTTTTGAACAGAGCTCCTACTGCCCCGGGGTGCGATGCGTCTGCTTCTCGAAGGATGACAAATACGTGTTCTCAGGCTTGCAGGACCGCTCCGTCATCGTCTGGAGCGCAGTGGACGGTGAGTCTCACTCTAGGCCAGGCCTGAGCCTTGATCTGGATGCCAAGGGCCCTGCGGTGGATCCTGACTCCTAGAGGCCCCTGCCACAACTCCTCTGGCCAGGAGAGAGGACTCCTGGCTCTCTGATGAGAGATCTGCATGTGGTCCGAATGACCTCCTCCCCAGACCCAGCCTCCAAGCGTGAGAGGGCCTCTTGTGGACCCCTGTATGAGGGATGTGGCCGTGGGTGCTGCAGAGGGCTAGATATCTGTGCTGGGGTGGGGTTCATGTGGACATGGGTGAAGGCCCTCAAGGTGGGAAGAGAAAGGGTCTGAGCCACAGATGGCAGGGGCCTGGCTGTTCGGTGCTGCAACATTCTAGCTGTCAGTCTGAACCTGACCTTCCAGGGGTTTCTGAAGGCACCTTCTTAAATGTAGGAGGATAGAACATATTTTATTTCATAGTTTATGCACTAGATTTGTAGTCACTCTATATGTTTTTCTGTGGTGCAGTGGATGGAACCCAGGGCCTTCATGCTGAGCTACACCCCAGTGCTTTTTAAATTTTTCTTTTTTTTTAAATTTTTCATTTTGAGACAGGCTCTAAGTCACTAAGTTGCCCAGGGTGGGCTCAAACCTGCCATCCTCCTGCTTCAGCCTCTGGAGAGTGCCAGGATGACAGGCATGGGCGGGTATGCTGATACCCTGTAGTCGAATGCAATGTAGCAAAGATGCCAGGCAGTCAGTCACAGAAGGCTCAGAAGCCAAGGTCCAAGGATGGTGGCCTTAAAAGCCCAACCTGACCCAGTTCATAACCTCTTTTCCTTCTCTAATAATAACACTAACTGACCCATGTCAGGTCAGAGACCTATACAAGGAACCTCTAAATCTTCAAAATTCCCTTGAGTGGGTAGGTTTTGCCAAGGGAATTCCCACTCTCCAGATGAAAGGAGGGTCGCCCTGGAAGGTTCCTTGTTATGCTGGGCTGGTACAGGGTATGGCAGGGACTCTCCTTCCAGGCAGCCAGCTGTGGAGCATGGAAAGGGGGACCCTGTACCCTAGCTTTCTTGTCTTCACTCCACAGGGACGCTACTGGCCACCCAGTTTGTCCACGCAGTGGTGACCAGAATCATCCCCACTTCTAATGGCTTCATTGCCCCCACAAGCCATGGCTACATCCTCCGGAATCGGTTCCAGTGCCCAGCCTCCAGGGCCTCACAGCAAGACCCCCTCAGGAACTTCCAGAAGGCGGTGTGGAGGGTCAAATGGAGGCAGAGGGAGGAGCTGGCAGCGGGAGCCCCCCAGGACTCGGAGTCAGAGGCGGCCCAGGGAAGGGAGGCCAAGCACAACAAGCGCTCTCAGGTCTGCCGGATTGTGTGAGGCTGTTCATATGGCAGCGGCACCAGAAATGGCTTTCCTGGAGGACAACGGGCCCCAAGGCCTCAGGGCATTTTCCACTCTTCCATTCCTTTCCTTCCCATGAGACGCATTACTCAGACCTACAGCTCCAGGTTAGCAACATGCTGGCCAATGCCCTGCGGGCTCCACGTTCAGTAGAAAGAGCGCTTGGGTTCCCAAGAGTGGCAGCCAGGGGCTGGCCCCGCCTCCATTGGCTCGGATTGGCTGAACGCTCACCCTTGAACCAATCACCAACACAGCACTTTGATTGGCTGGCTGGATCTAATGTCCACTACTGGGCTAAGGCTGGGGATGAAATCCACACGCGGGAAAGGGGCAGGGGCTATGAGACCGGCCAGACCACCACTGAGGGGACTGCAAGGTTCTCCAGTCTGTGATGCCGCAGACCTGTCCTTGTTCCCCCTCACAGCCCCTACTTCGAGGAAGGCAGGAATTTGAGTCCACTTTACAGATGGGGACACTGGCCTTGCAGAGGTGACTCGGGCTTGCTCCAGGTCACGAGTCTGAGGTGTGAGCGCTCTGAGTGGTGACAGCCAGGAGCTGTCTGTCCCGACCCTTGTGGCCCGGCCAGGCCCATGTACCTTTCCCAGTAGGGTCTACTTCACAGCAGGGCCTGGCAGGGACTGCAGCAGCCTCCGCCCCGCTATCAGAGCTTCCTTCACTGCTGCACAAAGCCAGAAAGCTAGATCTTATTATTATTACTATTATTTTTTGGTATTGGGGATCGAACTTGGGTCCTTGCGCTTGCGCAGCAGGCGGTGAAACCACTGAGCTAAATCCCCAACCCTCAGCTAGATCTTATTATACCAGATGTTCCCATTTGTAAAAGTTGGCCATCAGCTCAAATGTGTACCCATAGGCACCCTGGGCCTGTCTGTCCCTGGTGCATGAGGTGACTTCAGGGCTCACGCTGGCATTAAAATAACAACCATGTTATAGTTCCTGAGCCCCAGTCCCTCAATCCCTAACTTCTGGGGTACAGATGCTCTTATGGCTTGCATGCACCTTCTCTCTGCTCATGGCCTTCTGGTCGCTCCCCTTGCATCTGTGCTTTTGCTATCACGATAGGAGGGTTCAAGCTGCCCAGGTCCCTCCTGCCCTCTGCTGGATTCTACAGAAATTCCAAAACACAACCCTGGGAAAAGAGGCATTTTTTTGTGGCAACAGGATGGAACCCAGGGTTCATACTGCTAGGTAAGGGCTCCACCGCTGAGTTCACCCCAGCCCAGAAAATAAAGCTTTTGAGCTTGATGAGACTACTGTTTCACTCATCCATTTCCCAAACCAGGGCTCCAAGGCAGCCCTGGAGAGTTCCACAAATATTTGCATCCACTTCTAAAATATTTTAGGGGCTGAGGATTTAGCTCAGTGGTGCCAGTGCCTGCCTCGAAAGCAGAAGGTCCTGAGATCGATCCCCGGTACCAAAAAAAAAAAATTTAAATTGGCCAAGTGCAGTGGGGTACACCTGTAATCTCAGCTCCTTGGGAGGCTGAGGCAGGCAGCGCCTAAGTTTGGGGCCAGCCTGGGCAACTTAGCCAGACTTTGTCTCAAACTAAAAAAGCAATTTTTAAAAGGGCTGGAGATGCACCTCAGCGGTAGAACACTTGCCTACCATGTAGGAGGCCTGGGTTCAATCCCAGTGCTGAAAACAAAGTTAAGCTGTCATTTAAAAATATATTTTCACGGGCACGGGGCAAGAGTCCTTTTAGATTTTTAACTTAGGTTTATTAACATGTATTAATGTACATATCAATGGGGTTCAGATGCTATGCATAAAGTATGCACTAATGAAATCCAGGCTCCATGTAGCCAACCCCATTCCCAGCTTGAAGTGACCGCTGGTGAACACTCAGGCAGGCTTCTTTAGCTGCCACATATGAGAGACGGCGTGTGGTTCTTGTCTTTTGTGTCTGGCTTGTTTCATTTCACATGATGATCTCTAGTTCCATCCACTGTGCTGTGAATGTCAGGGTTTCATTCTTTGTGGCTGAATAATTTTCCACTGTGTACGTACCTCACTCTTGGGTGCCTACTTTAAGCCATAGCCAAAGGCAGCATCTTTCAGGGAGTTGGGGTTTGCTAATTTAGGATTATCCTGCCATCCATACTTAACTAAAGAACTCATGTAGATTGTAAAAGGGAGCCTTTAAAAAATAAATAGCTACACCTTGCCACCCCTTCTCTGGGACTCAGGAATTTATGTTGTGCAGAAATAAAGTGGATGTTGTGACAATGTAAAACTTCATCTCCAGCTTCTGGTTTGAAATCTGTGTGTGCCCCTGAATACAGATGCGGTGTCAGTCGCTCTGTGTGTCAACAGTCATGTGGCCTTTGTGACAGGACACACTCTGAGAAATGCAGGGGAGGTGGCTCCACCATGCGTGACCATCAGTGGGGCCCTGACATCGCTGACAGTGAGATCTTACGGGACCCACTTGGGTCCCTGGGCTGTCCCTGACCAGAATGCCACTACCCAGCACAGGACTACTAATGTGACACAGAAAAGATATTTTTACTAATAAAATGCTACTTGAAATGGTTGCTTTGATTTCTTTTTTGCTTTGATTTCTTTATTTTATTTTATTTTATTTTTTGGCAGGGGGTTTTCATTTGACAAAGTTTCGTTTGCTTTGTTTGTTGGCTTTGGTTGCTAAGACAAAATGCCTGCTATATCGATTTAGCAGGAGAAAGGTTTGCTTCTGCTCATGGCTTTAGCAGGTTGGTCAATGGTTGCTGGCCCTATTATTTGGCCCCGAACCTCGTGGTGCGGGGCATGGGGATGGGGCAGAGCAGCTCACTCCATGGAGGCCAGGAAGGAGAAAGAGAAGGGAGAAGGGGCCGGCGTCCTAACATCCCTTTCGAGGTCACACCCAATGACCCCACTGCCTCCTACTGTGCCCCGCCTCTTAAAGGGCCCATCACCCCCCAATAGTGCCATCAGCTCAGGCCTGAACCTTTAACATGAAACCCTTTGGGGACACTAAAGTTCCAGACCATAAAAGTTGCTATGGATGTTTGGCCGTCACTGTTCTGTGGAGAACATGAGCTTGCATGAGGCCTCCCAAGCACAGCACAGTCATGACAGCATGGTCATTTCTGTCCCCACCTTTCTCTCTTACAGCTGCATGTGATTGTAGAATGGACCACATCAGGTGGGGCTCTTTTTGACACACTTAGCAATTACTCCTGGACGACAGAAGTGAACTAGACTGTCCCGAGGCGGCTGGAATATCCCGTCTCGCTATTGTTTCCTTAACACAGCTATTTCCTTGATGAAAATGTTCAACCCGTCTCACCACATGGCTTTGCTATATAAAACATCTTTGAAAAGTGGGGTGAGTAGGCCATCCACTTGCCGGCCCCCCTCTGTCTCTTTTAGGCAGAAGCTTTCTTTCTCCCAATAAATTTTTCCTACTCTTAAAAAAAAAAAAAAAAAAGAAAATGTTCAAACCCACAGCAAAGACATGGGATCTTTAAGAGGTAGAGCCCAGTGGGAGGAAGTTTGGTCATTGGGGGTGTGGCCCTGGAGGGATTGTGGGATGCTGATCTCTCCAGTCTGTTCCTGGGTCTCCAGGAACTGAGCAGTGTGGCCCCACCCTGGGCTCCTACCATGATGTGGTCCTCCCCACAGCCCGAAAGGAGCAGAGCCCATGGTCATGGACTGAACCCCCACAACTGTGAGCCTGAATGAAACTTTCCTGTTTTCTGTTGGGCATCTCAGCTGTTTTGTTATAGTAGCAAAAAGCCAACTCATGGGCCGGGGATTTAGGTCAGTGGTTTCGCCGCTTGCTCTGCAAGCAGAAGGACCCGAGTTCGATCCCTGGTACCAAAAACAAACAAACAAACAAAAAAGCACAAGGTCCCAACTTTGATCCCCGGTACCAAATAAATAAAAAGCCAACTCATACTCTGGCTCAGTGCCGAGATGCAGCAATTGCCCTGCCACTGTCAGTCCCTGACTTAAGCACCCTACAGTGAGGTCCAGGCTTGGGGTGGACCCAGAGAACACCCATCTCCAGCACACAACTGAAGAGGCTCTAAGGGACATAGCCATCAACACAATGGCCCAATGGTAAGTACTTGCCTTCCTTGCATTCACCCCTAGGTTCCACCTTTAGCAAGGAAAATAATTTTTTTTTTTGGTACCAGGGATCGAACTCAGGACCTTGCAGTCTCGAGGCAGGTGACAGAACCACTGAGCTAAATCCCCAACCCTATTATCTTATTTTGGAAAAAAAGATTAAAATTTAGATACATGATGAACAAAATAGCAATTTTTATTTCTTTATTTATTTGACTTTTGGAGACTGGGACCTGGTGTGTAGTTCAGGCTGGACTTGAACTCACTCTGTAGCCCAGGCTGGCCTCAAACCTGGGTGATCCTCCTGACTCAGCCTCCTGAATGCTGGGATGACAGGCATATGCCACTGAGCCTGGATTTAAGAGTTTTTGTTTGTTTTTTGGTACAGAGGATTGAACTCCAGTCCTTGCGCTTGCACAGCAGGGGGCAAAACCACTGAGCTAAATCCCCAGCCTTAAGAGTTTTTAATAGGGATTCCAGAGTGAAATGTCCCCAATTCAACCCAAAACATCTCTTATAGCTATTTCTTTCTTTTTTTAAAGCAAAACATTTACTGGTACATTTTAGACATACATAATGATAACATTCATCATAGGGAATTTGTACCAGTACATGATTTATCTTGCTGCTTTTTTTCCTCTATTCCTCCCCTTTTATACAAAAGCTTTGTTTCCATTCTTTCCTTCAATTTTCTCTTTTTCTTGTCTGTCTTTCAATCTAGAATCCAATCAGGATGGCTGCACACATTGCATTTGGACATTGGAGGTGTTCTGTGTTTTGTTCTTTTATATTCTGGAGCAGGGATTGGCAAATTACACCAGCAAATCCTCTTTCTCTCTTTCTTTCTTTGTTTCGAAGTGCCAGGGCCTCCCACCAGCTGATGCTCTACCGCTGAGCCATGCCCCAGCCCTCCTTCTTGTTTTTGTAAATAAAGCTTTATCAGCACATGGCTGTGCTTGCCAGTAGGTACTGCGTGCAGCTACCCTCCTCCTCGGTGTCAGAGCTGAATAACTGGAACAGAGAACAAACTGTCTCAAAGCCACAAACACTGACAATCTTGTCCTTGCTAGATAATAAAGAATAAAAATGTCAGCTTTTTGTCTTAAGCCCTGATTAAAATTCAAGGTGAACATCTGTTTTCAGGCTTGGCTTTTGGATGTGAGGGCGACCTGGCTACGACATCTGTCACCCCCTTGATTGGCAGGGGTGGTCCGGCTGACCTGGCTGGCTAGCCAGGGTCCCCTTTCTCCCTCACCACTCCATGTGCACCTCCCACCCCCACCCCTGCAGCTGTGCTCAGTGGATGAGGACGCAGCCGGATAGAGGAGGATGCTTCCCGGTCAAGGGTATGTGAGTAGCTGCGCTCCCTTCTAGAACCTCCAAACAAGCTCTCAAATAAACTTCACCTTTTAAAGAGCAGCTTTAGATTCACAGCAAAATTGAGTGGAAGGCACAGAAGTTTCTCAGGCCCTCTCCCCACAACCACACTCTCCCCATTGTCAGCATTTCCTGCAGAGATGTTTGTTACAGTGAGTGAACATCCATTGACAGGTAACTGTCACCAAGTAAACTTTGTAATTGTTTTTTTTTTTTTGATGTTTTGAAAGCTGTGTTTATTCAAGTATCAATTTACATTCTGCAAAATCTACTAAACATGAGATCTGACAAATGCATAATCATGTAACCACCACCATAATCAAGTAGAACAATTGTGGAACAAGATGTGAACAAGAAAAAAAAATCTCTCGTGGCTCTTTGCAGTCAACCCCTCCCTGATCTCTTGGAATCAATTCATGTTGCCAAAAGGATTAAAATCTAATCACTAAAATGACCTTTTGCATATAAAATACACAGGACCATGTTTTTAAAAAAGCAAGATACTTTAGTTGTGAAATAGCTAGTTAGAATTGTTTTGACCTTAATGTACTAGTCTTTGTAGAATATATGAATCAAGATAGTTTCAGACTAGGGCTAGATGATTTTTTAAAAAATGGAATTTAATTCTACAGAAATTAGTCTCTGTGGGACCAACTGCACTGAAAGGCAAAGGCACAAAATTCTCAGATATCTGTTCCTATGTGTAACTGGACCTGTCTCAAAATTCACCCCTGCTACAATAGGCATAGGGCAAAATCTCTACTTTGCATACAGATACACCTTTTCTACTCGAAAAGCTTCACCAATTCTTCCAAGCACAAGACCTTATGTTTATCAACATCTTGAACTCCACTGAGCCCAGGGACACATGCGGCCAAAAAGAAAGGAACTTTGTAGTTGTTGTTGCAGAACTGGGGTTGATCCCAGGGCCTTAATACTGAGCCGCACCCTCAGCCCTTTATATTTTGTATTTTAAAGGCAGGGTCTTCTAAGTCACTAAGTTGCCCAGCCTGGGCACAAACTCGAGATTCTCCTGCCTCAGCCTCCCAGAGTGCTGGAATCACAGGCAGGCCCCACTGCACTTGGCTTCTGGATAGGGATTTTTGACAAGGATACCTTATAGGTATATTAGTTCTCTATCTCTGTCTGTCTCTCTGTGTTAGGGCTGTGTCTAGACATCCCCCAAAGCCTCACGTGGTCATAGGTGGGGATTTTCAGAGGTGGCTGGATCTAGAGAGTGTGGTTAAAGCTGGGATGAAGGGTGTGTGGTTACTAAGTCAGTCCACTGATTGGTTTGGCATAATTCTGTGTATGGATAATGGAAAGACCCTCCCTGAGTGTGAATGATATCCTTCCTAGGGGCATGTAGCCTGGATAAAATACAAGGGGCAGAAAGAAGGCTGCTAGGGCCAGGGATTCAGCTCAGTGGTTCCACTGCTTGCCTCACAAGCACAAGGTCCCGAGTTCGATCCCCAGTATCATGAGAAAGAAAGAAAGAAAGAAAGAAAGAGGGCTGCTGTCATCAGTTGCTGTTTCTTCACTACCTCAATGATTTGCTGCCTTCTGCCAACCATGAACTGTTTCTCCTCTGCAATGCCCCTTTGCCATACCACCCTGCCTTGAAGTCACCCAACTATGAACTGAAACCTCTACAAGCTGTGATCTAAATAAACCTTTTCTCAGCCAGGCTTTGTGGCACATGCCTGTAATCCTAGCACTTGGGAGGCTGAGGCAGGCGGATTATCATGAGTTTGAGTACAGTCTGGTCTACACAGTGAGTTCAAGGCCAGCCTGAACTACATAGCCAGGCCCTATCTCAAAACACCAAAAACAACACAAACCACCACCACTGACACAACCTACCCTTATCATCTCCTAAATTCTGTGGGCAGGGCTTGACTGGGCTCAGGGCTCAAGCAGGTCAGCTGCACAGGGCGGTCACTGAGAAGCGCAGGGGCTGCCCAAGGCTCAGGCATACTGTGGGCAGAACCTCGTCCTCAGATGAGGGCTCAGCTCCTGCGGAGTTGCCCTCTCCTCAGGCAGTTTTCATTTTTATTTTTGAGACAGGGTCCCACTACATAGTCCAGGCTGTTCCTTGAACTCACTATGGAGCCCAGATTGGCTTCAAACTTGCTGTGATCCTCCGGTTTCAGCCTCCTGAGTCCTGGGATGATAGGCGTGTGCCTTCACACCTTGCTTGCCTGGACAGTTTGCAAAACAGCCAATTCCTTCTTCAAAGCATTTCTCTGCCCCTCTTGTCCTGCCCTCCAGGCTCTTTAGACCCTGTCCCAGATTAAGCTAGGCCCACCCTGCATACCGTCTCCACTTATCAGCTCCAAATCAGCTCACCTGGGACCTTAAACACACCAGCAGAGTCCTCTCACCTCTGCCATCAGAGTGACTGATGTGGTTTGGATGGGGCCTCAGTGTGTCTCCCAAAAGTTCACGTGCTGGGAGCAAAGTCCCCACCTTGGTGGTGATGTTGAGAGGTGGTGGGACCTTTAAGAGGCAGGGCCTAGTGGGAGGAAGTGAGGTTATGGGGGGGCATGGCCACTCCCTGGCTCTTCCTCTTACTTGCTCCCAGCCCTGAGCAGGAGGTGTTCCCATCTGCCCCTCTTTCCCTCCCTGCCTCCTGGCACCCAAGCAGCAGGGGCAACCAATCATGGTTCAGGCCTGCAGAGCTTTGGGCCACTACGCACCTTTCCTATCTGTAGGCTGATTTACCTCGGGTGCCTGCTGTAGTGATAGAAAGCTGACACAGTATGCATACCGGGGGCAGGGGTCTTGCTCCCCAAAGCACACAATTCTGGACTTCAGAGATTTGAGTTACCTAGGAGGACTACATTAACTCAAAATGGGATCTTTCAATCTTCTCTTTCATTTTTTTCCAGTGCTGGGGATGGATTTCCGGGGCCTGGCGCTTACTAGACAGGCATTCTTCCACTGAGCTCCCAGAGCTCCCCTCAGCCTTTATGTTTACAGTATTTAGAGCTGAGGTCTTGCTATGTATTATCCAGGCTGCCTATGAACTTTCAACCCTCTTGCCTCAGCCTCCAGAGTAATTGGCATGATTGGAATGCCTGAGCTGGCGATTAGGGCATGGCCAGTTGGCAGGGCAAGTGGGTGTGACCTGTCAGTCACAGAGACCCCAGAGACCTGTGCCCAAGCCCTGTACCTGGAACCAATCAGAGAGTGCTATTTTGAAATCCTCTCTGGAGAACTCAAGCAGGTTTCCGATAGGCTGGCCTGGGCCTGACGTCAGCCCAAGGGGCGGGAGATACAAAAGATGGCAGCGCCGGCCTCGAGGCCTCTGTGCTCTTTTACAGCCATAGGCTCTCACCCTGTCGCGTGTACGTCTCCTACTTTTAATTGGCCCACATTTGCTCTGCAAAGCAATTTCTTTTTCTACCCTGAAGAGATGTAAAACCTACCCTCCTTTTGCGCTTATTTTGTCCAATTCTTTGTTTAGGGCAAGAAGGACCTGGAAAGAATCTCCAGAAGGGTCCCCAGCGCCCTGGGACCCCAGGGTAACCCCGTCGTGCCTGGGTCGATCCGGTCTTTTTCACCTTGCTAACCGCTGTCCTGGGGGAGATCTACCTAAGGATCCTACTTTTCATGCCCAGAGGATGGGGAAATAGCAACCTACACCCCTGGAAGAGGGGGCATTGCCCACGAGCCCCCCTTCACGGCCCATGCGCTGTCAGCCTTGTGTACAGCCCTGCGCTGTGCGGGCAGTGTGACCCGCCTGAACCCTGGCTCTTCAGGAGGTCCAGACTGCTTGGGCAGCTGCCCCTTCAGGGATGGGCGGGAGGGGGTGGAGGCCCTTTCTGGGCCCAGAGCCATGGATCCTGGATGCTTCTGGCCCATTCTCTGCCCTGTGACCAGCACCATGTCCTCCACCTCCTTTTCCCCACCTTCATGGCTCTTGTTCTGGTCCCAGCGCCCATCATCCTTTGCCTAAGGGATGAAACAGTCTCCTGGCACCTCCTTGCGCCCCTGCAAGCCCTTCCCTGCATGTGACCACTTCTGAGGGCAGTGTCTTTGTTCCAAACCCACAGCTCATTCCATGAAGTGCTGCACAGTCAGCCCCTCTTCCCTGGTGTTTATTGTCCTGCACTCTTTCTCCCCCTACCTCTCAGAACACTAGTTTTTGTTTTGGGTTTTGAGATAGGGTCTTGGTATATAGTTCAGACTGGCTTTGAACTCACTATGTGGCCTAGGCTGGCCTTGAACTCACAAAGATCCTCCTGTGTCAGCCTCTCCAGTGCTGGGATTGCAGGCATTCGCCACCATGTCTAAGTACTTTCTCTTTGTGACTTGAAAACGTACAAAGGATGTACATGTACCAACTTCCCACAAGGAATGCAAACATTTTGTATTACACAGGTGTCCCAATAAATTTTATTTATTTATTTATTTGGTACTGGGGATCAAACAAGGGTCCTTGCGCTTGCGTAGCAGGCAGTGAAACCACTGAGCTAAATCCCCAGCCCAGTAAATTTTAAAAATAAAGAAAACCTACAAAGGAAAAATCACTGTCTCTTGCCACTGCAGTATTTGCTACAGTTGAAACTTTACATTTGTGTGTTGATTATTCGATTCTTGTCTATGCTGAATGAGAATTCTCCAAGGCCAAGCTCCATGTTAGATTTCATTGTTTTATTCCCTGTGTGTAGCACTGTTCCATTTGACTCTCGGGATTCCCATGTCTCTTCACATAAAATGAGATGCTGCTTGGTTATTCGTTGAAGGTTCATTTATTTGACACACACCCACGTGACTCTGGCCAGGATCTGCGGTAGGGACGAACCACAAGACAAAGGTGATGTAGGAGGGAATGTGGGGAGATGAGCAGGAGCTCTGGTGACGCTAAGGCTGGGTTCCCAAGCCCACATGGGTGTCTCTGGGTGACAAGGAGAGGGTGAGGTGCTTGTGGTCAGAGAGACGGTGCCCTGGGTCCTAGAAGGGCCAGCCGCCCAGGCAATGGCAGGAGGCTCGGTGCCACAGAGGGTATGGCTTGGCTGGAAAAGTCTCCGGAAATGATTGCCAGGCCCTGCAATGTTGCAAGTGGGTGATTAGATTTCAGCTTGGAAGAGACAAGGAGACCTTGGAGGTTTGGGAGTAGGGGAGTAGGGGAGGAATGATACATGTTCTCTGTGGATGTTTTGTTTCTTTCTGCTTTTTGTTGTTTTTTGGTATTGAGGATTGAACCAACCTCCTTCCCACTGAGCTACCTCCCCAGCATCCTCCCACTTTTAAAAGTTTTTCTGTTTCAATTTGAGACAGGATCTTACTAACTTGCTAAATTGCCCAGGCTGGAGTCAAACTTGTGATCCTCCTGCCTCAGCCTCCCAGAGTGCTGTGACCCACCCTCTTCATACCACCTGGGGTGGGAACCTTGGGAGGCCCATGGGGCCCTGAACCGGTCCAGACAATGATGGGGTCACAGACAGGGAAGTGAAGCTAAGCGCAGCAGATTAAGCTGAGGACCATAGCAAAAGTACGCGGCCCAGAGCCTTGTGTCGGGTGCCGCATGCCCAGACCTCATTATCATGTCGACCCGTGAAGCAGGGATCCACCAGCTGTTCCTACACTGGGCCCGGCAGCAGGGACCTCAGGCTGGACAGACACTGGGACGCGGCTGTGCTCCAATAAAATCCATCTACCAACCCTGAAATGTGCATTTCACAAAATTTTCGTGTGTCATGAAATAGTGTTTCGATTTTTTTCCCCAACTCAAGGTAAATCTGTAAAACCTATCCGGAGCTTGCTGGGGCAGACCGAAAAAGTAGGCAACAGGTCCTGCTCAGCCAAAGCCAGGTCTGTCAATCCCGAGCTAGGTTCCGACTTCAGAGCGAGCCGCCTCCCGCGACTTCCGCCAGCGGCCACGCCCACCTCCCTCGCAGCCCCAGGCCCCACCCAGGGGCGGGGAGGCGCATGCGCCGCGCGGCCTGGCGCGGGGGCGGGGCGCCGCGGCTGAACTTCCAACATGGCGCACGCTGGCGGCGGGGGTCCCGCCGGCCGGGGGCTCAGCGGCGCCCGCTGGAGTCGCTCGGGCTCCGCGGGCCACGAGAAGCTGCCGGTGCACGTGAGTGGCGCCCTGCTCCCCAGGACCCGGCCCTGCGCTCCCGTGGTCCCTTGGCCCGGCGCCGCCCGCCCCGGCTCCGCCCGGCCCTCCCTCGGCCTCCCCTGGGGCGCAGCTCGCGACCCCCGACCCCTGGGCGCCCGCGGGCTCGCCCCGTGCCCTCCCTTCGCCTGCACTCCGCACTCCAGACCCCAGCCCCGCCCTGCTCCTCGTCCTCCCCGCCCCCCGCGACCCCGGCCCTCAGCGCCCCCGCCCTCCCGCAGGTGGAGGACGCCCTCACCTACCTGGACCAGGTGAAGATCCGCTTCGGCAGCGACCCCGCCACCTACAACGGCTTCCTGGAGATCATGAAGGAGTTCAAGAGCCAGAGGTGACCGCGGGGATCCTCCCAGCCTGGGTACCCCCGCCCGAGCCCCCATCCGATGCCCCCGCAGCCCAGTGACCTTGCAGTAGGTTGTCCCCATTCCCAGTCTCAACTCCTAAAAAAATGGGGCTGCGTGGTCCCCACCTTGTGCTGCAGTGGGGACTCCTGGAAAGAGGGCGGGGGTCTCTGAGAGGCAGGCAGAGTTGGGTTCTTTATTTAATTTAATTTATTTTTTTGGTGCCGGGGATTGAACTCGGGACCTTGCGCTTTCCAGGCAGGCGCTGGAACCACTGAGCTAAATCTTCGCCCCTAGGTTCTGTATTTTATTTTGTTTTTGGTACGGGGATCAAACTCAGGTCCTTGAGCTTGCAAGGCAAGGCATCGGAACCCCTGAGCTAAATCCCCGGCCCCAAGGTTCTTTATTTTAAACGTTGGTTTTTATGTGAGTTTTATTCATGAAAGATCTAGAGAGGTTAACTTTGATTTTTTTTTTTTTTTTTTTGGTTTTGTAAACCATTGCATGAAAATATTTCTTGATTGAATGTGTTTTGGCCCTGTCTCCCCCTTAAATCTATTCCCAAGGTGTCTCTCTTCGCGCCCCCTTAATCCCAAGCATGCTTGGAAGTAAGGCACACATAATGTTTAGTAAGAAACCTGGCAGATAGAAGGTGTTATCATTCATGGGCCATTTTTTAGGCACAGAATTGGGAGGCCTGAGATGGTGGAGGTACTCCAGGATCAGGCCTTTGTATTTCATGGAACACTTGCTGTGCCTTGCAGTAGGTAAGGGATCCACCTTCATGGCAGAGACAGGATTACAACTCAGGCCCTCAGACTCCCTAGATTCTTGTAGGTCCCAAGGCTACCACACTGGTGCCCTCCCTTAGGCCATGGTCACCTGTGGTCATGGGGCGTTGTACTCAGTTGCTTAGCTCAAAATCTGTGTCATCAGCAGTCTTGGGTTCGTACAAAAAGAGTGAAGTTGTCATATTGCTAAGAAGACTCTGGCCTCCTGCTACTCTCTAACTTGTGCTGAGATTTTCTGAACCGGTGTGTGTGGTCAGAGTGTTTTGGGGAGCTGTGCTGTGTGAATGTTTTACAGTGCTCACCGAGGGGGCCCCGGGGCCAGGCCTGGCACCTGGGAGGTAGACAGATGGTGTCGCCTTGGTCCCATGTTGGAAGTTTGCGACTGTGGCGGTGTAGGCATCGGGAGCGGGGTGGGCGTGGATCTTGCTCCCCGGACCCTCTTGCCCACTCGTGGTCCCCTCCCTTCAGCATCGACACTCCCGGAGTCATCAGACGCGTGTCCCAGCTCTTCCACGAGCACCCAGACCTCATCGTCGGATTTAATGCCTTCCTTCCCCTCGGATACAGGATAGACATTCCCAAGAACGGCAAGATAAACATTCAGTCACCTCTAATGAGCCAGGTACGGTGGTTCCGGTGGTCGGGGCCTGCTGGGTCCCCTTCGTGTCCTTGCTGAGACCCAGCGTGAGACCCGTTCACTTAGGAGTAGGGGTTGGGGTGCAGCCTGGTGGTGGAGCGTGTGCTTGGCACGTGTGAGGCCCTGGGTTTGGTCTGCGTACACACGCTCAGGGCACCGTCCTGACGGAGTGAGTGTGAAGTCCGATGACAGCGGAGCCATGCTGAGGACTGGGCGCGGGGCTGGGGCCCTGCCTGGCCGGCCCGCCAGCACTCTTGGTGTCACCAGCGGAGTGAAGTGGGTGCGCTGTGTGTGTCTTCAATAGCTGTTTTCATGGTTGGCATTTCTGGGGTCATAGGCTCAGCTCAGGCTTGGGCTTTTGAAGCCTTTTGGGGGTGACAGCTTGCTACCCTGTCTCTGAACCCCTTCTTGCTAAACCACCCCCGGACCCTCTGAACGGAAAAGCCTGTTTGAGCTTAACTTGGGTAAGGAACCAGTGTGTTTGTCTCTGTCTCAGCACAGGTGGTTTTTAGGCCCCAATTCTTGCTTACAGGGGGCGGGGTGCCGCCCAGTGCATTGTGGGACCTCAGCAGCATCACCAGATAGTCACCCCGTTGTGACAGCCAGCAATGTCTGCAGACGCTGCCCCGTGTCTGCTGGGCCAGAGCCACCCCTGCTGCAGACCGGGCTCTAAGTGACCACAGGGGCCGGCAGGGCACGGGTGAGGCTTTGGCCAGCGACACGGGTGTCTCCCTTGGAGGGAGTTGGATGCACAGAGGAGACGAAGGGAGGGAGGGGCAAGGCCTTGAGGCTCTGCCTCCCTGTGCCGAGGTGAGCCCCACGAGGGGGTGCAGCGGGAACCCGGGTGCCCTGGCTGCTGAGGCCCAGTGTGCTCGCTTCCTCTTCCCATTTGCTGAGGGAATTGACCAGCGTGGGCTGGGAAAGCCAGGCCTGGGAGGGCGTGTCGCAGCCTCCCTCTGTGGAAGTGACCTTGCTGCTGTCTGGGCTTCAGGGCCCCACTTTCCTGCTGGATCTCAGCGTGCTCCTGGCTGGATTCGGAATCTGCTCTGCCCTGAATGGCAGGGGTGCCTGCTCCTCCCACCCCAATGGGACGTCCCACAGGCCTTGCCAGGGAGTATGGGGCTTCCTTGCAGTGCTAGGGTGCAGCCTTGCAGCCCAGGCAGCCATGGGTGCCCCGGGGCCACTGGCTTCCCCTGGCCGGGACAGACCCAGCAGCTACCCCTCCCAGCAGGAGAGCCGGGTGCTGGCTTCCCAGCGGCGATGCCCATGAGGTGCCCTTTGGCGGCCATGGTGACCGCGAAGCCCAGCAGACTCCCACATGGGAGGTCCCGGGGGTTCTTTTCTGGTTTGTATTTTGGGCTCACAGTTTAAACTGCAGCTTGCTTGTTCTTTTGTCTTCTTGTGAAGCCTTCCGACTGTGGACAGGAGGTGGCTGTGGGCGCTGGGGGAAGGGCAGGAGGCCACATCTCCGAGTCACCAAGTGTGTGTGGGGGGCCAGAACACCCTGTGAGAACCTAGGTCTGGGGACAGACTTGTGCTAACCGGTGAGGACCAGGGGAGTCGGGGAAAGGGCGCCCCCTGCTGGCCTGAGCGGCAGCCACGTCTCCTAAGACATCCTACCCCTCCACCCCTCCTCAAGGCATCCTCACACCGCCCTGGGTTCAGCCCTGCAGAGTAGCATGCGCCTGTGATCCCCCCACTCGGGAGGCTGAGGCAGGAGGATTGCAGGTTTAGTGATTTCGTGAGCCCGTGTTTCACAATATAAAGAAAAAAGGGCTGGGTGTGGAGCTATCTCAGTTCCATCTCATGTACTACAGAAAAAGAAAGCCAAGCTGGAAGAGGCTCAGCTTCACTGTGTGTTGGCGCCGCCTTCCTGGCAACGGTGAGGCCCGCGGGCAGATGGGAGCATCTGTCCAGGCCAGGCCGGCTCCAGGGTCAGGAGCCGCAGCACAGGGGCCCAGGCGACTTCCCGGGAAATTGTGGTCCCAGCCCGGGACAGGACCCCCCTGGAGGCAGTGGGTCGCCCTTGGGCACACTTCCCGGTGACCCATTCACACCACAGCCGCCCTGGCGCCCCAGGGAGGCGCCCACCTCCCAGGCACTGCGGCCTCTGTACCCTGCTTCCCGGCGGGGACAGCCGGCCTGCAGGCTGGGGCCTCTGCTGTCCCCAAGGGACTGAGCTGGGGAAGGTGGCTGTGGGACAGGGCGGGCCGTGAGGAGGCGCCGGGAGGCCCTGCGCAGCTGCCCGGCCCTGCGTGGCTGGGTTTCTCCACTGTCCCAGGTGAGACGCTCCATGGGCTGTGGTGTCACCCACAGCACGTGAGCCCGGCAAGCCTGGCCATCCGAGAGTTGCCCTTCCTGGCGTTCAGGGTCTCCACAGTGTTGTGTGGCCATCGCCACTGCTTCGGAACGTTCTGTCACCCCAAAACAGACCTGTCCCCCCCCCCACACTCCGGTCCCCGCAGTGAGCTCTGCTCCGTCCTGTCCTGTGGCCCCACCTGCTCTGGACGTTTGCGTCAGAGCAGCCCTTTCCGTGTGGCCTGTATTGCTGCGGTCACGTCGGGGTTTTGATGTTCATCCCTGGGGTGGCTGTGTCATCCTCACCCCGTAATTTTGTTTTGTTTGTTCCTTGCAGTACTCAGGATTGAAACCAGGGCCTTCTCACTGAGCTCCATCCCCAGCCCGTTTTTAGACGTGGCCTTGCTGAATTGCCCAGGCTGGGCTGGAGCTTGGGACCCTCCTGCCTCAGCCTCCCCGCGTGGTTGGTGTGTGGTCGAGCCCCCCTCTCCCTGGTGCCCTGGCTGTGAGCGCCACTGTGGGCAGGCCCTGTGGCCCTGTTCAGACCTCGTGCCCGGCTGTCCCTCGCTGTGCAGTTGCAGTGTTCAGCTTGTTGACCCAGAGGCTGCTCTGCCGCACCCGGGCAACCTGCGCAGGGAGGGAAATCACGGACAGCCCCAGGCGTTGGCCGGCCTGGCCCGGGCGTGTCTGCTCTGTTCCCGAGGTCCTCATGCGCCCTCCTGTGCAGCCCTGCCCTTGGCGGGGTCGGCGCTGTCCCCTGCGCAGCCGAGTGGCCCCCCGTTCTGTTTCCCCTCGGATGGAGACCAGGGAGAGAATTGGATGGGAAGCCCGTGGCCGCTGGGGTTTTCTCTTTTTCCGTGGTGCTGGGGCTGGAGCACCACTCGCCCGAGCTGCGCCCCAGCCCGTCTGTACTGTGGTTCCCTGGAGAACACAGCTGTCGGTGGGCTCTACACTGCCAGGTGCGCTGAGGTGTCCACAGGGTGCGGCTTGAGGCAGGGCGGCCCAGCTCCTGGCTGCTGCACCAGGAGGGGCCTGGAGCTGTGCCTCTCAGGCCTGCGGCGGCTGTGTCTGCAGCCGGTGTCCCGTGAGGAGTCGGGCTGGGGACCAGTGCGGTGACTTGGGGACTCTCGGGGAAGACTGGGGAGTGTGCCCTGCGTGAGCCCTGCCTGCCCCACCCTCCGGGCCTCTGTAACAGCCCTGTTCGCAGACAGTTCACAAAGCCGACGCAGGCCAGTGTGGCTGTGCAGGCCTGTAGTCCCAGGTGCTCAGGAGGCTGAGGCAGGAGGACTGGAAGTTCAAGGAGAGCCTGGACACTTAGCAAGACCCTGTCTGAAGCTAAGAAATAAGAAGGCCTGGGACATGGCTCAGAGTGCTGCCTGGCGTGTGGGAGCCTGGGCTGCCCACGGAGGGGAGGGCAGACCTGGCTGAGCGTGGGCCTGCACCCAGCACGGCCCGGCGGTAACTGCTGGTCTCATTGTCAGGAGAACTCGCACGGCCACGGCGACTGCACGGAGGACTTCAGGCAGCAGGCGCCGTACAAGGAGGACAAGCCCCAGGGGCCGCTGGAGTCGGACTCCGTAGAGTTCAACAACGCCATCAGCTACGTGAACAAGATCAAGACCCGCTTCCTGGACCACCCCGAGATCTACAGGTCCTTCCTGGAGATCTTGCATACGTACCAGGTGGGGCCCGCAGGGGTGGGAGGACCCCAGGTGCCCCGCATGGCCTCTGTCCTGGTAACCTTCAGGGCAGGGCTGGCAGTTTCCCCTCCCGAGCAGGTGCTGTGGGTGCCAGAGCTTCAGGACTGTCCCGTGGGGGCGGGCTGTGGCCCCGCACTGGGCTGCCCATCGGGTGTGTGGCCTGGCTTCATCCCAGCCCCGAGGGAGCAGAATGGACAGTTCCTCCCATCCAGGGCCCCGGTTGGCACGGCTGCTGCCCAGTGGGCCTGGAACAGTACCTGCCCGAGGGGAGGCTTGGGCACTGGGGCTGGGGCTGTGCCATCCTGGGTAAGGCTGACAGGGACAGACTGGGGAAGGCAGCCTTGGTTTTGCAGGCCCTTTCTGCCTGGCGACCGGGGCCTCTCTTTCCCTTCCCCGGGGTCCCCGTCTGCACTGCGCCACCTGAGTCTGGCCTCACGAGTCCCCTCCTGTCCCCTGCAGAAGGAGCAGCTGCATACCAAGGCCCGGCCATTCCGGGGCATGTCGGAGGAGGAGGTCTTCACGGAGGTGGCCAACCTCTTCCGCGGCCAGGAGGACCTGCTGTCCGAGTTCGGGCAGTTTCTGCCTGAGGCCAAGCGCTCGCTGGTGAGTGCCTGCGGGAGGCGGGGTATGGGCATGGAGCTGGGCAGGGTGAGCCACCTGCCAGGCTGCTCGGTCCCTGGCTGGGCGAGCGGGGTGGGGCCTCGAGCCGGGGTCTCCCCTTCCACAGCCAGGCCAGGCCGTGGCACCTGCTCTGCCTCTCTTCCCCTTCCTTTTTTCTGATGGACGTAAGTTTTCTTGGGAAAGCTGAGATGCAGTTAATGCAACATAAAACCCACCTTTTCCATGTGCACGACCCGGTGGCATTCAGTACATTCGCAGTGTGTGCGGTCAGCACCTCTGTGTGGTTCTGGGGCCCTGTCCCTGGGAGCCACCATCCACTTCCTGTCCCCATGGAGTTGCCGGTCTAGACACACCATGTCTGTGGGATGACACACCATGTGGCCTCTTGTGTCTGGCTGCTGTCACTCAGTGTCACGGTCTCCAGGTTCATTCATGCTGTGGCTGTGTCAGCCACTTGTTCCTTTTTTCATGGCCAAGTAATATTCCATCTTGCTGCTGTCCTCCGTATGTTTACTCATTCACCTGCAGATGGATGTGTGGGCTCGTTTGGTCCTCTGGCTGCTGTGAATGATGCTGCTGTGCAGTCAGGTACACGTGCTTGTCTGAACGCCCAGTTCCAGTCTTCAGTTTATACCTAGAGTAGAACTGCTGGATCGTGTAGTAACTTTGTGTGTTTATGTGTGGAGGGCTAGAGGTTGGCCCCAGGCCACTGAGCTGCACCCCCAACCCTTTCTGTGTTTTGAGACAAGGTCTCACTAAGCTGCCCAGGCCAACCTTGAGCTTGGAATGCTCCTGCCTCAGCCTCTCAGGTGGCTGGGATGCAGGCATGTGCCACCGCGCCTGACCTGTTAACTATTTGAACCCCGCCAGTTTTCCACAGCAGCTGTACGGCTGTACAAGTGTGCAGAGCCCGTGTGCTGGGTGCGCCGTGTTCCCGCTGCTTCGGCCAGCGTGACGTCACAGCCACAGTGCGGTGGCTCTGATGCTTCCCGGCCGCCTGGCCTGCTGCACGTCTCCTGTGCTTCTGACGTCTGCTCTGGAGAAATCCCTGTTCGGTCCTTGGCCAGTTCTTTTTTTTTTTTTTTTTGGTACCGGGGATCAAACTCAGGATCTTGCGCTTGTGAGGCAGGTGGCAGAACCACTGAGCTACATCCCCCGGCCCTCCTTGGCCAGTTCTTAAATTTGTCTTTGTTGAGTCGTGAGACTGCTACAAGATCCTGACCTAGGTTTTCAGCTGTGTGGTCCTTGAGCTTGGGCAGCAGGCGACGGAACCACTGAGCTAAGTCCCCGGCCCCCAGCTGTGTGCTTTGCAGCTGTGGTTCCCCCATTCTGCCCTCCCTCCCTTTCTTAGCCCCCCGGGCTGTGCAGAAGTACTGAGTTTCCGTGAAGCTCCCTGACCTCGCTTTCTGTACACCGCTCTAGCTTCCAGGGCTCAGGGTTGGGAACCGCTGGGGACCCGGAGGTTCTCCTTGTGTCTCCTTGCAACACTGCGCACGTCAAGTCCTGACGTTGCAGTTGAGTCATTGGCTTTCTTCCTCCCCCTGTACTGGGGCCTTCACAGTGAGCTCTGGCCCAGCCTATTTATTTTTTATCTTGAGATGGGGTCTCACTAAGTTGCTAGTAAATGCCCAGGGTGGGAATCTGGTGGTGGGAGTCCAGCGTGGTGGTGCACACCTGTGAGGCTGAGGCAGGAGGATTGCTGGGAGCTCAAGGGCAGCCTGGGCTACTTAGTTAAGGCCCAGCCTGGGCTGCATAGTGAGACCCTGTCTCAAAAAACCAAGAAGAAATGAAGAACGAGGTATGAAAAAGATACCAAAGAGGAAATGAGCCACTTTCCTGGCTGAGTCCGAGGTCTGGGTCAGGGTCAGTTAGCTTCCTCCGAGGGCCTGGGTGATGCGCAGTTCAAGCCCCGCAGTAGGAAGTAGCCACGGGCAGTGTGTGAACCAGTGTGTGTGGCTGTATGCCAATAAAACTACACGATAAACAGGCGCAGCCACAGCCAGGAAGCCTGGCTGTACAAGCTGGCCACCTTCGGCCTCCTGCCCGGTGGCCTGGGGCCACAGGAACCCGGCACTGTCATGCTGTCCCCGTCCGCTTGGCTGGGATTTGCAGGAGGCAGACAGCCTCCCGGATGGCGTAATTATTCAGGTACATCCGGTTAGAGCCTCGTGGGGCCGAGGCAAAGTGCGTGACAGCTGTGGGCGTGCGTGCAGGGCCCAGTGAGCTCCGAGTCCTCCGCACGAGCCACCCTGTGTTCTCCCCAGACAGCTCCTTGGTGTGCACAGCACACACTGTGCTTTTACTTTTCCCTGTCCTGGGGACTGAACCGTGGGCCTCGTACTGAGCTATGTCCCTGGTGCTTTGTTGTTCATTTTGAGATGGGGTCTCACTGAGTTGCTGGGTTGCCCAGACTGGGTTTGAACCTGTGACCTTCCTGCCTCGGCTTCCTAGAAGCATCCACCACCATGTCCGGCACAGATGATGTCCTGCTGACCCCGCCCCTTTGGGTTGTGCTGCCCGTTTCCTTGCTCACGTGTCTGTGGTGACCTGACAGTGTCACGGTGACGGCCCTGCTGCACCCCTGCGTGTGGCCCTTCCGGGGCTCAGGCTGCGGGAGCCGCCGCCTCGGGCCGCAGGTGGGCCGTGTGGGTGCGGCGCTGACCTGGCCTCCCCGCAGTTCACAGGCAGCGGGCCATGCGAGGTGAGCGGCCCCCAGAAGAGCGAACGCGAGAAGGGCCTGGAGCACGGCCGGAAGCGGGCTCGGCCCTCCCTGCTGCGGCCCGTGTCTGCTCCCGCCAAGGTAAGCACGCCAGGCTGGGAGTGGGCCTCAGGATGCCCGCTGTCCCCTCAGCACGGCCCGGGAGGCCACAGCCTATGCAGGGGCTTTCTCTCTGCAGAAGAAGGTGAAGCTGCGGGGGACCAAGGACCTGTCGCTGGCCGCCGTGGGCAAGTACGGGACGCTGCAGGAGTTCTCCTTCTTTGACAAGGTGAGGCATGTCCCCTCCCCTCGGGCATGAGTGGGGCGGGGGGCATCTCTGTTCAGGTGGGGCTCGAGGACACCCAGCTGCCGCCCAAGGTGCTGGGCGGGGTAGGGCAGAGAGCAGCCGTGATGGCTGGGTGCATGCAGCCCCAGTGTGCTATGCCGGCCCACAGGTGCGTCGGGTGCTCAAGAGCCAGGAGGTCTACGAGAACTTCCTGCGCTGCATTGCACTCTTCAACCAGGAGCTGGTGTCGGGTGCTGAGCTCTTGCAGCTTGTCAGCCCGTTCCTGGGGTGAGTGGCGCCCCAGGGTAGAGGGGCCTGTTTGGAGCGGTCCCTGGGCTGGCGATGGGCGGCAGCAGCAAGGGCAGCTCCCCAGCAGCCCTGTGGTCATAAGAGGAATAGCTGAGCCCTGGGACATGCTGAGGGGCTGCAGTGGGGTGGTGGGTGGGCGGCCAAAGTCAGCATAGGATGCCACATAGGATGTTTTCCACTCAAATGCCTGACCACTTTCATCCAAGGACCGCTGCTCGGCCCAGGTTCCCAAGCTCCCAGCTTCTTCCGTGTCGGGTCATGGTCTTGTCCCCACCTCACAAAGCAGTGTCCGGGGTGCACAAGGGATGCCCCACGGTGTCACAATGAGAGCACAAAGCACTCGGCACAGGGCAGTTGGTGCAGAGCTGGGCTCCGTGAGGCGCAGCCTGTCTGCCGCAGACAGGGAGGTGGGTGGAGGGTTCAGCCGGGCCTGCAGCTGTGCCCATGTCTTAGGAAGTTCCCGGAGCTCTTTGCACAGTTCAAGTCCTTCCTGGGGGTGAAGGAGCTGTCGTTTGCGCCCCCGCTGAGCGAACGCTCTGGGGACGGCATGAGCCGTGAGATCGACTACGCATCCTGCAAGCGCATCGGGTCCAGCTACCGGGCGCTGCCCAAGACCTACCAGCAGCCACGGTGCAGCGGGAGGACGGCCATCTGCAAAGAGGTGGCTGCGGCTGCAGGCGGGCGGCACAGGCCGGGTGGGCTGGGCCCCCGAGGGTCAGGTACCAGGGTGCAGGGTGTCCCAGGGCCGTGGGCCCTGTGGCCTTGGCTGAACGTGGGGCTGCTTCCTCACCGTGTGGACCTGGACTGGTCACTGCCAGGACCCACTGTGTCTCAAGGTCGCTGTTCTCAGTGAGGCTCCGCACCACTACAGGGTGCTTCTCGGGGTGTGCACGGTTGTTACCACATTTCCGGAATCCAAGGTGCTGGTAGATGGCAGCGGTCACCAAAACCACGAGCCACGTCTGGCCCACTGCCTGGCCAGGCGTGCCAATAAAGTGTTGTTAGCACAAGGCCCTGCCTGGCTGTGGCCGTGTCACTGTGGCTGGTCGCAGCTGCGCCTGCAGGCCCGGGTGCCCACAGACCCTGGTCTCTGCCCGGCCTGTGCGTGGAGAGCTTGCTGCCCCGGGACAGCCGAGCGTCTCTCTGCCACAGCCTTAGAGTCCTCAGTGACCCGGGGTCCCCTCCCCGTGAGTGCAGCCAGGTCGCTCGCCACCGGAAGGTCGGGGACCCCGCTGTGCAGGCCCGAGGGCCGCTGCCGACTCGCCCCTGCGTGCAGGTTCTGAACGACACCTGGGTCTCCTTCCCCTCCTGGTCGGAGGACTCCACCTTCGTCAGCTCCAAGAAGACGCCGTACGAGGAGCAGCTGCACCGCTGTGAGGATGAGCGGTTCGAGGTGTGTGCCCGCCGAGCCTGCCACTCCCTCCCGGGCTGCCCTGCAGCTGGTCCTCCAGGCGGCCTGGGTCCCAACACGACATCCTGTCTGCTGTCCCAGCGACTCAGGAGGCTGAGGCAGGAGGATCCCAGGTTCCAGCCCAGCCCGGACATTTCAGCAAGACCGTCTCAAGTTTAAAAAATAGCGGAAGGTGTAGCTCAGTGGTGAGCACTTGCCTACCGTGTACAAGGCCCTGAGTTTAATTCCTAGTGCTGCAAAAGAAAGTTAAAACGAAGGTAGCTTTATTTTTTCATTGACACTTTGACAGAGATCATTGTTCCAGGTATCTTTCCCTGCTTTCCCCGGAAGCAGTGGTGTCCCGTAAAACTAGCACAGACCAGGTGTGGTGGCCACACCTGTAATTCCTGGGAGGGAGGCTGAGGCAGGAGGGTTGCCATGAGTTCAAGGCCAGCCTGAACTACTTAGGAGACCCTATCTCAAAAAAATAAGTAGAACTCTAGCACCCTGTCATGGGCATGGTATTGACACTGAGACCCTCTCCGGTCTCCTGCACATCTCCCCAGGAGGACAGGCTCTCACTAAGTGGCCAAGTTGCCCTACCTGGGCCTGATCATGGGATCCTCCTGCCTTGACCTCCCCGCTGTCCCTGACCTGCCCATCCCAGTCGGGGTGATTCGTGACCCACAGAGTTGTGCTGCCTCACGGTTCTGGAGATCTGGAAGTGCAAGGTCCAGGGCTGGTGCCCGGCATAGGCAAAGCGGGTGGGAGAGAGGAGGGGCTGAGTCGGTGCTGCCGCTCAGCCACCCTCTGCCCCCAGTGCCCACCCTCCAGGATGGTCCCCCTGCGTGTGCCTGCGCCTGCCTCCGGCCCTCCCTCCTGTCCCCCTGGGCTGCTGGCCGCCTGTGTAAATGCAGTCCTCGTTGTGTCAATTTGGCTGAGTGGCGCCCGGTGGCCCAGCCGTGCCGCCTCGGTGCCAACCCTCCCTCCCTGCAGCTGGACGTGGTCCTGGAGACCAACCTGGCCACTATCCGCGTGCTGGAGAGTGTGCAGAAGAAGCTGTCGCGCATGGCGCCCGAGGACCAGGAGCGCTTCCGGCTGGACGACGCGCTGGGCGGCACGTCCGAGGTGATCCAGCGGCGCGCCATCCACCGCATCTACGGCGACAAGGCCCCCGAGATCATTGAGAGCCTCAAGAAGAACCCAGTTGCTGCCGTGCCCGTTGTCCTGAAGAGGTGCCCGCGCCCTCTGGGGTCCCCTGCGGTAACAGCCGTGCCATGTGGCCTCCAGGGTCGGGGCGAGACTCAGTCTGTGCTCAGTGCAGACGTGACTTTAGCAAGTCCTGGGGGCCACACTTGGTTGGTCCTGCAGATCTGAAGCCGCAGATGTGCAGGGCTAGTTGTGGCTCTTTCAGAACAAGTGGGCTGGGGGCCGGGGATGTAGCTCATGGTTTTGCCGCCTGCTGCGCAAGTGCAAGGACTTGAGTTTGATCCCCAGTACTAAAAAAACCCCCAAAAACCAAGTGGGCTGGGCTTACTGGCAGGAGGGGTAATCTCAGCTACCCCGGAGGCTGACACAGGAGGATCGCTCCATGGTCAGCACTTCTTGATGCACAAGCAGCCCTGGATTCTAGCCCCTGTACTGGGACGAGCCCTGTTTACAGATGAGACTGCTTGTGCCAGCCCATGGTGCTCCTTACGCAACTGTGCTGGCCGAGCTGTGCTGGGCCTGTGTCACGGAGCTGGGTGGGGCAGCTGTGGCAGGTGCTTCCCTCGGGCTCACTGCAGCCCGGGGTAGTCACAGTGGAGTGGCAGGGAGGGAAGGAACCGCACACCCAGCCCACCACTCCCAGAATGGGGTTGAACTAGGAATCCTCCTGCCTCAGCCTCCCAGAGAGAAGGCCACCATCGCCCTTCTCCCCTGTTGTGTTCAGCCGCTGCTCTGGCGCCTGCCCCTGAGCCCCTCGCCCCTTCCCTGCCCGCAGGCTGAAGGCCAAGGAGGAGGAGTGGCGGGAGGCACAGCAGGGCTTCAACAAGATCTGGCGTGAGCAGTATGAGAAGGCCTACCTCAAGTCGCTTGACCACCAGGCCGTGAACTTCAAGCAGAACGACACCAAGGCCCTGCGCTCCAAGAGCCTGCTCAACGAGATCGAGAGTGTGTATGACGAGGTGGGCGCCGCCTCCGCTGCGCAGCGCGAGGAGGCCCAGGAGTGACCCCTGCCTGCGGCTCTGCAACCTTACCCTCGGGAGACTGAGGCAGAGGGCCAGGGCCGGTTCTGAGGCCGCGTGCAGTGGCTGCAGGGCTTGGAGTGTTCACAGGTGGTGACTGCCAGCGCTGGCACAGTGGCTGGAGGTCGGGGCAGGTGGTGGGGCCCGTGGCGGGGCGGTGGCCGCTGTCCTCAGGCAGCCTCAGGTGATGCAGGGGAGTAGTGCAGGCCTCGCGTGGCCCAGCGTGGGACTGGGGACCCTGGGCACCAGCCCGACCCCTCGCTGCGGCTGGGGGCCCGGGTGCCTCTGCTGTGCAGTGGGTGTCTGCAGGCCAGGCAGCCCCCGCCGGCTGAGTCTGCGTGTCCGTGCCCTCGCCCCTCCCGCGCGCAGTGAGCAACAGCGGGCACTGGGCCTCACGGCTGCCGCTGACGGCGTCTCGGCCCTTCCTGTCTCCTTTGAGCCTCTCCCTCGTTTACCCGGGCTGGCTCCGTCTGCCTTGCTCCTTGGCCTCCCGGGTGTGGGTGGCAGGTGGCTGCTGTGCCTGTCAGTGATGCCTGAGTACGCGTCCTGTGGTGAGATGGGGCCTCGGAAGCCAGGGAGCCCGGCCTGGGCCCCGCAGCCCTCGGGAAGGGAGCTCGGCCCCGTGTGGAGCCCCAGCTTCCTGCCCTGGGGATAGGAGCCTGTGGCACCCTCTGCGAGAGCCAGGCGTGTGGTGTGTGGGCTATAGGAAGCGGTGGGTCGGGGCCAGGGCTCGGCCAGAAGGCTCTGTGGTGAGGACAGAGGCCCAGTGTATGGAGGCCAGTGCACCCCCGTGAGACAGGACTGCAGGCCCCATGAGGCCTGCGGCCACCGTGCCGGGTCCTTTGCATGGCCGGGTGTGCGTCTGGGTATCACATCTTACTGGCCGGTGAGGGGGTGTGGGGCCTGGTGGCACCTGGGCCCTGCCCGGCCTGGCCCTGCCGTCAGCAGTGCTGGAGGCTTTGCCTGTGCAGGCTGGCCTGGGGGGCTCGCAGCGGTGCCGTCCCCAGCTGGCGACGGCCCGGACCTGGTGCCCCTCGGACCCCATCCCGAGTCCCCAGCAGCGCTGCCTCGGGACACACGGGGCAGGGGTGTAGGGGTGCAGAAGCGTTGGGGCGGGTGCCCCTGGCCCAGGACCTGCGGCAGCCCTGCCTGTCCCTCCCTGCCGGTCCCCACAGCACCAGGAGCAGCACTCCGAGGGCCGCAGCGCGCCAGCCAGCGAGCCGCACCTCATCTTCGTGTATGAGGACCGGCAGATCCTGGAGGATGCGGCGGCGCTCATCAGCTACTACGTGAAGCGGCAGCCGGCCATCCAGAAGGAGGACCAGGCCACCATCCACCAGCTGCTGCACCGCTTCCTGCCCGGCCTCTTCTCGCAGCAGCAGCAGCAGCAGCAGCCCGAGCCCGGCGTCTCCGACGACTCGGCCGACGAGGCTGCCCTGGCCACGGACCCTGGCGGTGGGGGCGGCACCCGGAGGAAGCCAGGGCCGCAGGGCGGCGCCCCCGAGGAGAAAGACAGGGACAAGGACAGAGGGGCCCCCGGGGAGGCGCCGGCCCCTGAGCGGCCCCCACCGCTGCCGCCCAAGGCGCTGGACGATGTGTACAGCCTCTTCTTCGCCAACAACAACTGGTACTTCTTCCTGCGGCTGCACCAGACGCTGTGCGCACGGCTGCTGAAGATCTACCGGCAGGCGCAGAAGCAGCTGCTGGAGCACCGCACCGAGAAGGAGCGCCAGCAGCTGCTGTGCGGCGGCCGGCGCGAGAAGGCCGGGGACCCAGCCATGGAGCTGCGCCTCAAGCAGCCCAGTAAGCACTGCCCCTGCCCAGCTCGGCTCGCAAGGCCGAGGCAGCCTGGATGATGCAGGGAGACCCTGCCCCAGAGTAAAAGTCCAGAGCGCGCGGGTGTGGCCCAGTGGTGAGGGCTGGCCCAGCCGGCCACCTTGCTCCCCCGCCGTCACCCCACGCCTGCAGTCGCACCCACGGACCCGGCCCGTGCACAGGGAGCACGCAGGAGGGCAGGCTGCTGGCCACAGGCGCACAGGGTCCGAGCAGCTGGGAGCCAGGCACCTGGATGCAGGGTCGGCTGCAGCCTGCGGGGACGCAGGCCGCTGAGGCACCAGGTCTCACACAGGAAGTTGCTGGCTGGCTGGGGTGCGGCCCAGGGGTCTGGTTCTGTGTCCAGCACTGCGAAAGGCAGAGTTGCCAGGGAGCGGATGGTTCACCCGGCGGGGCACCTCCTCCCTACACCCTGTCCCGGCCAGGAGACGTGCTGCACTCATGCTGGGCCCCACTACCGAGGCTGAGCTCTGGCCATGCTGCTCTGTCCCAGCCTATGGCTGGCTGCGTGCACCGGGCGGCCCGGGAGGGGTGGCGGGCCTGTCCCTGGGACCCGGCCCTGCGGCTCAGCCTGCTGCCCCCACAGGTGAGGTGGAGCTAGAGGAGTACTACCCAGCCTTCCTGGACATGGTGCGCAGCCTGCTGGAGGGCAGCATCGACCCCACGCAGTACGAGGACACGCTGCGCGAGATGTTCACCATCCATGCCTACATTGGCTTCACCATGGACAAGCTGGTGCAGAACATCGCGCGGCAGGTGAGGGTGAGGGTTAGGGTGGCGGTGGGGGGGCAGCCCTTCTCCGGCCCCTCCCTCGCCAGCCTGGGCTTGGAAGCCCAGCCCCTCCTGGGTTTCTGCTCCAGAGGGCTGGCCCCGTGCTCAGCGTGCAGGGCTCCCTATTTTTTTTTTTTTTTCAAACTCAGGTCTTTGTGCTTGCTGGGCAGGCAGCAGAACCGCTGAGCTCAATTTCCGGCCTCCCAGACCTCTCCTTTTTAAAAAGCTGAGATGAAATTCTCGTAAAATAAAATCAGTCATTGTAGTCAGGCATGGTGGGACACACCCATGATTCTAGCACTCTGGGAGGCTAAGGCAGGAAGATCACAAAATTGAGCCCAGCCTAGCAGTTTCCTGAGACTCTGTCTCAAAAATTAAGGGGCCGGGGATTTAGCTCAGTGGTTCCGCCAGCTGCTGCGCAAAGGAAGGTCCTGAGTTCGATCCCCGGTACCAAAAAAGCAGTGCACAGTTCTGGAGCATTCTAAGCATCTGTAATCCAAAACTCCCACATCCCATGTGCTCCGGAATCCAGACCTGCTGTCACCAACATGATGGCAGAACTGGGAAGTCACACGCCACGGAGCTTTGTCTTGCACAGAATTATTGAAAACAGCGCATGAAATCCCCTCAGGCTGTGTACACAGCGTGTGTAAGAAGCGTGAACAAGCTCTGGGTTTGCCTGGTCCCGACCCGAGACTCCTCGTTGCATATGTGCAAATACCCCGGAAACTGGAAGCAGGCCAAATCTAGAGCAGTTCCTGTCTGAGCGCTTGGGGTAAGGGACACCAGCCTGTACCCTGCTGAGCTGCCCGCGCCTCTGGGCTTGCCTGGCCTGGACATTGCAGTCAGTGGGGTCGTGAGGGGCGGCCTTTCATGTCGGGCTGCTGTCAGGCAGTGTCATCTCCAGGGTTTGTGCCCACGTGGCCTGGCCAGGGTGCCCTCCCTTGTCGCGGCTGAGTGATTTCCTGCTGTGTTGGTGGACGTGCTGTCTGCCCGTTCACCTGCCGGGACTTCACGATGGACGGCCAAGGGGTGCCCCTTGGTGTCAGCGAGGGAAACGGGCCTGCGACAGCGGGAGCCAGAGAGTGTCGCTGCCCCGGTCGGAGCCCCGCCGGCCCAGGACCTTGCTGTGCTGACTGCCGTCTCCTGCTTATCCAGTGGGCTGTCCCGGGAGGACAGCGCCATGGCCGCGCTCCTCAGCGCGCTGAGCCCCGGGCAAGCCGCTTCCTCCTGCGCCGGGGCTCCCAGGGTGCTGTGCGCCCTAGCTGGGCTCCTCCGTATGAGTGGCTGCTTCCCCTCGCCCTGCTGTGGGGACCCGGTGGCGCCTGTGTCCGGTGGCCATGTGTTACTCTGGGGTCGGGGCCTGTGGTTCTGGGCCTTGTCCCGCCACGTGGCCCCCGGTGTGTGTTCCGGCCTGTCCTGTGCCGTGCCTGGCGCTGCTGGGGTGGCTGCCATGTCCCTGCAGGCCTGCCCGTGCTGGGCAGCCGAGGGCACAGCCAGGGCCGCCCGTGGGGACCGGGACCAGGACTGTGGCCTAGGGGCACCGGGAGGCTGGCCAGGCCGGACGCCGGGCTCGGCGCTCAGACACAGCCCTTCGTGCCGCTCCCCCGCGGCCAGCAGAGCAGGGGCCTTGTGTCACCCCACAGGCCTGGTGTGAATTACGGGCTGAGCACCTTGGGTGGGCGCTGCCGTGGGAGAGCGGCCCCGTGTGTGGGCGCTGCCTCCCCGGCTGTCCGCTGTGGCGTAGGGTCCGCCGCTCCTGTGTGTCTGGTCCGTTGGGCTCTGGTCTCCCCTACGCTGCTCTGATCGGATCTGCCCTCGGCTCCTCTGGTTTGCTGTGCTCCGATTGGGTTCCGTGTGGTCTGAGCCGGTTCTGGGCAGTCTGAGCCGGTTCAGTGAGCCTGGCTACGTTACCATGGTTGGGGCCGGTTGAGTCGTCCGAGCCCAGCAGTGCGGTCTGGGCAGGTTCTGGGAGGTCCGAGCCTGTGGGGTGTGGTCCACTCTGGCCTGGTCCGGTCCATGGAGGCCCCCAGGGCCCATCGGGACCCCGGCCCGGCCCCCGCCTCACGCACGGCCTGCATCCCGCCGCCTCCCTGCCCCGCAGCTGCACCACCTGGTGAGCGACGACGTCTGCCTGAAGGTGGCGGAGCTGTACCTGGGGGAGAGGACGCGCGGGGCGGCTGGCGGGACCCTGTCCTCCCGCTGCGTGCGCGCCGCCCGCGAGACGAGCTACCAGTGGAGGGCCGAGCGCTGCATGGCCGACGAGAACTGCTTCAAGGTGAGGGCGGCCGCTGGCTGGCCGGTGCGTCTCGGGCGCCATGGCCGAGGCTTCAGTCTGTCCCCGCCCCGCCAGGTGATGTTCCTGCAGCGCAAGGGCCAGGTGATCATGACCATCGAGCTGCTGGACACGGAGGAGGCCCAGACCGAGGACCCCGTGGAGGTGCAGGTGGGACATGGGCAGGGACCCCCAGGGGGCCGGGCCCGTGGTGACCGTGGGACTCAGAGCCACCCTGTCCCCAGGGCCCAGGGGTCCCGCGTCCATCTGCCTGGCCCTCGCCCTTGGGCCTGGGTCCAGCGCACGTGTGCGGGGTGCGTGTGAGTGCGTGCCTGCACGTGCACAGATGGGATACGGGAGTGCGCGTGACCATGCGTGTGCACGGGTCACTCAGTGAGGGTGCTGGCCTGCGGGTCCCGGGGCCGCCAGGACGAGCGACCCCAGTAGCCTCCCACCGCGGCCCTGGGGCCAGGTTGGGGCGCAGCCTGCCGTCCTGGCCCTGGCCTCCCTCCCTCCGTCGTCACCCCGTGTCCGCCACCCTCGGACACCAGCCGCCCGGTGGAGGCCCCGCCTCCTCCGCCGTGACCGCGCCCTGACCCGGCCTCCTCTCTGTAAGGCCGCACGCCAGGCACGGGCGGCCAGGATGGGGCTGCAGACGCAGCAGCGACCTCCGATGGGGCCCAGTGTCCCGTGTGCTGGGAGCCCCCAACCCAGGAGCCGCGCGGCTGCCTCCCACTTAGGCGCCTAAGAGCCTCCTCGGAGCCCAAGTCTGAGGCCAGCTGAGTGTGGGCAGGAAGGACCGTCACGGTCCTAGTCCTTGGGGAGGTGAGGCAGAGGACCCCAAGTTCACGCCCGGCCTGGGCACCTGTGCCAGAGCCTGCCTCAGGGTACAAACGGGCGGGGCGGGCTCAGTGGCGGCGTCACGGGGAAAGAAAGTGGTCGCAGCTGCCCGTTTCTCTCTGAACCAGAGCCGCCCAGGTTGGGTAGAGGCTCACCCCGCAGTGCTCCCCGCTCGCTGAGCTGCGTCCAGCCCTCTTCCAGGTGATTTCGAGGCAGGATCTCACTAAGTCATTAAGCTGCCTCCATTGGCCTGAAACTTGGGATCTTCCTGCCCCAGCCTCCTGGTAGCTGCACACGCTGCACCCCTGTGCCCGGCCTCTGCTTTACTCCTGTCTGTGTTCTGGTGTCCGTTCCTGCCCTTGGACCCTGCTGTATAAGCAGTGCCCCCATGTGAAGTCGCCTGTGAGGGACCCAGAAGGCCGTGCTGTGGCCTGGACTTGCTGAGCCTGAGTGCACACGCGGTCTGGTCATGAGGTCCCCATGAGTGGTGCAGTCCTGGGTCGGGGCCTCTGGACCCGCACAGTTGGCCCTGAGCCTGGGGCGGGGCACAGGCCCGGCCGACCAAGGCTGAGTCATGGGTGTCCTCTCCTCTCCCCAGCATCTGGCGCGCTACGTGGAGCAGTACGTGGGCACCGAGGGTGCATCCAGCTCGCCCACAGAGGGCTTCCTGCTGAAGCCCGTGTTCCTGCAGAGGTGAGGCTGGAGCAGCCACGGGCGGCTGGGCGGGAGGGCCCTGGCAGCGTCACACTCCCCAAAAGGACAGGGTGCCTTGGCGGGTTCCTGATCCAGTCTGCGCCCCCGTCCCCATCCCCCGGCCCGGCCTAGGAACCTGCGGAAGTTCCGGCGCTGGCAGTGCGAGCAGGTGCGAGCTCTGCGTGGTGACGCCCAGGGCCCCTGGCGGCGGCTGGTGGGGGTGGAGAGCGCGTGTGACGTGGACTGCCGCTTCAAGCTCAGCACCCACAAGATGGTGTTCATCGTCAACTCCGAGGACTACATGTACCGCCGCGGCACGCTCGGCCGGGCCAAGCAGGTGCGCTGGGGCCTGAGGCCGCCCTGGAGTGGGGAGCCCGGGCCTCGGTGGTGTGGGCCTGCCTGACGCGCCTCCCCGCAGGTGCAGCCCCTGGTGCTGCTCCGCCACCACCAGCACTTCGGGGAGTGGCACAGCCGCTGGCTGGAGGACAACGTGACCGGGGAGGCGGCCGGCCTGGTGCGGGACTGGCTCATGGGCGAGGAGGATGCGGACATGGTGCCCTGCAAGACGCTGTGTGAGACGGCCACGGTACACGGCCTGCCTGTCACGCGCTACCGTGTGCAGTACAGCCGCCGCCCGGCCTCGCCCTGAGCGCCCTGAGCCTCCTGGCCTCCTGGCCAAGGAAGGGGGCGGGGGCAGTGGTTCACGCCACCTCCCTAGCTCCGGCTCCAAGTCTGGTCTCGGATGCACGGGGGTGGGGACTGCAGTGGGGGCAGACCCCGGCCAGTGTCCGAGATGTCACGGGGATCCAGCCTTGCTGGCCACGGGTGCAGGGTCGGTCACTGAGAGGAGGAGTTGCAGGCGACGTCCTTGCTCCTCCGGTTGCACACGTTTATTCCTCTGTCCCACATCGTGGTCGCAGCTCGAGCAGCAGCCAGGGCGCCTGGGCCCCCCCTTGCCTCTGCTGCGCACAGGGTGCTGGGGTGCTGGGACCTGCGGCGTGCGGGGGCCTGGCCCCTCACTGCCACCCAGAGCCCAGGGGGACCAGGTGGCCCTGTGCTCAGCCCCTTCCTGCAGCAGAGCTGTGCCACACTGGGCGCCGCGGATCCCTGGGAGCCAGCGCCTGCCCCGTGTCCCCGCTGCCAGCAGCACCTTGGACGCCCCCGTCCCAGGAAGCAGGTTGAGTGGGGACGTGGGTGACGCTGAGCCCCGCATGCCTCTCGGATGCCTGTTCATTTTGAGGATTTCTGTTCTGGCCTTGATACCCCTTCGCAGCTGTTTTGAATGTAGTTTTCCTTTTCTATTTATTTGCACATGAAAATTACAAATTAAACATTGACGGGGAGCGCAGGCTTCAGGAATTGTTTCCGGGGCGAAAGCTGCCACCTCTCCTCAGCGAGAGCGTCCTGTGTCCGTGGCGAGTCCCTGGCTCCCAGGGTGTCCGTCCCCGGCCCTGCACCGTGCCTGCCACCTCCAAGGCTGAGGCACTGTGCCGCCAGGGCGTCCTCCCCCTTCCGCCTCCTAGCACGGTCCTTCTCGCTCCGCCTTCTGGAACGTTCCTCCCAGCTCTTTGGTCACATGAGAAACTGCACCCAAGTGCTGTGCATGGAGACCCAGTCTAGTGGGGCACGGGGGCACGTGTCACCCTGCACCCTCTCAGGCGCTGTCCCTGCCTCCCCCACTGCCCAGCTGCCTCCCAGGCTGCTAAATAGGGCCTCTGCTGTGCCCGCTCCTGTCCCAGCCCGGCCCTCCCCTCCCCAGCAGGACAGGCAGGCCTGGGGGTTGTGCCCTGAGGAGGCAGTGTGGGTCTGCAGAGGGGCCTTGCTGGCCCAGGGCCCGGGGCTGTGCGGCAGGAGCAACCTCAGCACCAGGCCAGTTGTGCCCTGGGCCGGCAGGCAGCTTAGGAACACGGGTCACAGCGCTGTGGAAACAGTTGTTTCCACAGGGTGAGCCCTGGCTTCTATGCCTGGCACCCCAGAAGTAAAGATCTTAAGCTGGTGTGGTGGCACACATTTGTAATCCTAGCATCCAGAAGGCTGAGGCAGTTGGATCTCCGGAATTTCAATTGCAGCCTCAGCTACACAGTTCGAGACCAGCCTGAACTCCATAGTGAGACCCTGTCAAAAAACCCACGGAGGCAGGTTTCCCGGAGCCACTGCAGGTGGCCCTCATCACGGAAACAGGGACAGTGCTAGTGACCAGCAGCTGAGGGCTTCAGCAGGCCGGGGTGGGGTGGGGCTTTGGGGCAGCACACCCAGAGGAGCAGGCCCTGCAGCCCAGCCCTGCCGCCTTCTGCATGTGGTGCTTTGCACAAAAGTCTCAACAAAAGGCAGATGTCCCAGCACGAGGAGGTTGAGGCAGGAGGATCCCAAGTTCAAATCCGGCCTGGGCAACTTAGCCAGACTGTCTCAAAACACAAAAAGGCCAGGGGACACAGCTCTGTGGAGCCCTGGGCTCCATCCCCAGCAGGGCAGAGACCACTGTGGTAATACTGAGTAACATGTACACGTGGACCACTCCCAGGTGCGGTGGCGCGGAGCACGTGGTCTGCTGGGTGGCCGTCCACAAGGGACACCTCCGGGTGCCCCTGACGCCCCACGCCCTGCCCAGCACCCGAGTGCCAGGGCAGTGGCCAGGCAGGGGCTGTGGTGCCGTTCCAGTCCTAGGACTTGGTGGCTCCAGCCCACATGAACACCGTCCTCCGGGTCCCCACCTGTGGCCCGCCAGTGTCCCTCCCTTCTTGAGGCTAATACTCTGACATTTCTTAAGAAAAGTCATGGTGGGGGAAGCCACGGAGCAGAAGTTTCCACAGTCGGAGCTGGCTGTGGGGCCGGCAGTCCTGCTCCCAGCGGGCGGCCTTTCTGTGGTGTCACGGAGTCGCTGTGCTGCTGTGACTGGCCGAATTTCTGCCCCAGTTCCCACCTGGGATCCTTGGGTCTTGGGACAGCCAGCAGTTCAGCATGTGATGACCAAACCCCCTGCTGAACTTGTCACGACGACGCTGCTCAGGCACAAGGGGACCCGGAGGGCTCGGGGCCGCAGTCAGGGCACGGTCACTTCCTGCCGCCTCCTGTCCTGTCCTGTGCGTGCGTGGGGCTGGAGCAGGAAACGAGCACTCGAGCACTCCGGAACTCCATCCTGGCCTCCTCCCGGGGAAGTCCCCATCGCCACACTGGGGAGGCCGAGGGCAGGCCGAGGGGCTTCACCACCGCCCTACCCTGTGGGGCCCGCGAGGCCCGTCAGAGGGACACGCCGACCCGGCCTCCCCCAGGCTCCCTGGCTGCCAGCCTCCGTGGTGGCCCTGGGGGCTGGGCCACACAGTCCCACTTTATCTTGCCACGGCTCCGGAAGCCGGGTGGGGGACAGGCAGGAAGCCCAAGGCCACAGCGCAGAGCCGGAGACGGGAGGACAGCATGCAGGGGCCCCTGCTGTGGCTGCTGGCGCTGGGCCTGGTGGCCGGCTCCTCGACCCCCAGCGCCTATGATGAGGGCGACGGTGAGTGACCTGGCCCTGCCAAGGGTGGGGGCATAGACAGCTGGGGACCCCGCCCAGGGAGGGCTGGGAGTGTGGCGAGCAGCTTGAGCCCTGGCCCCCACGCGGTCTCGTCCTTGGCTCTGTCCGGCTCTGCCTCACCTGCCCAGGGGGTCCTGAGCAGGCCAGAGAGGTCTCGGTCAGTGCCGGGTCGCAGGGTGGGGGTGTGGGCAGCATGGCTCTCCTGGCCTGAGCTGCAGCTGCCTCTCCCCACAGCAGGCACGCTGGGGCCCTGGACCGGGCCCGGACCGGCAAGGACCCCGCAGCAGGTGGGCCCTCGCAGCTTCCCCGGCCAGCCCTCTGCCAACGACAGCGACACGCTGGTGCTCACGGACGGCTCGAGGGCGCTGCTGCTGGGCTGGGTGCCTACGAAGCTGGTGCCTGCACTGTATGCGCTGGCGCTGGCCGTGGGGCTGCCGGCCAACGTGCTGGCTCTCTGGGTGCTGGCCACGAGAGGCCCACGGCTGCCGGCCACCATGCTGCTCATGAACCTGGCGGCTGCCGACCTACTGCTGGGCCTGGCACTGCCACCACGCCTCGCCTACCACCTGCGTGGCCAGCGCTGGCCTTTCGGGGAGGCGGCCTGCCGTGCAGCCACCGCTGCCCTCTACGGCCACATGTACGCCTCAGCGCTGCTGCTGGCTGCTATCAGCCTGGACCGCTACTTGGCCCTGGTGCACCCGCTGCATGCCCGGGCCCTCCGTGGACGCCGCCTGTCCACTGTGCTCTGTGCAGGAGCCTGGCTGGGGGCCACCGCGCTGGCTGTACCCCTGGCCGTGCAGCAGCAGACCTTCCGGCTGGCGCACTCCGGCCACCTGCTGTGCCACGATGCGCTGCCCCTGGCCACCCAGATGGCTTTCTGGCGGCCAGCGTTCATCTGCCTGGCAGTGCTCGGCTGCTTCCTGCCGCTGCTGCTCATGGCGCTGTGCCACGGGGCCACGCTGTGTGCGTTGGCAGGAGGTGGCTGGCGCCACGGCCACGCGCTGCGGCTCACGGCACTGGTGCTGGCCTCGGCCGTGGCCTTCTTCACGCCCAGCAACACGATGCTGCTGCTCCACTACTCAGACCCGAGCCCAGGTGCCTGGGGAGACCTGTATGGTTTTTATATGCCCAGCCTGGCACTCAGCACCCTCAACAGTTGCGTGGACCCCTTTCTGTACTACTACGTATCCCCCGAGTTCAGGGACAAGGTGCGGGCACAGCTGTGTCGCTGGCTGCCTGGGGCCACCACCGCCTCCCAGGGCTCCCAGGAAGGGGGCGACCCAGGCACCGGCACCCGCTCCTCCTCCCTCCCCTGATGGCCCTCAGTGGGTGGCTGGGTGGGCTGGAGACCAGGTCTTCCCAAACTCAAGTCCTTGAGGGCCTCAGCGGACGTCGGGGGCGCCACTGTCATCGGAGTAAGGTGGCCCTAGACCCCTGCCTCAGGTCCTACGAGAAGAGAAAGCCTGACGGTGGACCAGGATTGAGGCAGCCACAGTCCCACCCTGAGGACTGTGGAAGCCACGGGGTCCAGGCCACGGGCGAGGGGCGGATTCCTGCAGCCTGCGGGCACCAGCCCCGCCATGCCGCAGCCCTGGCCTCCTCCTCCCGGGCAGACAACACAGCTCTGTTGTTCTGAGCCCCCATCTGTCACCGCAGCCCCCAGAATGCGAGGGGTTAAAGGCAAGGTTGGGACCATCACAGCTGGAGCTGAAGGCAGGACCCTGGACTCCAGCTTCTCCTCTTTCAGGAAGCTGCGTGCACTGCCTTGCTCCTCTGCTGCCCCACATCCTGCAGGGCTCGCGGAGTCCAGGGCACAGTGCCCCACGGCCCCGGGCCGCCTTCTGCCCCCCCAGGTGCCTGCCATGGGTGTGGGGCGAAGGGGACTGAAGGGCCTGGGACACAGCTGGGCTCTGCAGTAGGTGACCGTGGATTAAATGCACCTGTTACAGTCAAAGCCCAGGGTCGTGAACCCCACAGGGAGAGGCATCCTCTGCAGCCAAGACAGTGCAGCCTGGGTGTTGGGGGACGCGGGGCCCGAGATCGCGGGGCCACTGTGGGAGGACAGGGGCACAGGCTCGGCAGGGAGCGGGACGCTCAGGGAGGCAGAGGACGCGGCATGCTCACGCAGGCAGCCTCCCACCGGGCAGCAGCCCATGCTGGGCAAGGCCGAGCAGTGTCCAACCGCGTGACAGTCACAGCAGCCACTGCTGGTGGCCGGACTCTTCCCTTCCTCCCCGTGGGTGTGGACCCAGGGCCCCAGGCAGCCAGGCCGCCGCCCGCGGGCTGCACCTCAGCTCCTTTGTTCTGGGATAGGGTCTGGGGGCCCAGGCCGGCCTTGAACTTGTGACGCCCCGTCTCACCCTCATGAGGAGCCCTGGCGGGGAACGGGTCGCGCAGGCTTCCTGGGCTGTGCCCAGGTGGGCTCAGCTCTGGGCGCCTCCGCGTCCGTCTGGCCCAGCTGGCCAGCTCCGGGCTCAGCCCGCTTACCTGGCTGCAGCCTCCTACCCCTCCACAGAGCCCAATTCCGGCCTGCACTCCTCTAGGCCCCGCCCCTCCCCGCCCCCAGGGAAGCGGGAGGGATTCAGCCGCGGAGGCGGAGGCGCCCGGGCCCGCCCAGTGCTCCTTTCCGGTTTATCTCGAGGCATCGAGCACCCAGACTTCCTGGGACAGGAGGTTCATGTGCTGAAGTCCAGCCTGGACAACGGAGCAACTTAGCAAGACCCTGTCTCAAAATGAAGAGGCTGGGGCTGGGACTGAGTGCAAGGCCCTGGGCTGCCTCCTGGGTCCTGGGCCAGACGCATCATGAGATGGTCTCCGAGCGAGCTGCCCCCACGCACTGGCTCCTGCCGCGCCACGCTGCCTGCTCCGGGACAGCAGGAAGCCCTTCCTCCCCGGGCAGCTGCCACTGACCTGCCGAATTTCTGGGCCTCCACAACTGTGGGCCAAAAGAAACTTTATAAACCAGTCTCAGGTCTCCGTCATGGCAACCAGAACTGGGCCAAGGCACTGCCCCTGCGTGGAGTAGGAACGCCTCAGGTCTTTTCCACGGTCCTGGAGTCTTGGTGTAGGCGTCCTGGGGCTGCTACAGGGTCTCCTGCAGCTCCACTGCAGGTGGGGGCCTGAGGGCCTCAGGGCCCTGAACATTAAAGGACCCAAGCGCTGCAAAGTACGCGTCTGTAGACATTTATGAAGCTGGAAGTCAGCTGGGTGGAGTGCGTGTGTCACGAAGCTACCCGGGACACTGAGGCAGGAGGATCTCCACCTGAGGCCAGCCTGGGCACTTTTGGGAGACCCTGTCTCAAAACAAATCACTGGGGTGCAGGTCGGCTGAGAGGAGACGGAGGGCCGCGTCCCGGAACCAGGTCTGCGGCACGGAAGCGCCTGGGGAGCAAAGCCCAACATGGCTCGGAGAGAGGGCTGACCGCACTTCCGGCCGAGTCCTGTGCCTCCGAGTGACTGGCTAGAGTAAGGGCGAGGCCTGAGGGTGGGACGGAACTGGCCCTGGAGACCCGGAGGCGAGGGGCCGGGCCGCCTTCCCAGTGAAGCCAAGACAGGCTGGCTCCGCGTGAGCTCAGGCCCTGCTGCCCGCCCCAGGCCCGCCGGTCCACGTGGACTCAGACTCCTCTCGCCCGCACATGGCCCCGGCTGAGAAAGCCCCAGCCCTCCCATGGGCGACGGTCACTCAGCCCGTCCTGGAGGCGCCACTCAAGCCGCACGCTCCTCCCCGCTGTCCCTCCAGACAACAAAGGCTGTGACACAGAAGTTCCTTTTTATTTTTTTGGTACCGGGGATCCAACTCAGGACCTTGTGCTTGAGAGGGAGGCGTCGGCACCACTGAGCTTAATCCCCGGCCCAGAAATTCCTTTTAAAAAACAGAGACAGAAAAACAAAAAAACCAAACAGAGACAGAACAGCCACGCTGCTGGGCAGCAGTAAAGGGCTCCGGTGTGCTCCATGCACAGGTTGGTCACTGCACAGCCCTCCGTGGGGGTGTGGGCCAAGGGCCTCGTGGGGCTGGGGCTGGGGGCTGGGTGCCCCCAAAGGTCGCTGAGGCGCCTCCCTTGGGGCTGAAGTAGCAGTGGCGGGCGGCCTCGGTGCCCTGTGCATCCTCCCAGGCCGCCTGGCTGGCCAGGGCTGCCTCCTTGCTGGCCTCAGCGGACAGCTCCAGCACCTGCTCAAAGCTCCTGTGGGGACAGAGGGAGGTAAGGCAGGATGGGAAAGGGCAGGGTCAGCAGCCGGGCAAGCAGAGGGAAGGCTCAGCCAACCAGCAAAACCTGGGGCCCACACCCGTGACCCTGGCACTTGGAGGCTGAGGCAGGAGCCTGGGAACTTAGTGACTCAGCAAGGCGGCCCTGGGTCATCCCTAGTACTGCAGAGAGGTGCATACAGACACGCATGCAACACGCAAACATGCACGACTAGGCCTAGGAGGGCAGTGATCCTGCAGGCCCTCGGAGTCACGGGTTCTCCTGCCCCACAGGGATAGCGACACCTGCTGGCCGCCCTTCCCTCTCCCACCCCATCCCACAGGGTGCTGGGGCCACCTCCGGAGCTCGTGGTCCTTCTGCATGGTTGAGTCCCTCAGCTCGGCCAGCAGGGCCAGCACCTGCCCGTCCTCCTCGGCACCAATGCCCAGCTCAGCCAGCAGGTGGTGGGTGGTTGTCAGCTCGGCCTCCAGGGTGTCTGGGGAGGATGAGGCGCCAAGCTCAGGGGCCTGCCGCACAGACAGCAGCCAGGGGTGCCCACCCGCCCAGCCCCGGGTCTCCCAGAGGACGCTGAGCCTGGCCACCCACTGCCCCATCACTGCCGGCCCATGCCCGATGCACACTGCGGCGGCCTGGCCCTACCGAGGAGCTGCCGGCCGTCCTGCTCCAGGTGGATGGCGCACAGGGGTAGCTCGTGCCGGGTGGTGTCCAGGGCTGTGGCCAGCGTCCTGTACTGGTCTCGGAAGTGGCCAGCCACCGCCTCGAAGGGGCGCAGTGCCTCCATCTGTGGGGAGGGACCGGTGAGAGCAGGCCACGCGGCCCACGTGTCTGCACCGGGTGCTGTGTGGGCTGGGGCTGACGGGGCCACTGCAGCTCACGGGCAGAGCCACTGGCTGGGTCCCGGCACGGAGGGTAAGCAGAAGCTGCAGTGCTTTCCTTCCTGGCTCCATCCCGGGCCCCAGGATCAAGCAGTGCCCCCAGTGGCCGGGGTCTGTGCGAACGGCTGGACTTGTAGGAACAGAGGCCCTGGGGCCCTGGCACCCGCATGAACGCGAGGGTTCACCCGCACCCCCATTCGAGGCTGACACCCCACGAGGTGACATCGAGTGGAGGCAAGGCCAAGGAACCGGGGACCTGAGACCTGAGATAAGGAGGAAGCTGAAGTGTGGGGCGCATGCCTGTCCCAGTATTCTGGGGGCTGAGGCAGGAGGGCCCCAAGCTCAAGCCCAGCCTGGCAACTGTGGGAGACCCAGCCTGAGAATGAGGCCCGCACCGTGTGGGACCAGCGTGGGGCCGACCTGGGAGTGGAGGACGGCGGCCAGCTCCCGGTGCCTCTGCCGGAGCAGCAGCTCGCGCCTCCGCTTGTGGGCCTCCTGCTGCAGCCGGCCCTGCTCCTGGCACACGAGGAGCAGGCTCCGCTCCGCCTTCTCCTCCAGCCGCGCCAGCCCGTCCTCCATCTGCCAGGGCAAAGCGGAAGCTCAGGCCCGCGGACACGGAGGCCCCTTCCTCCCGTGTCTGGGACAGCGCTGCATCACCTTCACGGTCAGCAGGGTCAGCAGCAACGTCTGGGATGCCACCATCTCCATCACTTCCGCTAGATCCTGAGAAAGAAAAAGCAGCACTTGGGAGGCTGAGGCAGGAGGACTGCTGAGCTACAGCCCCAGCCCTTTTAAAACTTTTCATTTTGAGACAGAGTCTTGCTGAGTCCCTAATTGCCCAGGCTGGACTCAAACGTTTGCTCCTCCTGGCTCAGCCTCCCAGAGTACACGGAGGGCAGGGGTGCGGCCCTCACCCGGCTCCGGCTCTTCTCAGTGGGGAAGCCCTCACCTAGCGTGCTGCTCCCAGGCCTCGCGCAGCTAGAGGGCGCCGCCCACCCCCATCTTCCTGGGAGTCCCTGGTGTCTACCTCTGCGAGGACCCGGGACCCCTAACCTCCCCAGTGACCAGGCCCGAGGCTCGTGGCCCTGCCTGTGCGAGGCCCCTCCCGCTGCACGCTTACCGGGCTCTTTCTCTGGGGGGCCGTGAAAGAGGTCGACCTGGCTTTCGACGACATCGTCTTTTCTAACTGTGGCGTCTTCCTAACCATGCTCTTGTCTACGGTGAAGCGAGGAGCACGTGTGTCACACTCGTGGCCTGGTGACCACTGCCCACTGCACGCACCCACTCTGCCCACCCCACCCAGCAGCCCTGCGCAAGCACAGCTGCTCCTCCGGTGCCCGTGGGGCTGCCTGGGAGCTGCCCGGCCACGCAAGAGCGGATCTGGCCGCGCACCCCGAGCCTGAGGACGGACGCAAAGCCCGACGCCACGTGGGAGTCTCTACTGAGGCTTCTCTCTCGTGGCCAGCACCAAGTCAGTAGCCCCTACCCCAAGCATCCCCAGGAGGGCTGGTGGGTGGCACAGGGCTCACCGTTAATGGCCGAGAGGTCCAGGTCGGGCGGAGCCGTGCCGTGCCCCTCCAGCAAGGTGGACTGCAGGTCGCCCTTGCCCATGCCGCTGCCGTCTGCTGTCCAGGCGAGAACCCAAGTGAGCGCCGAGCCGGGGCGCTGCAACCGCGTGTCCTGGGTCAGGGAGCTGAAAGCCGGGGGCCCAGCTGGCGTCGGGACTGCATCGCCGAAGCCCAGGGGGCCGCCCCTCCCGCAAGCGCAGGGCCTTCTCTCCGGGTCTGGGCAAGTGCACATCCACGGGAGGCAGGGCCCACTCCCCAGGCTGGCCCGGCCCCGGGACCTCCGGGGAGGAGGCCTGGACACGGCACCTGGGCCCTCCCCACCCTGCCCGGCCGCCCACACCTGCGCCCTTGGGCAGCTGGCTGGCTCTCCTCACGCCGTCCGCCACCTTCCCGACAGCTCTGACGGTGTCCGCAGCAGGGGCCTGTCCGGGGCACGAGACAGGGACCTTCCTTGCAGGGCTGGCCATTTCTGTCTGTTCCTCCCTCGCGGCATGGGCAGACTCGGCGCCAGCGTCACCCCGCGCACATGGGACAAGCCCGGCCCGTCAGCGGGGACACAGACCCAGGAGTGCCGGCGCTGGCAGGCCACTGTTAGGGCGGGGTGCGGCCGACCTGTGCTCACAGAGGACTTCAGAGAGCAGCACTTTGGTCTCAGGCCAGTCTCCCACGGCATCGAGCCCCGCTGTGCGAGGAGGGCCTGCCCACAGCACGGCCACGCGGGGCTCTGCGGGCCCGGGCAGGACCCAAGCTGCGGGCGCGCCTCACCTTCTTAGCCGCCCTCCTCTCGTACTGCAGGTAGCGAGACTCCACCACTCTCCCGCCTGTCTCAACCAAACCACACAAGGGAAAGAGGCTCGTGAAGGAAAGGGAGGAGAGCTTTGGTGGTCCCGGACGCGGATCCCAGCCAGGCCTTCTCACGTGGCCCCACCCCGGCCCCTTTGTAGTTTAATTGTGAGACAGGGTTTCACTATGTTGCTCAGTTGCCCAGGCTGGGCTGCCACTTGCGATCGGCCTGCCTCGGCCTCCCAGAGCACAGGGTGCCAGCCCAAACCACCCGCCCGGCAGGGCAGCTTCTCCGCAGGGTGCTTACCTTGTGGTCTTTTTCCTCTGGCCTTGCAGCTGCTGGGGGTGCTGGGCCCGGCTGCAGGGGGCTTCCTGGAAGAGAGCAGAGGTCTCGCTCATCCCCTGCAGGGCGGGGGCGGCTGGGGCCCAGTGCTGGGGGCACGACGAACTTCTGCAGGGCGGGCAAGAGACCTGGCCGGGCCTCGGCTGCCGCTTCTCCTGATGCGCAGACTCCTCCGAGGACGGCGGCAGTGGGTGGCCAGGGCCCGAGCTTGGCTGCCCCCGGCACCCAGCCTGGGTATCACCTGGCTCAGCAGTGAGGGCCGCAGAGCCGGCACTCGGATATCGCCTCCTGCCGCCATCCCAGCTGGGGCAGGACCAGGGTGGCCAGGCGGTGTCCGCTCAGGCCTCGCTCCGGCCGCCTCCCACCCGTGTGGCCCCGTGACTGCTGTGTGGGTGGGATGGAGCGACAGACAGGCACCTCCTCGGATCTGGGACACCAGAGGTCACAGCAGGGCACGACTGGCGCAGGCCGAGGGGCCTGGGGTGCAGCTCAGCCCCCCACATTGCCCGGTGACCCTGCAGAGACCTGGCCACATCCCCAGCACGGCCAGAGGACCAAGACAGAGGGGCAAGGAGGCCATGGTGACACTTGGCTGTCATTCATCCCAGCACTCAGGAGGCTGAGGCAGGAGGAACAGGGCAAATTCAAGGCCAGCCTTCTCAAAAAAAGAAAAATAAAAAGAAAGAAACTGGACACAAAGGAGCACCAAGGGGACCCAGGTATGGGACTGCTCAGCACAGAACCTGAGACAGGAAGTGGACTGGGCTGCCGGCTGGGGCAGAGGCGGGGGCTCTGCTTCCTGCCCCGTGGTAAAGGTTCTGGGTGCAGGTCGGGCAGGGGGTTCACAAGCTGCACCGCCTTGTAAACTACAGCACGGCCATGGTCAGGTTCAGTTTTTAAGAATTTAAAAATAGACTGCATGGGGCCTGACGTAACAGGAAAGAAGGGCCCTGGAGACAGCCCCAGCTGACTAATCAGGGACGCAGCAGGTCCGGGGATGACGCCAGGCTTTCCAGGAGTCAGAGGCGGGGCGCTGGGGCGAGTGCGGCTGAGGAGGAGGCAGGAGGGCCGGGGAACACGGGAGCCCGGCTGGCGGCTGAGGCAGGGACACAGCTCGGGCACCAGGCCTAGGCCTTACGTGTGCAGCCTGTAACTGAAATACTGTGAAACTCCGGGAGTTGTGGCACACGCCAGTAAAGCCAGCATTCTGGAGGCTGAGGCAGGAGGATCTCCAGAAGTCCGGGGCCAGCCTGGGCTACATAGTGAGACCCTGTCTTCAAAAAACAAAACAGGAAAAAAAAACCCAAAAAAACAGGAGCCAGGGATTTAGCTCAGTGGTTCCGCTGCCTGCCTCGCAAGCGCAAGGTCCCAAGTTCAATCCCTGGTACCAAAAAAAAAAAAAAAAATTAAAAAAAAAAAAACAAGCAAAAAACCCTAAAAATATTTGCTAAATGCAAATCCCAGTATCCTTGGTTTCCTAAAATTTAGAAAAGGTGATGTATTCTGGTCTACTAAGTGTAATTCATAGGCCAACTCTGTGATGTGCCATCAGGAGAGATCTGCAGCCCAAGTTTGAGATGACTCTAGAGGGACAGTAAGTAGACGTCTGTCCTCTTCTTCACTCAGCTGGAAAGAGCTTTAACCGCTGGGTTTCAGAGCAGTAAGTCCCACCTGCTCATCATCCCGAGAGCTCCTGGCCTACCCTGAAAACAATGCTTTGTGTGAGGGGAGCCACTTAGGGTCTCAGGGAGGCAGCTTTAGGAGAGTTAACAGCTGTGACTTTACCTGGTCTCTCCGTGTTTATTTATGTGGTCTAATGCCAGTGGTTTTAAGGAAGGCTAAAAAGGCTTGTTCCACTATGATAGATAAACTTTTACTGTTCCTGTCTTACATTTAAATTAATTTATTTTTTTGTTTGGATTCTGGTTGAGACTGGGTCTCGATTTGTAGCCCAGGCTGGCCTGGAACTCGTGGCGATCCTCCTGCTTCTGCCTCCCAAGTGCTAGAATTACAGGTGTGCACCACGATGGGTGGCTGTTTGTCTCATTAGGCCTTAATTGTTGAGGAACCTTAATTCTTGAGTTAGGTTTATTTAGGCATCTGTTCAAAGTATTTTTCAAGTAAAGTCTTGTTTTACAGTTTGATTGAATAAACTACTACATATAGTTAGGCCTTACTTTCAGAAGGCTAATTGTCCAGGTTTAATGCAATCCTACTGTTGCCTTATTATGCTATAAAAGTAAACTGTTCCGCTAAATTGCTACTTGTGTATTGCTTACAGGCATTTAGCTGTTAAGAGCTTTGTTTCTCTTAGTAAGAGACAGTTGTGGTTTATTACAAAAATGTATGTTTTTTCACGCCTGGCTGGCAAGGCAATTACCAATTAAAAACATTCTTTTTTGAGCTGGGGACTTAGCTCAGTGGTTCTGTCGCCTTTGCAAGCGCAAAGTCCTAAGTTCGATTGCTGGTACCAAAACCAAACAAACAAACAAACAAAGCACCAAGACAAATGCAGCCTAAGTATCAAACTGTAATTCTTGCTAGTCTCAAGGTTTTGTTTTTGTTTTGCAGTACCAGGGCTCAAACTCAGGACCTTTCGGTTGTGAAGCAGGCACACTGCCACTGAGCTAAATCCCTGGCCCTTTTTTTGGTTGTTTTTTTGAGACAAAGTCTATGTAGTTCTGGCTGGCCTTGAAATTGCAGTGATCCTCCTGCCTCAGCCTCCCAAGTGCTGGGATTACAGACCTGCACTGCCATGCCTAGCTGTAATTTTTGCTGTCTGACACAATGAAGTGCTCTCCCCAAATGGTAATTCGCATTTGCAGAAAAAGGGGGCTCTATACATGCTTCAAATATAAGCGTACATTCCTAACAAAGCTGAGCTTACTTCATAAATTGGTTTTCTCTGACAGACTACACCCACTTTGCTCTTATTAGTTTCTTTTACTTATTTTTAATTCGTGGTACCGGGGATGGAACCCAGGGCCTTCACACTGAGCTACATTCCTGGTCCTTTTTACTCTGAAACAGGGTCTTGCTAAATTGCGCAGGTTGGGCTTGAATTTGCTGTCTTCCTCCTGCCTCCGCCTCCCAGAGTGCTGGGATAATGAGCGAATACCACCACACCCAGCTTTGTTTTACCTTTAACTAACAAGCTTTGTAACTACGGAGAGCAAAGTTCTAATGTTTTAGGGTGCCGTCACCTACAGCCTAGCTAGGATGAAATCTGGCAATGAACCCTAGTTAAACTCGGCCTTAAAACCACGCTCAATCTCTGTTATTGTCCAAAAAGGCTTTGAAGGGTTGGCTTTTGTTTGAGAACTGCAGCAGTCAGTCCGCTCCCCGGAGGGGTGGGACCAGGCCAGCTGACCTTGCTGCCCCGCGACCGCGACCGGGCTGGAGGCCTAACAAGTGCAGCTGGTTAACAGGAAGAGCCGAACTGAGGGGTGGCGGGACTCGGCCAGACACAGGCAGAGCTGCAGAGCTCGTGAGGAAAGCGCTCTCCGCCCAACTGCCTGAAAGCAAAGCGACCTCGGCAGCCGCAGCTGTTGCCCGAACCCGACTGATTCCTGCATTTGGCGCCACAATTTTAACGGCCCTTGTCCAGGTTCAAAAGCCCAGCTAGGTAGGCAGCCGCGAGACGGGGCGGAGCAAACCAAGGGGGAACTGCGAGGGCGAGGTAAATGGATCTGTAAAAACGAGCGTGAGTCGTTTAGAGACTGCTTCCCCAACCCCCTGAGGCTGAGGGCGGAAACCACTACCCGCGTCTCCAGCTCGGATCAAGAGGCAGAAAGCAGCGCCTGTCAGCAAAGCGGCTCACGTGCGGGAAAGACGCTGCGGCTGCGGCAGCGGCGCAGGTCGGCGCCCGTCGGTGTCTCCAGTCGCCCTCCGGCGCCCTCCCTGCGCAGCCGGGTCGGGAGCTGCGATCTGAGGCACCGGAGGCCCCTGCATCTCCCACCAAGCAGCTCGAGGAAAACTTTGCTTTCCACCCAGGTTGTCCCCGAGTTGTTGGGGAGCACGATAGGTGTGGCCAGGACGCGAGTGGTTGGTGAGACTCGCACAACCCCGAGCGCCAGCAAGCGTCCAATTTCCTTCTCGTTCCTGCTGGGGGGCCTCGGGAGCCCCCGCGGTAAAGGGGGAGCGTGAAACGTGCAGCGGGGGGTGGTGGTGGAGCGGCACGCGGCGGCGGACGGTTATTATTCCAGGCCACCAACGCCACTGCTGCACACTAACGCCTCCCCGGCGCCTCCGAGGTCGCGCAGCGTCACTGGCTCCTTGTGGCAGTGCAGGAAAGCGAGGCAGATGCCGGATCCCCCTCCCCGGGTCACCAGCGCAAATGCGCAAGGCGCGGCACTCGATCCCGGAGCCGGGTCGCGAGCCCGAGTTCCGAGCATGCGCAGACCCTGCCGGGCGAGGGACCCCACATCCCGCACGGTTCCCAGAGGGGTCCCCATTCCCCAGCTTGCTGTTGAGAGCCGCAGCCCTCGTTCCGACCACCCCTGTGGTCTCCACAGACCCAGGACGCGGCGCCTCCACTCACCCCGCACCGCACCCCAAGGACTCCGCCATTTTCCCGCCTTCCACTCAAAGGTCCGGCGCTTCCAGGCCGGCCCCGCCCCCGCGCCGCAGGTCGGACCTCACAGCGGAGTCGCTGGAGGGGTATCGGCAGGGCGGGGCGCGCCGACACAGCGCGGAGCGGACGGCCCGTACGCGCAGACTCCCCTCTGCTTTCCTCACACTTGGAATCACCCACCAGACGCAGGAGGCGAGGGCCGCGGATGAAGGAAGGGGCGGAACTTCGAGGCGTCCCCGCCCCCGCCAGCGCGGCGTCACGTTCCATGCCCCGCCCCTCCGGAACACGGAAGTGGGTGCGCGCGGGGGAGCGGGGGAGCGGCTGGGCGGAGCGCGGCGGCGGCTGGCGGGTGTCGGAGCGAGGACCCCCGACCCGGATCGGCGGGGCGCAGCGCGGCGGCCTAGGCCCCGGTGAGCCCGGGAGGCTGCGGGAGGGGGCTCCAGCTCGAAGTGGACGGGGGTGTGGAGGACTGGGCCGGGCCGCGGGGCTCGGGGAACGCGGCGGCCGGGGGCTCGGGGGCGGGACGAGCCTGAGGGACCCAGCGAGGCTGCGGGGACGTGGGCCGGAGAGGACGCGCGACCGGGCGGGTGGGCAGCGCGGGATGCGTCGGCCGCGGGGGACGTGGCTTAGGTGGCACGGGGGTCGCAGGAAGCGGGGCTCGGGGCCGAGGGGGCGCAGTTGGGAGGCCCGGCCGGGGGAGGCGAGGCCGGGCTGTGGCTGGGGACGGGGTCCTGGACCGGCCGGGGCACCCGGAGTGAGCGGCTCCGAACCCACTGATGTGGCAGCCGGCTGTTGAGAAGGGGGAAGCGGGGGGCCGGGGAGGAGGGCAGAGGAAGAAAGGGCTGCGGCAGCACTGTGTGGGTGTTGAGCAGCAGCCCCGGGACGTCTCCCCTCCCCTCTTGATTCACTCTCCTGACTGCACACCCAGTAGCTGTGGCCGGTCCGAGTCCCTCCCGCGCTGTCTGCGTCTGCCTCCCTGTCTTGGAAACTCCTTGGCGTTCAAGACCCGACTCGCTGATTCCGGGGTTCCGGGAGCGAGGAAGGGACTGAGGGGCGCTGAGCGGTGTTTCGGAGGGGGGGGGGCTGTCCCTGCCCCCTCCGCAGCCTCCACCCTTGGACTTAAATGGGTAAAACGACACACAGGAAACGTGTCCCCGGCGGCGGCCGTGAGCTAAGCCTCTGCGGAGGCCGGGTCACCCCTTGCCCCTCCTTTCCGAGGCTCCCTGGAGGCCAAGGGTCTGTAAGGGGCCGGTCCTCTGCCCTTCTGGCTGGTGTGGAAGTCGGTGAGGACCTGGGCGAGGGCCCCAGCTCCTGCGTGCACCCCCTCCCCCAGCATTTTCCAGTGTTTGAGTGCAGAATCTTGAGGTGTCAGAGCAGTAGGCGACATGGGCAGCTGGGCAGTGTCACAGGCCCCGCCCTTTGTCTGCTCTGGCAAGAGGCTTCGGCCAGGGGTTTGATTGGCATTAATGTCTCCCCTTCACCATTGTGGGGATCCTTGTCTGTGATCTGCCAGAGAGGGGGGTACAGCTTGTCCAGGAGATGGATCTGGATAATTTGAATATCTAAGAAGACCTCAGATAAGCACCCCAGCTCCTTTCCAGAATGTTCTGCCCTCAGAGGCGGGAGACTTGCAGCCGTGCTTGCTCCGGGACACACAATTACAGCCCAGTCTCGCCTGTTGCAGAAATCGTGTGTGAGCCTGTTCTGGCCCAGACACCCCGGTGGCCAGGGGGCCAAGACAGGATCGTCCCATCCTGGGCCGCTTGGAGGCCTCCTTCCTGCACCAGTGTGGTCCGGTGGGGTCTCGAAGAGCATCCAGGGGTGCTGGGCACTGCCTCGGGCAAGTCTTTCGGCCTGGTCCTTCACCGTGAGAGGAAGAGGGTTGGCGCTGTCAGCATTCTCCAGCCCGACCCCTCTTATTAACTTTGCCATGTGCAGGACACACCCTGCCGCCCAGGTTCTGCAGCACCCGTCTTTTAAGTTCCCACTGCAATGACTCGACAGGTTTTTCCCCCTGCGGTGCGGGGCATGGGACCCAGGACCTCACACGTGCCAGGCAAGCGCTTATCCCCGAGGCGCACCCCCAGCCGTCGACTTGGTGACGAGCACTCGTGTGGACCTGCTCTCGAGGTGTACCTGTCCCCACGCCTGTGGCTAGGAGTCCCTGGCAGGATCGTCCTCACAGCCGGCTGCTGACGGGGTGCCGGTGCGGACTTGGGAATCTCCCTTTCTTTTTGACCGCAGGATCTGTTTCTTTTCCCCGACAGGGGCCTGCTAACTGGCCACTTCTCTTTCCTCATCTCCCTGAGCACTGTGTGCTGAGTGGGCCCGAGTTCAACAAAGTGAGGGCCGGCCGTGCTAGGCACGTGGCTGGCCCTGGGCCCTGGAGGAGGGATGCCTGGTGTCCTCCCCGGAACAAATGGTGTTCGGACTGGGTGTCAGAGGTGGCACACTGTGGGATGAGGGGGTTCCAGTGGGGTTCCCTGGGGAGGTGGGCGGCCTGCACTGAGCTGGAGAGCTGCAGCAGGGAGATGGTTGTGTGGGGGGTCCTCGAACACCGTGCCCTCGCTGGGTGCTGTGGGATGGGCGCTTTTTTTTTTTTGGTATCGAGGATTGACCTCGGGTCCTTGCGCTTGTGCAGTAGTTGGCAAAACCACTGAGCTAAATCCCCGGCCCAAGGGATGGGTGCTTTCTTGTACTCTGCCAGCCACCACCTCGAGAGTCCTCATTCCTGGTTCCCTGAAACAGGCCCAGGCAGGTGACATCTTCCAGATTGGTCCCTGGGCTTTCGAGAACCACGAAGGGTCGTGGGTTGTCTTAAATTGGTGCAGAGTTTCTCAACTGCGCCTCCATCAGTGTGTGAGGCTGGAACAGCCCTGGCTGTGGCGCCAGTGCCCTAGGTGAGGCTGACACTGGGCTCCTGCTCCTGTCTGGCCTCGGCCTCTGTGGGTCTGGTGGCCGCCCGAGCTGCTTCCGAGGGTGGCATGCTCGGCCCTGAATTCTGTCCTGTGCTCGCTTGCTTCTTAATCTGCAGTGAGTGGCTATGATAAAGGGGGAACTGTTGGGCCAGATGGGGGCGGCAGGGATGGCGTGGGTGCCGTTGTCCTTGTCTTCTTTGTGTCGCCCCGACCTGGCTTTCGGAAGGGCCTGTCCCCATCTGGGAACAAACTCGCTTTTGCTCTGAGTTTAGAGATACCAGGTTCTGGTCTCAAAAGCTACTTTGCAGGTTGGCCTGGAGAAAGGTGGCTTTTGTCAGCAGCATTATCTCCTCCCATGCGCCCCCTGCCTGTCCCCCGCCCCGCCCCAGCCTGGCCCCACAGGCCGTGGTTCCTCTCAGATGTCTGGGTGCGCAACCCAGGGCCCAGGGGACTGATGGGCGGTTCTGGGTGCTGCCCCGCCCCGGAGCCCAGCCACTGTGCCAGGCAGCCCCTGCTCGGCCCGAGGTCAGCAGCGCAGGCTGACCTCCCCGCAGAAAGCAAGACAGGCCTTCTCTCTGCTCTGCCCTCGGCGCCGTCCGGGGCTGGCAGAACAAAGGCCCCTGTCTCGTCTCGGGGTCCTTGCTGCTGCCACTGCCGGAGCCCTGGAACTGGGCGTGTCTCCCAGGGCAGCTCCCGTTTGGGTTGCGCTCACTTCCGAGGAGTCCAAGCCCGATGAGGAATGCAGCAGTGATTCAGGGGTTCAGCCTGGGGCTCTGTGGGCCCTGAATAAGCTGTCCCCGAGTGACTCATGTGCGAGGCGGCTCCGCCCCTCCCGGTGATGTGTGTCCAGGAGGGACCCGTGGGGATGGTGCCACAGGACGGATGGCCCGAGCAGGGGAAGCGAACGGCCGGCTTCTGGGTCCGGGGGTCCCGAGTCAGGGTGTTGCACCTGCAGACTCTCCCCGGCCTCGCGTCGAGGGAGGCCGTTGTCTCCCCATCTTGGGGCCATCGTGAAGGTGGCATTGACCTTGTCTGTGCCTGCTTTCCTCTCAGCAGGATGCACGTTACAGGTGTGAGGGTGCCCAAAGGGTGGTGTAAACTGCACTGTTAAAGACGGCCGCCTTCTGACGTGCTGGGGCTTGGGGCCTCACTTCAGATCTCTGGGGACGCAGCGGGCCCCTCACCCTGGCGAGGGATAGACTCTGCTTCCTGATGGAAGGAGCCGGGAGAGCGGGGTCCACGCCTGGAGTGCGCTGTCCCTGCCTGGGCCCTCGGCAGCTCGGGCAGGCCCCTGCTGGGGAATTCCTGGGTCCTCCTCAGAGGTTCAGGGCATCTGGAGAGAGACAGGGACCTGCCAGGAGGAGCCGTCTCTTGGGGATTTGTGGGGTGTTTGGGGGCCGGGGGCTCTGGGGGAAATTTTTGAGTGGGTGCCGTGGGGTCCCTGTTCTCAGTGTGCTGAGGTCTCTGGGCAGGACCACCCCAGAGCAGCTCCGTCCACAGGGTCCAGTGGGCTCCATGCATCGGCTGCCAGGTGTTGGGATGGAGGAAGCTTCCAGAAGTCCCGCTGTCCTCCACGCAGTGAGCCAGCCAGGGCCGCTGGACAGCAGGGGCTGTCATCTGCTGCCTCATCAGCCCACGGGGTTGGCTACCTGCTGGCTCTGGGAAGAGGGTGACCAGGGAGTCTCCTGCCGGCCGCCACTCAGGCCGTGCCCTGGCTCAGGGCTCCGCTGGGTTCTCCCTGCACCACCAGTTGATGGAGGGGTGGAGCCATGCTGACACCTGTCCCCTGCGGTCCCTTTCCCTGTCTAAGGCCTGGTGACATGGGTGGGCGTTCTTTCTGGTGCCCTGCCCTGTGGGATGTTTCGCACTGGCCCAGCCTCCACCTCCTAAGAGCTGGAGCCATCCCTTCCACAGGTGCCACGGAGTGCCTCCCGTAGGGCAGGCCACCCTGGTGAGGAGCAGGGGCCCGGAGCCTGGGCCCTCCAGCCTTGTGCTGTGGTCGCCAGTGCACAGGGCCAGGACAGGTTTCCAGGGGCTGAGTGGTGGCTGTCACCACAGGTATTGGCAGCACAAAGCCTGGGGCCGTCGGCTCCCCAGCTGGAGCTGTTCTCTCAGGCAGCAGATGGCATGGGATCCTGGAGGGGAACCGGGCACAGGTCCAATTTGATGGCCAGGGAGGGTCAAGGTCTCACCGATACCATGGAAGGGAGGCTATAGAGAACTGAGCCCTGCTCAGAAGCCAGCACACCAGGTCATTCCCTTCCAGCCCTGGGGACAGGACCCAGGCCTGGCGCTGAGCTGGACCCCCACCCTTGAGGGGGGTCTCACTGAGTCGCTGTATTGCCTGGGCTGCAGGCAAACTTACCATCCTCCTGCCTCAGCCTCCAGGCATGCTAGGATCACAGGGGCTCTCCAGCGGCCATGGAGATGTGAGCTTGCCGGCCTCAGGCATCTGGGCACAGTCTGCACTCCAGCTGCCCGTCCGCAGGCCC